TATTTAGAAAATGAAGTAGGTAAATAGTATAATGTCAGGACAAGCCGAAATTAGCAACTCACTTAATCTTAAATTACTTTAATAATACGTTAATAAATGAAATACATATATGTAAAAGTATAAACTGAATACTAGGAAGACTCAGAGTCGAATGCCTTCTCTATGGTTCACACCGGTATCCCGTACCGTAACATAAATAAACACAGGGCTAGACATAATATTTCACTATCTCAAGAGGCCCTACATTATGAATATTCAACACTAAAAATGTCTTTGGCTGAACCTCGGACCTCACAATAATAACTGAATTAAATTAAAATATGTTCCTACCTGGATTCCAGAATTCATATATCTACAGAAATTGATACAGAAGTATTTTGAAGGGTGTAAGGATTAGCGTCAGATTATTACATTCGATATTTGTATTTTACTTATTATGTTAATGACAGTAACCTGTACACCTGTAAACCTCGACATCATGTACAAGCTTATTGATATTTAATCATAAAAGCTTTCGAATTATCGTAATAATAACAGCATGAATAGCTGTTATTTATTGGTACCTTCCGATTTCATATTTCATAGTATTTAACCAGTGGCGGCTCTTCACTTCCATACCAGGAAGGGCGGAAAAATTTAAGTACAAAATATTGAAAAACAAAATCAAATATAATTGGGTAATTTTATTTTAAGTAGGTACTATTGAAATATAGGAAAAATTTTACGCAACATTATTTTTTATAGTGAAATTGAATTTTGAATGAGTGATTTTGTCCGAAATAAACTTTTCAATTAGTTTTTCGTTAAAACTTGGAATTTCTCGCAGCATTGATCTGGTGAACAGCTATTACCATATTTGCTTATGGTCGGACTAAACAGAGCGCAAAGTGCATGGTAAATATGCGCTACTCCGTCTATCACTACTACGCGACGGTAACCATGACTACCGCTGTAAACACTTTATAGATATAGAGGCGAGCTGCGAGGAACCCCTAATAAATAAAATTAGCGACGTCTGTTCAGCTCAGCGTTTATTGAGGAATTGCTTTTTAGATGGGCTTATGATACATATTTCTACAGTTATCAACATACCTCTTTGAGAAAAGCATGCACCAAGCTCGGTCTTAATAAATAAACGGAAAGATAAAGTAAACACACTTAGATCGGTCCTATGAGCTTTAATTTTTATAACTATATTTCTCATAATATTCAACAATTGTAAACTAAATTTTAAACGAATTTTTTTTGTTATGGAAATTTTTAAGGGGGTGGCGCCCCAGAGCTTCCCCATACCAGCCGCCACTGTATTCAACACTTGATTGCTATAAAAGAGATATACCGCTGTAAAACCTGTCTGTGATGTCGAAAAGTATATCTGACATAAAAGCCATATGTTTCTTTGCAAATAAACAATAAGAATTCAAGTTGATTATTCTGTTTACCATAAATTAAGTTTGTTCCATATGCTATAAAAGACCTACGTCGACAATAAAGAAACAATGCGGCAGTATTGAAATTTTTCCATCGTTTGTATAAGGCGACAAATAACAAATAAGTTAATTATTAAATTATTTCTTGTGTAGTACATTAAAAATGTATTTAATATCCCGCGATGATGATTCTGTTAATAAAATTTCTTATTGTAGGTACACAAAAACAGATTAAAAAATCATTTTTCATTTCTGTTATTTTCAAGGTCATATATTAAGGAATAAATACATTTCTGTAGTTTATACATAATTAATTATATGCCAAAGGGACAAGCGCATCTTTTAATCCCAAGGACAATATGCGCTCGAGGATTTAAAAAGGTTACTTTTTAAAGTATATGGGGCATTCCACGCCAAATCGGACGGTTCGAAAAATTAAAGTTTTCGATTTCCTTAATTTTTTGATATTTTTTAGTACCCCGCAAAAAATCCTTTCTGGCAAATTGTGAAAATTTTTAGATTACTTGTTCAAAAGATATAAAATATTCAAAAAAAACGCCCTTTTTTTGGTTTTCTGATCATAACTTTCTTAATAATGGTCCAAATTAAAGCTTTTTTTATAAAATTCTTTGTTTTTAGATGACGTTTACAGATAAAAATACAAAAAAAATATTCAAAATGTTTTTGATTAAGATTTTTGAGTTTGAAATTTTAAATCGTATTTTTGAAAGTGAGTGTATCTTTCGATTTTTGTGAAAATATTTTATTTCAAACTACTATTCTTTTAACAACTTTTAGGACCGGTCCGGTCGTGGGCCCTCCATAATTACTATTTTTTTTGGATTTTTGAAAATTAAAAAAATTTTTTTTTCTCTAGAAATCATTATAAGTACCGATTTTTGTCACTGTATACTCTTCTTTACTTATTTTAAATTAATTTTAATACTTTTTAATTATTAACTGATGTTTAAAATCAATAAGTAAACGTTGTCTATTTATAAACAATTATAACAAAATTTTTTATTTATTTTTGTGTTCTTTTAAAAATTATTTTATCAATGCTATTTTTTGTTGCAAAGTATTTTTTTTTATTTAAATAATAGTATCTTTACGAATTTCTATCCAATTTAAAAAGAGTCGCACATCTTATGAATATTGCTGTCAAATTTTCACCTGAAAAACACTATTTAGATGCAAAAAAATAGATTTGCGTTACCATACAGCCAAACAAACCGAAAATTTCATTCAATCATTCCAAGGAACAAAATATTATTTTGTAAACTAGAATACTCCTTACCTAATATATTTCCATTGCTCCTTAGAATGATTGAATGAAATTTTTGGGTCCCTATATTGTATCGCAAATTTAATTTTTCTTTTGCATCTAAATAGTGTTTCTCAGGTGAAAATTTGACATCAATAATAATCATAAGATGTGCGACTCTTTTTAAATAGAATAGAAATTCATAAAGATACTATTATTTAAATAAAAAAAAATACTTTGCAACAAAAAAAAAATTTATAAAATAATTTTGCAACAATTTTTAAAAGAACACGAAAATAAATAAAAACGTTTGTTATCATTGTTTATAAATAGACTACGTTTACTTATTGATTTTAAACACCTATTAATAATTAAAAAGTATTAATATTAATTTAAAATAAGTAAAAAAGGGTATACAAAAATCGGTACTTATAATGATTTATAGAGAAAAAAAATTTTTTTTTAATTTTCAAAAATCAAAAAAAAATAGTAATTATGGAGGGCCCACAACCGGACCAGTCCTAAAAGTTGTTAAAAGAATAGTAGTTTGAAATAAAATATTTTCACAAAAATCGAAAGATACACACTTTCAAAAATACGATTTAAAATTTCAAACTCCAAAATCTTAATCAAAAACATTTTGAATATTTTTTTTGTATTTTTATCTGTAAAGGCCATCTAAAAACAAAGATTTTTATAAAAAAAAGCTTTAATTTGGACCATTATTAAGAAAGTTATGATCAGAAAACCAAAAAAAGAGAGATTTTTTGAAAATTTTATATCTTTTGAACAAGTAATCAAAAAAATCTCAAAATTTACCAGAAACGCTTTTTTGAGGGGTACTAAAAAATATCAAAAAATAAGGAAATATAAAAATTAAATTTTTCGAACAGTCCGATTTGGCGTGGAACGCCCCATATACTATACAGGATGACTCATATATAATTGGGTGTAAGAAATTTTACCATGGGTGCTTCTTAATAAATAAAAAGCAATGGATGATAAGTAACTTTATTTAATTAATTTGAAAATATTAAATAGCAACAAAATTTGGTGGTCTATATTTCAATAGGCGTTAACTTTCGAATAGAAATAAGTTGATATTAAAAAAGCAAAAATTCGAGTTAAGCAAAAGGGTGAATCAGATTAGAATACCCCCAAATACTTTTCGCACTTCGCAGAAGATAATACTTTGATTTAAAAATTGTTTTTTACCGACGAATCTTGTTTTACAAGGAACGGAGTTGTAAATTTTCATAATTTGCATCTGTGGAGTGATGAGAATTCTAAAGAAACACGACCATCATGACATTACCGGATAGCCATAGCAATCGACATCTTGTTTTCATCGCCTACTGAACTCAAAGTTCGTAATCCGTGACATTGCTGCGCAAACCGAAACATACCGACCTGCAAATAATGCCATTTTTCTCAAGAGACAATTTTTTTTAATAAAACCCGTTTTAAAGTTTTGACCGCTAAAAGGGAGAGGTAAACGGAGAAAACTATCACCCAGTATATCTATTTGACTAAAGCTTTAAGAAATAATACGCCTTAATAGTCCAAACAAATGTGCCAAATTTTAACACGAACGGTAAAAGTTATGAAGTTATTAATTAAATTAGTTTTATTTTTGACAACTTTGAAGGCCTGTAACTTAAAAACTAAAAAGTTTTTATTTAACTTTTTTTCGTAGATCGCATTTATTTATCGTCGTGAATACGCAGTCAAACGTTGTCGGTGAAATTTGCGGACACCCTGTATGTTAAAATTATCAAATCTAATCTAACAATTTGCAGTGCTAAAAGTCTATTAGTTTTTGCTCCCTCTGGAAAACTAAAATTAGGGACTGCAACTGTGCCTTGTTTTTTCTATTGCACATTCTAATCTTTTATAAATAGCTTACATTACAATTTTTGTCTTAATAATAATTGTCTTTCATATTTTCAAATAAATAAAATTATGTTGTAACGACTAACCACCCCGTATATATTTAAATAAATTAACTAATCTTCCTAATAATAATTTCTGGGTTCCATACAATTATATTACTTACGATTTTTTAATTTTATTCCTGACACCGTTAAAATATTTAAATGATCCAAACTAAACCGCGACTGTTATCAAGAACATTTTTCTGACTAAAAATATCAGTTAAAGCGTTTCAATAGAATAACGACTTAAACTAACATGTATATAAATAAAACAACGGTTCCATATCAATGTAAATATTTGCAAATCGTTTTCACAACCTATTCTGGATTCACAAAGTATTTCTAACGCTTAGATAAATGGAAATTACTCACTATAAAAATGTGACGGGAAGATCGACGCACTCAGTTTTTCGCCAGAACTGACCTGCATTTGCACAGCTTTTGAAACCTTTCACGCGAATCTAAATCCCCGGCGCTATCCAAACAAAATTATCAGATAAATGGAAGGGTGGCGGCGAAACTCTTTCAGATCCTGAGGCACATTTAATAATAGATCCCGAAGAGCACTAATAACGTCTGTAACTTCGAAAAATTGCGGACCGTTTTTAGCAGGAGGGTGAGTACAGAAAGCTTCGTATTCGATGCTGTAAAACTGCTTACAAGTTCAAGAGTATTTTGAGTAACACTCGATCTAATCTAGCGATTAGATTATGAATAAATCTGTGTGAAATATACACGTATATACAGGGTCTATTATAATTTGGCCGTGGGGTTATCAGGGTTATTTCATTAAAAAATAACGTATACAAAAATGCTAGATATTTTTCTGAATTTTTTAGTGATATTTTCAAAATCTATATATCGCGATTCAGAAATAGAGCCCACACATATGAGTTTTTTTAATTAGAACACCCAGTATATTTTTACATATGGTGTTAGAACGATTTCTCAGGATTACAGTGATCGGCATGGAGGGAATATTTGGAAACCAACATAACAAGTACATCAGATGTATAAAATAGGTATAATATGAGCCTTGAGGAACATCACACTTCGATTCTGAATTTACGGTTATTAAGAAAGTTAGATAATCATGCAAGGAGACAACCATTTAATCCATTTTGCACCTTTTTCAGTAAACGTTTTAATGACACTTTAGCAAATGCTTTTTAAAGTTTCAAAGCCAAATATCTCGAAAACAGTACGAGACAACTACTTTTATAAAGTATAACTAGTTGGAAAATAAGAATTTAATACTAAAGCACAACTAAAGATGAGATACCTTAAAGTATAAAAAAGTTATGTCGTTTTTAACACATTCAACCTACTGCAGCTAGCGCCCTCTATGAACTTTAACCAAAATGTGAACAGATTTCAATTCCTCTACCCAAAGAGTGACCGCAAAAAACCTGTGATTTTCGCCCGTTTTTTCACAATTCGCGGAAAATAAAAAAAAATACATAAAAATATGTTTTTGGTCCCAAATTACTTGTCGTAAAACACTGAAATGAGCATAGCTTTTAGTATTTTGAAAATTTTAAGAATCACCCCTACTTGGGTTGAAAAAATGCCAAAAATGAAGAATTTGAATATTACCAATTGATATAAAAATTATCTTAATACATATATATATTTTTGGAATTTTTACAATTATTTCTGATATTCTCTATTTTTGAGGATGATTCCACCCCCTGAGCGCGCTTAAAGGTGGATTTTCTAATTCAACATGCTTATTTCAGTCATGAGAATAAATCTTTCTTTGTATCAAGAATCATTCGATAGAAAAATTCACATGCCAATAGTTTTTATATTTATTGGTAATATTCAATTCTTCATTTTGGGCATCTTTTCAACCCCTAAATAGGGGTGATTTTTGAAAATTTTTAAAAAACTGAAAGCTATATGCCCATCTTAATTTTTTACGATGAGTAATTTGAGACCAAAAACATATTTTTATCTATTTTCCTTAGTTCTCTGCGAATTGTGAAAAAACGGGCGATTTTTGCGGTCCCTCTTTTGTGTAGCTAAATCGCAATATTTTTGCTTGGGGAATCTACCTATGAATTTTGGCCCATTACTTCGGGACCACCCTGTAAATGTACTTACAATTAGATTAAAACATTACCTCTGTTCCAAACCAAATTTTTTATGAATTTTTCATACATTTTCATACTGTACGCAACCAACAGCGTCTATACAGGGTGTTAAAAAAGAGTGTAAAATATTTCAGGAGGTAATGGTATGAACCAAAATAAGCAGAAAAGTCTTAATAAACATGGGTCCGCAAAGTAACGGTTGCGGATATATGGACCACTATTCGTTTTTCAAACATTTTATTTTATTAGGAATAAACCAACAAAGGAAGCTTTTAACAAACAAAAAACAAAGTTACAGAAGATGTTCAAAGTGCCCTCCGTCCATTTCCAAGCAGGCACGACATCTTCGTCTCAACGATATTCGAACTCTTTCGAAAACACCCTCCTTGGTTTGGATTTCTTGACACTTTTGATTAATCTGTAGCTGCAACTCTTCCAGGCTATTTACAGGAGTACCATACACCAATGTCTTCAAATATCCCCAAACAAAGAAATCTAGAGGGTTCAGATCAGGCGATCTTGGAGGCCATAAAACAGGTCCGGCCCTTCCTACCCATCTATGTGGAAAAGTTTGGTGTAAATGCTCTCTAACGGCCATGGAAAAATGAGCTGGAGCACCATCATGCTGGAACCACATTTGTTGCCTCTGATTCAAAGGAATGTCTTCCAAAAACTCATACAGTGTGTTCTGCAGAAAGTTGAGGTAAGCAGCGCCTGTTAATCGGTTTGGTAAAACAACAGGATCTAGAAACCTGTCACCTACAATACCCATCCAAATGTTTAATGAAAAACGTGCCTGATGTCCAGATTCTATTAGAGCATGAGGATTTTTGTCGGCCCAAATATGCGTATTGTGAAAATTAAACACTCCATTTCTTGTGAACCCGGCGTCATCAGTAAAAAGAATGTTTGCAAGAAAACGAGGGTCTTCAGCATCATGACGCAGAAACCAGCCGCAAAAAACCAAACGTGCTTGATGATCATTTATTGGATTTAAGGCCCGTACTCGTTACACATGGTATGGATAAAGCAGTTGCTCGTGAAGGATTCTCCAAACAAGAGGACCACTAATTCCTACCTCGGCTGATATTCTCCGCACACTCGTACCTGGATTCTGCTCTACCAGTGCTAGAATTTCTTCTTCTGCTCTAGGAGTGGATACCGACCTTGGTTTTCCGGATAAATGGCACTGTTTGCTCAAGCAACAAGTATCACGCAATCTTTGGTGAATTCTTCCAAACATGCGTTGTGAAGGAATCTGGCGATTTAGATAAGCGTCAACATAAAGACGTCGCGCTTCGGTGGCGATCCCATCAGCACGACCATACATAAAATGCATGTCTGTTAGACATGTGTGTCTGCGTTAGAGTAACCAGCCATAGCGAAAGAAAACTTGTGCACTGAGAACAACTGTCAAATACGTACTGTTTATTTCACTAAACATCAACTATTATAAGAAAATACACAACGTTTTTGCAAAATAAAAAAAGGGGCTAAAAAACATAAAACATTCCATGTCTCCGCAACCGTTACTTTGCTGACCCATGTTTATTCAGACTTTTCTGCTTATTTTGGTTCATACTATTACCTCCTTAAATATTTTACACTCTTTTTTTTAACACCCTGTAGAAGACTAGTGACTATCAAAAACATTTTGCAAATTTGAATCAAAATTAATAAATTAGTACAAATTACATCTTAATAAATGCATAATCATTTATATTATTCAAACCCGTTTATGTTACTCTCATAAGAGTCCTACGTCGACAAAGTACCGTTTCTTTCCTCAAAAGGATACGATAAAGTGGTATTCGCCAATGTAGCTGTTGAAAAAATATATTTTATATAATAAAATTACTTAAAACTATTACTGGGGTCCAAAACTGATCTTTGAGGCACGCCAGTATACAGATGAAAATGTAGGTGCTTAGATAACTAGGTACTCTATATATTCACTGATAACATCCTAATACTTGATAAGAATGGATCCTTCCTTGAACGGAAATAAATCGATTTAAACCAAGTTACATTAGACCAATTTTTCTTCCTTAAAAGCTTACAGACCTTAAAAAGTAGTATTAGTTAAAAATTGTGATCCGATAGTTGTTTTATATTTACCTTGTTGTAATCTGAAAACATATCATAAGGTGTCTATATTTCTTTAAGATGAAAGATGATAATAGAGAAAAGATTGTGGATGATGCAGAACAACAATAGCAACAACAAGAAAATGGAAGTTTTAACAATTATTTTAAACGATATTCATAGTAGAAGTTTATAAGCTGAAAGCTGTCATGACACTTCTTTTTAACCTCAGTCTCAGTCCAATTAAATTATATCATTAATTAAATAGGGGCATTAAACTACTGAGAGATCCAGAATGATTGAAGCGTTTGGGGAACGGAGCCTGTTTCTAGCGCCATCTTTAGCATATAAAAATCTGTGGTATTGACAGAGACAGGCACAGGCTGCGATCTCCAAACACTTCAATCATTCTGGATCACTCTGTATTATACTACATTGTCATTGTAAAGAGCAGGATCTGTATTTTTAAAACACTTCTGAAATAGACAAATAAGGTTAGACGTTTGGCTAGTTTGTACGTAATAGTATTTAGATTTAGGCAAAAAATGTACCTATCCTACAGTTCTTACTCCAAGTTCAAAATGTGTATAGGTTTAATATTTTATAAAAATCCGCCATTTGCCCCCCTTAAGAAAGAAACTCAATCGAATAAGAATAAATCACCGGCTTAAATTGAAGAATATCTGGTCGATACGCATAAGTTGAATTTTCAGTACAAAACTTATATAATAGATACCTACAGGTCTGTTTTGACCACAAATCTACCAAACATCTTTATCATAAGTTTAGGTCATATTTGTATATTTTGTGGCGTTCAATTTTTTTATTATTATTTAATAACGTTCAAAACAACTGTTAAATTTGCCTTTTTTTAGTGGAAATCAAAATAATTCTAGAATCAAAATACCTATAACTATGACACTGTTACAAGAAATTTTTGCAGAATTGCCAAAATAAATTGACGGTTCTGTCTCGGCTATCCGTAACTGATGACTGCTATAAAAAATTGCATTTTCTCTGATCTTCATATTCGGCTACCCTAAAAATTTCTCCATATGGAATTTCACTGAAATATCTTAAAAAGCGAAGTTAAAAGAGTTAAAGAAGCAAGATTGCACCAGAGTAAAGCTCTAAATCGGTTTATTTTCATCCAAGGAAACTATTCTCGAAGTATGTCGCATTCTTTACTAGGCACCCTGTATTCTACAAAATTGAAAATTATAAATTAAATTTTACGAAAATCAATAAATAATAAAAATGTTCTTATATGAATATGAATGTACTTTATCGGTGACACTGTATATTTTCAGTTTAATCCTAATCTGATTACTTAACCAAATTTTAATCGGTACTCAAAATATTGGCCTCATGATACACCTAAAACAGAGGAATATTTATGATTTTGATCTCTCTTTTATCAAAACCCATGTCGAGTGCCTTTTCCTGTCATTTATCAATAATACAGGATGTTTTAATCCCGTGTTTGAATTGCAAATGCTTCATATATAATTAATCTGTATTTTTAACACAAATTTTTACGTTATTAACGATTTGCATACACTTAAAGTAGATTAAAACAAAATTAAATATTATTCTCTAGTTCAGTACTCAGTTCCTAGAACGTGTTTTACTTTTGTTGATACTGGGTGGTCCGTAAAAAACGCGACAATGTATAATTCGGCAATTTTCAGTGGGTTTTAAAAAAAGAATTTGTGTTAATTGCAGTGACGGCCGGTGCAGGGAGCTCTGGGGCGCCACCCCCCTCCCCCTCCTTGCCGTAGTAAAAATATTTCATTTAGTTTACAATGTCATCTACACAATTAAATACATTAGTCTTACGAAACACAAAAAAGAAATGTAAAATTTGCAATGTGCAGTTATTTTCACTCGACGTGCAAAATACTGCTCCAGCTAACCCCTAAGTTTGAAAAGTGTTCACAGCGGTGGTTATGGTTACAGTGGTGCAGCTGTAAAAGACGGAGTGGAAGTAGCGCATATTTACTATGTAGTTTGGGCTCGTTTAGTCCCTCGTAACCAAATAATAGACTTTTACTGTTTTTTTTTTCTTATTAAACGTAATTTTTTTACGTGTGGTGCAAAATTTTGTTACCTACGTATTGTTTCTTGTGTTTATTAAAAGATTGTGAAAGTTTAAATTAGATTGTAAAAACAAACTAACAGCACTTGCAATCATGGGCGTCCGCAGAAAAATGTCTCAGCTTGTAAAGATTTTTCAACACTGCTGTTGCGGTTATCAGGTTTCCTGTTAAGCACATATAAATAGCCGTATAGAATTTTTTTATTTCAAAATCAAATATCTCGAAGAATTAACGAATCGTTTTACATTTTTTTTAAATTAAAGCTTATTTAATGCAGATTTAGGGAAAATTATTGCGAATGTCATCATACCCTATTTTGGAGGTGGAAATGAAGGTGAATAGGTGAAAAAAGTGAAAATCGATTTTTTTTTCCTTCAAAAATGTTATATCTTCGATAAATACAGTGAAATTAAGACACATTATGGTGGATTCAATGCTCAATTGAAATAAGTTATGGAAAAAGATTCATTATAGATCTCAATAAAACTGGAGCTCTACAAAAATTACAAAACAGAGGAATGAGAATTAATATCAGATGTAACAGACATACCCCTATACGACTTATGTTATCAATATCATCTCTGCAGTGGATCTGTGTTAGGAATAGATTGCTGTTTATGGCTATGATATATGTTTTTAAAATAATTAATGGCTTGGTCCCTCATTACCTTCAGAGGTATATCGTTTATGCGAATGAGGTTCATGAGTATAATACACGATTTAATAATAATTTGCATATACCAAGGCATGCCTTAAGTCAGACCAGAAATATGTTGTTATATAAAGGTCTTGATCAGTACAACAGATTGCCAAATGATGTCAGGAATGTTGTGTCATTGAGGGAATTTAAAAAGAAAATGTTAGAGTATGTTAAGTCGATTTATTAGTAATGTAAGTTTGTTCTCACACTGTTCTCCGGTATAATTTTTAACTAGTTTTTAATGTTAGTTTAATTTTATTGCATTATAAAAAGTTATATGGAGTCAAAATTGTTGACAACAAAAATTTTTGTATATTAGGATGTTTCCTATTTTCAAATAAAGATTATTATTATTATATTATATTAAAATGAATGAAAATATTTTCTTCCCTATTTTAGGGGCGAGGGTATGGAAAATGAAAATTAAAGAAAATATGCATAAAAGGTTTCTGTTGTCGTTGAACGCGAATAAAAGCATCACTAAAACAAAAAACTCCTTTTCAGGAGCCGGTTTTATCATCCCCTGATTTAGGGGAAGAACTAAGGGGTGGGGGATTGAATAATAAAATTCATTCACTCACTCAAAATCCTGATTAAAGTTCAGGCATGGATGCAGAAGCTTCTTTGTATTATAATTTTAAATATATGTACAGAGTGTGCCATTTATCACTCCCGCTGCCAATATCTTCGAAATGAAGAAATTTATTTTAGTTTCGGAAACTGGGATTGTTAGGTCCCTAGATAAATGATACTGTAGATAGGAAACTTGAACAAATTTCGTGGTTAGTAAGAGCGCTAACTGTTGACACTTTCTCCAACTTCTATTGCTTTCCTTTTCTAGGAATTATCGGTAATACAGCGAGTTAAATTACCTGTAGCCGGTAAAAGATGCAAGCGCCATCTAGTTGTACGCTCTACAACTATATACCTATCCAATATTTATTTTAGGTATTCTGCCGCCGCTAAATTTAAAATTACATAACAAATCTCACCCTACACAGATCACTCAGAAATTGGTTTTGTAAAATAATTTTCACGTAGATAATTTTTGTCACCATGAGAAAATAAGTACATTTGATAAAAAGCATTAAAATCACTCAAGCATTAAAGACACTTTTAAAAGCTCTAATAGCCTTCCTACTTAAAATAAGAAATAATTTTGATACTAACTTTTTGAAATGTTTATTGAAAAAATTTCAAATTTCAGTACACATTTTGAAAAAAAAGGAGTGGAAATGATTATAGAGCAGCTTTCAGTGCTTTCTATATTGTATTAGTTTTCACGGTGAATAAAAAAATATTACAAGTAAATAATTTTACTAAACCAATCTGAATAATTCTTGTAATAGAGATTTATTATGCAACTTTAAATTTTTCGTTGTGTTGATATCCATAAAAAAACTACCTACCTCTCATCACGACAAACTTTCAGACATTTTTTATTAAAACGAACAAAAAAACTAAACATTTTATTATTAATAAAAAAATGTGATTATATGATCAGACATTATTATGTTATACAGTGAATGAAATGTCTAATAAAACACACTAAAAACACAAATAAAACACACCAACACTCGCCAAATCTAACCAACAATAAACATGAACAACATAAATTACATGAAATGATTCATAATTGCAATTGTCAAAATTTGTAGTCTACAAAATCTTTGTAGCGACATCTATAGACTCTTTCTCAAACTTGTATATCCATCTCAAGTCACGTGGTTCCCAGTTTCCCTATATTTTCAAGTGATTTTCAAGTATAAGTTCTCGGGCCCTGACCATGTGTTGGTACCACTGTCAAAATGTTTGCGGCTTCAAAATCAGCTGTTTTCCAAGTATTGCGGTGCAGTGTATGTGTTTTCAAAGAAGTTAAGTTCAAGAAAATAAGTACGATGAATAACTGGCAAGCAGAAATGGAAAAGTTTCTTTCTATGGACATTAACAAGAAACGAGATTTATGTAAAAAGTATGAGACTTTGGATAATATACCAACTTGGAAACAGTATGCATCAGGTAATTCCCTTTTACGAAAAATAGAAGCAAAACAGGGTTACGAAATAGACTCCTCGAAAAACGCCATTGTGGCCGATAAGATATCTGTTTTCTCCGGAGATATCACCACATTAGAGGTAATTTATACTTTTACAATTTTTTGTATTTGTGCATATGTAAAAACATATTCGTCAATGCAGAATAGTAATGGTGATAATCTTTGCCTCTGGCACTGTCAGTGTCAGTATGTATAGAATTTCATTTTGTTTTATTAGGTTGATGCAATAGTCAATGCAGCAAATTCAAGTCTTATGGGTGGAGGTGGAGTAGACGGTTGTATCCACAAAGCTGCAGGTCCAAATCTCTTGGCAGAATGTAAAACATTAGGTGGTTGTCCCACTGGGCAAGCTAAAATCACTGGAGGGTACAAATTGCCTGCAAAATGTAATGTTCAATTATCAAATATTTCTATTAACAAATTTTATCTTACATTTTAGATGTGATACATACAGTAGGCCCCCAAGGAGAAAAAGAAAATCTGCTAAGAAACTGTTATCAGAACAGCTTGCAAATAATGCTAGACAAAAAACTGGAATCTATAGCTTTCCCTTGTATTTCCACAGGGATTTATGGATACCCTAATGAGTCAGCTGCTCACGTAGCTCTATACACAGTACGTAAATTCTTAGAAACCAATAGTGATAAAGTAAACCGAGTGATATTTTGCTTATTCTTAAAAATTGATCAAAATATCTACGAAGGATTGCTTCAGTCGTATTTCCCTTTGAAATAAGGTGATAGTTTTTGTTTCTTTTGTACTTTAATTTCATGACATGTATAAAATTTTTAGTTTAAAATTAGTTTTAATATGTAAGGAATGCAATCTCATTGTTATTTTGGTGATTCAATAAAAAATAATATTTAGACATGCTTTTTTTTGTTAATTTCTTATTAGTAGCCATATTATTAAATTCTGTGTTCAAGAAACTGTAATTTCAAATCTATTTTTATATCATAATTTATTACTTTGGTAATCAATTTTTTTTTTAATTAAATTTTCATATACTGTGGATGAAATTGGGAAGGAGACTATTTTTTCTCTCTTTTTTAATGTGAGTACTTACAGCCTATTAGAGATGTCAATAGTCGAATTTAGTGTTTATAAAATCATTTATCTGTGTGTGGAAACGAATATCACAACTTTTGATGTGTCATCTTTGGTAATAATTGTTAAATGCAGTGGCAGTGTAGGGTTAAATTAAAATGCTCATATTTTGATTATGCATAGACCCATATTTATTTATTTATTTTTTTTTTTTTGGGAAGAAATTTGCAAAATAAATTAAAATAGTAGTTACAGACCAAGAAATCTTAGTGTTGCACATACAGGGTGTTCCTAAATAAGTGTCGCAATGGAAAACTGTAAATTCCTCTTGAAAAAAGAAACATACTTTTCCTCTTCCATTTTTCTCTCCGGGCTTTCATTTTCGAGATACACGGTGTCAAAACTTTAATTTTTTTTTAGTTTTTCGCCAATATCTTAGGAATTGTTTGAACTACAGGACTGAGCTTTTGTGCACACATTACCACTATTAATAGCTACTTTTTCGCACCCTTCTCGAATTCATTGGACGTACCAGTGGTGGAGATTTTAAGGTATTGTAAGGGTTTTCCCCCCCTAAATTTTACGCCACTGGAAAAATTGACTTTTGCCAGCAAATTCTAAAGCGCCAATGAATTTTACACAATAAGAGTTCTCTTGGTTCATTGCTCTAAAGTCAACCGTTTTCAAGAAAAATGACTGTTTATGAACAAAAGCAAACATTTTGCTAACGTTTCGAAAATCTTTTGTAATTCAAAAAATAGCTAGTAATAATTAACAATTTTAACGAAATTTAACAACAGATAGGATTTTAACTTTTTTTTTATCAATTTGGCGAGTAAAATTTACAGAAACTGTTCAAAATTATGTCCGTTGGTTTGAATGCAGGCATTACATCTTCTAATCATGTTTCTTTCTGCCGCTGCGGCTTCACCTCTATCGGTCAACTTTTCGATAGTATTGACATGGATTTCATAAACGATGCATTTCGTTCTCCGGATGTTCTGTTCAGTTACTTGCACTTGCAAAATGTTCAAAATGGAAAATGCAAAAAATTTTCGAAACGTTAGCAAAATGTTTGCTTTTGTTCATAAACAGTCATTTTTCTTGAAAACGGTTGACTTTAGAGCAATGAACCAAGAGAACTCTTATTGTGTAAAATTCATTGGCGCTTTAGAATTTGCTGTCAAAAGTCAATTTTTCCAGTGGCATAAAATTTAAGGGGGAAAAACCCTTACGATACCTTAAAATCTCCACCACTGGCACGTCCAATGAATTCGAGAAGGGTGCGAAAAAGTAGCTATTAATAGTGGTGATGTGTGTACAAAAGCTCAGTCCTGTAGTTCAAACGATTCCTAAGATATTGGCGAAAAACTAAAAAAAATTAAAGTTTTGACACCGTGTATCTCGAAAACGAAAGCTCGGAGAGAAAAATGGAAGAGGAAAATTATGTTTCATTTTTCAAAAGGAATTTACAGTTTTCCGTTGCGACACTTATTTAGGAACACCCTGTATATGAGCACAATATATGATGATGGATACAAATTTTCCACAAAATTAAATTCTCTGTAGTTGTATCTATTTAAACTTTAAATTGATCCTATTATAATTTTTCAAACTTCATAATTTTGTAACTAAGAAAAATTAAAATTTTGAAATAAAAATGAAAAAAAAATCTTCAAATATATGTGCAACCCCTTTCGGAATCCTTAGGTCAGCAACTAACAATTTAATTTTTTATGTGGCAAATTTCTTTTGAAATTGTTTTATAAAGAAATTTCTCTATGTCTAAAAAACCACTAATTTTCATCAAACTGGTTACATATGATAATATATTTTTTAATTTTACTTGAAAACTGCATTTAGAAAAATTTTTCAAGATTAATAATTTTTTCAATTATTATTATATTCTCCGAAGTCAGTTGAAGATGTATAAAAATGCTTAGCAATAAAATTTAATGAGTTTCATAGGCGTCCCTAAAAAGTTTTCTGCTAAAGGTAAAAATAATTATTTGTTCCATTTAAAAAAAAATTCTTTACTATAGTGGTTTCCATTATTCAATTGTTTTTTCTAATACTGTATTATAAAAATTCATAAAAAAAGCTAAAACTTTTGTATTAAAAACTTTTTTGTAATTTCAATAATAAACTCACAATAAATTGTCAGAATATAGCGACTAACCCTGTACAATCATTGTATTGATCGGTGAAAACATTTTGAGTCGAAAAATGGCATTTTGAAAAATGTTCCTGTTGGATTAATTTTTATTTCTCAAAAATTAAGCCATCCTCGTCAGGAGCGACGAATTTATATCCTATTTAGGTAAGTAAAACAATGTTCTAGAATGATGTAACTAATTAGATTCCATATGTAGAGTATCTAAATAAAAAATTATGTTCAGAATTTTAAATGAAACACGCTGCATATAGGACAATTTTTTTAAACATATTTGACTATTGTTATATTATTAATGTTAGGAATTGTTTAATTAAATGTTAGTTACTTTTGAGGTTTTTTTTTTCGTAAATTAAATTCAATTATGGATCAAAATATGTTCTCTGGAACAGTCCTGTCTTTGTGCTGTACGATGAGTAAAGTGCTGTAGACCATCCGCGTAAACAAATCGTCGTTGAAAGATAGAAAGATACTTCTCAATTTTTGAGGAATTTTTCAATGCAAAAGTACAAACTAAGAAAAATAGATATTTAAAAAAAACATGTTTTCTTATAATAATTAATAGTAATTACTATCTTAAATGCATTGTTACTGCAAGAGTTTGCAAACAAAACCACATCCGTAAGCATCTGTAGTTGCTAACTGCGTGCACTAGACAAATTCCATTAAAATAAATGAAACAAAATGAAATGAAACTAACCATTTCTAGAGAATATGTTCAAATTGATCCCTATTAGCGCGAATACAGGCATGGTACCGATGCACCCAGTCTACTTGATTTGCACATTGCCGTAAAAAACATCTGCAAAAACGCATTCATTGATCACAATTTGGGGGTAAAATCTGTTGAACTGGTTGCAGATAATAATACTTGCTGTGCAAGTCGAGTACTAATTGTGGGGTCTTTGTCAAGATTTTTCAACTGCATCTTCAACATTAAGGTTCACTTGCTGACTACATCCTTCTCCTCGAGGAATAACACTTCCCGTATCTCACAACCGCTCAACGCACTGTAAGATTGTGACGTTGTGGCCATCGTTCCCGGTACAACCTAGTCACCGCGAGCGCATTTTCTCCGGCTGCACCATACACTAACACCATATCGACACGTTCAGAAATAGTAAATGCATTATTTTCTCGGTTCATTGTAAAATGAAACTAAAAAATTAAGCAAAATAAGAAATAAGAATCTGGTTTTTAATGTAACCGGCACGCTATTCTTATTGTTTACTTCTTTATAAAAATTACACTGTCACTACCGTGGAAATACAAAATAAAAACTTCTGTCTGGAATCTTTCCCTTTTTAACACTGATGGGTCGATGGACGATGCTTAATATTTAATAATTAAGTGAATAGTGAATTCAATGCAAATCAGTTGACTGCACAAATTTTTTGACAATATAATCTAACCTTTCAAAATTACTAGTATTAGATTATACCAACTTAAATTATAGTTGTATCTCGGGTCGCATAAAAAAATGTCCAAAGTTTTTAATAAATAACACAGGGTCGGCCTTCATTTTCGTTGAATAAATGAACTTTAATTTACAAAAAACAAAACGCGAAGATATAACTTTTTTGTGAGTTTTCTATTACAAATATCGTCAGAAAGCTGTAGTTTAATTTGTATAGATTATACACGCCACACCTTGTATTTAAAGTAAAAATTAAAAGATTTTTGTAAATATTACAATAATTACAAATATACAATTGAATTTTATTTGTAGCTTACTCCGAAATAAATTGAGAAATAAAAGTTTTCCCTCCTTGGTTATTCAGAAAACATTAACTTTTTTTTATAATATTTGTGATATCGAAGATGACTGAAGTGGGAGAGTAAATAAACACCAACACATTTTGTTCTCTATCTGTTTATTGGAGGAATGCTCAAGATTAAACATACCATTTAAAAAAACGCACCACCATTTAACAAGTGGAACCCTTAATATAACAAATTCCTAAGAGGTAATTCTATTTCACTAAGATTTGGAATGACATTTTGTGTCCTCACAGACCGGTAACATATGCAATAAAAAAATTCAACGTAATCACAACGCTCCAAATGAAAAATAATAGTCGCTACTGGCTAACCAACGCTAAGATTGTCTTTTTCATCCCATATGTCACGACAAAGAACAATGAAAACACATAATGCGCACGCGTGTAATAAATAATAAAAATGCCAAAATACTACTACAATAGTTTGAGGAGAAATGAAACTAAATTAAATAAATTTTACTAGGACATCGACCAGGCCTGTCTGAGCAAAAAGAGTGTGTATTTGTGTGTGTAATGACAATACCCTTCCACAATAAATTAGAATTCTGCAAAGAGGAGAAACGAAAATGATAATAAATACAATTTTAATGCTTAACCTACCCAAGGAGGAACTTACAAAGCTATTATGATGGGAAACCGGTGGGTGGTTGGCCGGGTACAGAATATTGTGGCCTGAAGTTGCCGAAATTGGCCGCCGCCGCGGCAAATTGGATGTTGCCGGCGTTGAAGCCTGCTGGGAACTGGCTCATCACTTGCGCTGAAAATTATTTATTTTGTTTAACATTAGTCAATAAGTAACTGGTTGCAAAAAAATTATAAATAGCAGACAGTTGAAAATATACAGGGTGTTCCAATTAAAACTTCCCACCTGGAAATATCCAAATTAAAAAAAATAAAACTGGATCGGTTCCAAACAGAAAACATCAACATGAACAGGTCATACGTAATGAGAGTAATCTGGTAGTTGTACTGGGTCACATTGCAATGGAACCAAATTTGAGTCTCAGGAATCTTGCAAGTACTTCAGAAATTACTGTACCTAAGTTCATAATGTTGTTTATAAGTATCACCCATACAAAATTAATTTGGTACAAGATGAAGACGATCCTGATCGCCGCTTGCAGTTCTGTGAAGAAAAGAATGATCGTGCTTCAAGGAATGCAAATTTTTTGTACTCAATCTGTTTTTCCGATTTTTAGACTTTTTTGTATGTGGACAGAAAGACGGAAATTTACTCAACAAGACTGAACTCACTTGAGGAGCTTTGTCGGCTAATTGTTGAAGAAGGCCCGAAATGCTTCGAATTATTCGTTCGGAAGTGGAGCAAAGTTTTTATTATTGTATGGAAGTGGAGGGAAACCAATTTGAACATTCAATACAATAACATTCTTTCATTCATTGATATTTTGTCTTATTCTATATAAGTGATGATTTTATCGTCATATCCAAACCAAAATTTAAAAAGTCGTATGTTGTCATGAGCAGAATTGAAAAAGCTTTAAAATGAGGTGTCAACTCAACATAGGGCGTTACTAAAGTTTAAGGGTATTTTACATCCTTTCCTAAGGGGTAGCTTCCAGGATATCAAAACTTACACCATCACGTGTCCCTCTTAAAAAAAAAAGTCGAAGTGTCTCAGGCTTTTTTTGCTTTGCTTTTTTAATTTCCTTATTTTCCAGATGGGAAGTTTAGGGTGTTCTCAAAATTGTCATTTATTTTAACAGCTGGTAAAACTCATAAAAAAGTCGATTTACCAAAAATCGTTTATACAGGGTGATTCAGAACTTATCCAAAAAAAAATTCTGGATGTACAGGGGACCCTTACAAATACAATTTTGTAAAGAAAAAATCAAAAAGGGCAGTTCGAAAATGATTTAAAAATACACTTCTGCACGTCACTGGAAACTGGTCCACTGTAAAACCCAACCTCGAACAATGCGACCGGCATCACGGTGTGATAAAAACGGACAAAAACTTTCGCAAGGAAAGAAATATGTAAACAGAATTTTATCGCACCTATTTTATATTGGTAAATTCAACAGCTTTTGCCTTTATTAATTAATACAATTAATTTGTGTTTTTAAATAATAAAATCATTTGACATACCCGATGTTACAACAATTGTTCAAAATTTTATCCACCAACGTGTAAACGCATTTGGGTCCGTCTTACTCAGTTTCTACGAACTAACACAAATGTTGTCTTGCTTCACCATAACACAAATGCTTCACCATAAATTAAAACGATATCAATCAACTCAGAGCTGCTATACACGCAAACCATTTTTGACACTAACTACTAAAAAAACTATTGTAAACACCACAGGTAACGGGTAAATACTATTGCAACGACGATAGCAAAATCCAATTTCAGTATTCGGAGTCGCTGAAGCCACGTGGCTCTCCACACGCATTGCGAATGACGCTAGAGACTACAGTTGTCCAGCTATGTAGTCGTAGAATGTAAACTATAACACAAACCAGATTTATTGTCATTTTCGACCATTCCGTTGTAAAAACATAAATTGTTTGTTTACTACTGATATTGAGAATGTCTTTTTTTTTGTAGTTGCACGGTTTTCAGCACACTCTTTTCGATTTCGCAGTACTAAATAATGCATATTATTTTTGATTTGTGGGTGTTTTGTGCAATAAAAATGGCACATGTTTATGAAAACAATGAACTAGTGTACATAATATTAACTTAAGGGGTGTCAACAAAATTCAGCCGCAGCATGTCACTTGTACACAAAAAGGTTTCTTTTACGAAATCATCCGGCTCCGCGACTCTAATTTAGTTATAAGATAAAGTTTGTTTACTAACATGGACCTAGTACTCGTTTTTGGTCATTTTCGACAATTTCTAAAATTTCTTCCTCGATCTCCACCATTTCGCGTGGAGGTCTTCCAGCGTTCCTTGTTGTTCCTTTAAATACCCTGTATCGCAGAGTCTAATAACAGTAATAACTAAATTTACAATTTCGTAAACGAAACCTTTCCGCGTACAAGCGACATACTGCAGCTGCATTTTGTTGACACTTCCCGTAAGTTAATATTATATCCACTAGTTCATTGTTTTCATAAACATGTGCCACTTTTATTGCACAAAACACCCACAAATCAAAAACAATATCTCGCATTATTTAGCACTGTCAAATCGAAAAGTGTGTACTCAAAACCATGCAACTACAAAAAAAAAATACATACCCAGTATCAGTAGTATACAAACAATTTATGCTCTTACAACGGATTGGTCGAAAATTACAATAAATCAGGTTTGTATTATAAAGTTTTTAAATTTCAATTTTTTTAAATAATTGGTAATAATTGCTTTATTTGACAACTTTTATATAAACGATTTTTGGTAAATCGACTTTTTTTACCAGCTGTTAAAATAAATGACTCAACTTTGAGACTGTATTGAATATTCCCATTTTTATTTTTTAATCTTACTGAACCATATTTAATTATCACTACTAGATAATAATGCAAAATTTAATAGTAATGAACATTCTTAAAAAAATAATATAATTCCTATTCATTTCGGTTTTATTAAGAGAAAATTAAAAATCTCTTTTTAACCCATTGAACACACTTTAATTTTAAAATATCGGCATACCCGGATTATTCCTTTTTATTAGTTTACGGTTTGCATTCATCGAGTAAAATAAAAACTTTTTATTCTTCCACTCTTTTCTCTAGTGCATCCTTGAGGAGTTATAGGCATTTTAATAAGGCTCAAAATCGACAAGGAGGTATTTTAGAGAAAAAAGTGCAGGAATAAAAGTTTTTATTTTGATCCTATTAACACGTCTGTGTATTTTAATTTCAAAATAACTATTTTAACAAAAAATAATCGAGATTTTCACCAATTTTGAGCTATTTTTTAAAGTTAAAGAAAAATCCTGGCGTGATGGAGAATTTCAGATGGCTCCATCGTCTTCTGCGGGTCAAAATACTGTTAAAAAGTATATGAAAAAAAAAAAAATCTTGTGGATATCCAAGATAACTTCAAATTATCAGTAAAAATTTACAATGAGAAGCTCTTGTGAATATCATTGAAAGCATATTAAAGAAAACTGCCCCTAAATGAGAATCTCGAGGCACACCTATTTATTATGTCTTAATTTAGCCAGAATTAAAAAAAAACTCGATGGCACTTACTTGTCGTTTGAGTATTAGATGAAGACGTGGCTGCCAGCCGAGACAGGATGCTCCTCTCAGACATCTGCAACCTTTGCGCCACAGGAGGTATCCTCGCTAGAGTAGCAGGCAATCTGGACACGTCCGATTTCATATCGGACAGCAGCTCTTCCAGCTGGTTGAGCACTTTGTGCAGGACGGCGTTCGCCGGCTTGTTGCCTGCCAACGATTCTTTACTGAGGTGCTGGTGAGATTCCGCTAAGCACTCGACTTCGGCAAATCTGGCATTAAGTGACATTGCGGGATGGTTGGGATCCTGCGTCAGGTTGAGGTATGCCGCCCTGCGTAGCTGTTCTTCGATCACCAGGGCCTGTTCTAGGAGCTGTGAAGAGAAAGTAAGTCGTGATGTTTTGCTGCTAATGATACTACTCTACAAGGCGGGGTTAGTGTTTTAGTGCTATAATATAAATCCAAGTAAATTCTGATGTTACAAAATACTCTATACAAAACAAAAAATAAAAACAAATAATTAAACGTTCAGAAATCTTTATTATTGATAACTTATTGGCTGCATATACCATTGAGGTAACCATATTTGAATTAATTTCATTATAATGAATTTCATGAAATACTTGGGTACATTTTTTCAATGGGATTCATATCTGGAGACTAACTCGGCCATATTAAAATTTGCACATTATTCTCACAAAACCATTTCTTAACAATTTTGGATGTGTTTGAGTTCGTTATGATGTCTATAAAAAAATCTTAAGAGCACTTACCATTCAACAAACAACATTACATCCTGTGTATATTTCAATACATAAAGTGATTCAAAATATCTTCAATCTGATTTAAAAGGAAAAAAAACAATTGATATTAATCTAGTCATATTCAATACCTTTGACACTGTCACTTCAAAAGATAATTTTTTTCCTACAGAGTAATTTCTGAAGAAGAAAGCAATGTCTCTTGAAACTTCAAGAGTTGTAAATCGATGACGTGGCAACCAGCCCGGAAATCATTCAACTAATGTTAACGTAACACTTTTGGGACCGTCTTACTCAGTTTCTACGAACTAACACAAATGCTTCAGCATAACAAATGTTTACAAATTAAAACAATATCCATCCATTCCGAGTTGCTATACACGCAAGCCAGTTTTGACACTAATTACTAAAAAACTATTGTAAACACAATTGTAAAATCGGATTTCGGTTTTCGGAGTCGCTGAGGACACATGGTTCCCACGCATATTGTAAATGACGCCAGAGACTACAGTTGTCCAACGATGTAATGCTTGAAAGTACTACAATTTCAATATTTTTTTTTTCTCGGAAACTATAAGGATTTTACAAAAATTTTTTTTTACAATATTGACTCCATTTCTCATGCCGCATTCCCAAATTTTTTTGGATAAGTTGTGAATCACCCTGTATTATTTTACATATATAAAAGTTACATTGAAAAAATAAATAAGTAAAATGTAAAATAGAACAACTTGTTTTCATTTTGAACAGTTTTTTCAAACAGCTTCCGTTTTTTAAAAGGTCTGGAAATGCCAATGCCCGTAACCAATACTAGGTTGTATTAAGATATTTGTCCCTCTTGTGGCAGTTAAATTAATTGACAATTCATTTTCAGAATGACGATAACTAGTACTTGTAGAGTTTTTATTTCAATTTTTAATTATCTTATTTTTTTTTAAGTTAATTAAATATTGTAAAACTGGACCATTATTTTAAATTAAATCAAAACAGTCCATTTACCTTGAACCTCCTAGCCAGGAACTTGTTCTTGATCTCAAGAAAATTGCCTTTACCAACGTCCATCTTGAAGGGTTCATTGATGATGGCAAACCTAGCATCGGCTTGGATGTCTTGCCACCTGCCATAGCCGTGAGTTACGATGCCTGCTAGCAGCCAGTAATCGTGACGCCTGTGCCAGATTTCATATTCCCGACCCGGGGTGGCGGCTTTTTCCTCGTTCAGCCACAGAGTGTGGAGTTCCGTGAAGCCGCCGTCGGCGATGTTGAACATGAATCTCTTTTTAGTCTCTGGTTCGCTCTCTCTCTTATCCTTCTGAAACAGAAAATAATAATAACAACTCCAAAGTTAATGAGAAGCACGGTCTTTTACCTTGTCCTCTTGCTCAACGACAACCACGTCCTCTTCTTCCTTCTTTTCAATCTTTGGTTTTTCTTCTTTCTTCTCAATTTCCTCTTCCTTCTTCATTTCACTCTCCTTCTCATCTTCATCCTTTTTAACTTCATCTTTTATCTCTATCTCTTCATTTTTAATGTCCTCTTCTTTTTCTTCCTTCTTCTCGTCACTGGCGATAGATGCAGAATCTGCGTCTGATTTAATCTCAGACTTAACGTCGGCTTCCGAGGACTCCGTCGATTCTGTTTTGGCCGATTCTTCCTTAATCTCTTCAGAAGCGGTCTTCTCTTTTTCTTCAGAGAGACCCTCCTTTTCCAACTTGGCATCTTTACTCTCTTCAATCGAACTGTCCTTGTCCTTATCGGGATCGACTTGAGTGGGCGCCGGACTGGGAGCTGCGCTAGTCGCCGGAGTAGCGCTTGTGCTGGTTGTGGTGCTCTTAGGAGTTTCTCCGTCAGTCGGGGTAATGCTGATCTTATTCTGATCCATGATCGACTTCTTGATCACCTCCGGCATACTATATTCTCCATTTATGTGCTCGAATTCCTGCACCTTCTTCCGGATCAACGACATCACTCCTATCCTGGTCAAAACATGTTGTCTGCTCAGACCTTCTCTTGGCACGCCATCGGCAAACGTTTCCGCGTTATCTGCACCGGGTTCGCACAAATGTCTCATAAACAGCGATACGTACGCCTTGAATATCTTCTCCGATTTTCCCCTCAAGTCTCTAACGAGCCATTGCGAGTTGAAAGCATCCTGAGGCGGCATGCCATATCGCATGATGGCGTTTAGGAATGCCTTTCTTTGACGTGCATTGAAACCCAAAACCTCGATGTTACCTCCAACCCTAGCCAAGAGGGGCGGCAAAGGTCTGTCTCGTTCATCTTTACGTTCCATTCTTCTTCTGCTTCGTCTAAAATGAAATGTTGAAAATCAGAAGTGGGATTAGCACAAAAAATTTAGGATATTTCAAAATTGTAATATAGAAAATATTCCTTTACCTGCTGAGATCGCCGTCATTCTTTTCGTCAAAGTCATCGTCCTCTTTGTCTTCGTCCGAACCAGCAGAGAAGTCCGAATGGTAATCCGAGAGATTCTCTTGCCACGTAGAATCCTCGCGGGTATCGGTAGTCATTCCGCCGTCATTATAATTGACTTGTTTCCTCACACGCTTGCCCTTACCCAAGGTACGGGCGATATCTTCCTGTTGCTGTTCATAATGGTGCCTCAAGAGTTTTATCCAATAGGCTGGGTCGGTGTTCTCAGCCTCCTGCTTGATAATTTCCGTGTCCACTTCCTCTTCAGCCTCACCTTCTTTGGTGACGTAGCTGGCCACCTTGAAGGAACTGAGGTATTCATTGGCCCAACTTTCCTTCTGTTCAATACCTTCTTTCGATCTGTCTAACAGTTCGTTGACGGCTTTGTCATCGTAATGGATAGCTTCATCTTCCTTCCCTGAAATCACATTAACAATAAATAATATACAAAAATATTAAAAGAAAAAGGGAATTTGAAAGACAGATACTCAATACAGTTTCATGAAGTTACTATAAAATTAGTTCTAGTTCTACATGTCAAAAAAAAAAATCCTGTTCGAAGGACCAATAAGTAAACTTACCTTCATTTTCCTTGAACAATTCTTCAGTACCAAATCTCAAGATATCGTCCAACTCCTGTTTGGTAAAATTGGCCCCCTTTCCCATACCAGGCCGTACCACCAAGTGGGTTAACATCATCTTCCTCTTTGCCACTTGCGTTACCCTTTCTTCCACACTGTTACGGGTAACGAATCGGTAAATCATGACTTTGTTGGCCTGACCGATACGATGGGCTCTCGAGAAGGCCTGGATATCGTTGTGAGGATTCCAATCCGAGTCGTAAATGATAACTGTATCTGCGGTGGCCAAATTAATTCCCAAACCGCCAGCCCTTGTCGACAACAAGAATACGAATTGTTGAGCTCCCGGAGCATTGAATCTATCGATTGCCTCTTGACGTAAGCCACCCGTGATGGCGCCGTCGATTCGCTCATACTTATAACCCTCCCCTTCCAGGAAATCTTCCAGGATATCCAACATCTTCGTCATCTGAGAGAAGATGAGCACTCTGTGGCCTTGTTCTCTTAATTTCCTCAACATTTTCGACAGCAACACTAACTTTCCTGAGGCCTTGACAAGGTGTTGGACATCCCAACTGCCGTGGGCACCCAATGGAGCTTCCTCTGCTGCCGCCGGGAACAGATAGGGATGATTACAACATTTTTTCAAGTCCATCATAATATTAAGCAGAGAAACTTGCTGGCCGCCTCCTTTCGGATTTAAAGCTTCGAAGTTACGGGTCAGGATGTACTTGTAGTATTTCTTCTGCATGGGGGACAGTTCTACACGTACGATAAATTCGGATTTTGTCGGCATGTTTTTAAGTACGTCAGTTTTGAGACGACGCAGCATGTGGGGCCCCAAAAGTTCATGCAACTTCTTGACTTGATCTTCTTTGGATATATCTGCGAACTCCGCTTGGAAAGTTGTCAAGTCGTTGAATTTCTGTCCGTTCAAGAAATTTAAAAGGTGGAACAATTCTTCCAAGTTGTTTTGCAGTGGGGTACCGGTAAGGAGAAGTTTATAGGTGATGTTGTAGCTGTTCAATATTTTGAAAAACTGAAATAAATAACTAAATAAATATCCTAAACTTCAATAATATAAATATTCGTTGACAGATTCTATTACCAATATTGAAGTAGTATCAGATATAGAAGCAGAACATAATTATGACCATTTAGTTTGGATTTTGGATAAAATGTCTCAGAATTGGATGAATTTATATACCGATTTAATTTCACTAGCCCCTAAAAAATTTGTCGGAAGAAGATACCCTCATTCTTGTATCAATAGAAAACACAAGAGTTTAATATACCCCACCCCAAAACATTACTCTCCCACATGTTGCCTTCATACACTCTTAAATTAATTAAAACAAAGAAAAATGCTAAGGGAATACCATCAAACACATAATCACGACTTCTAAGAGAAAAAGAACTTGGATTTATTTGCAACATACAATATTTCCCAGTAAATGGAAAATAAGGCAAATAGTAGTTATACCAAAACTTAACAATGGGCCATTTGGAAATAAATAAATATCGACCAACACTCATTCATGCTTTGAACAACCTATCCTTCTATACAGGCTGATTTAAAATTCCGTACAAAGAATTTAGGGACGGATTTTTAAGATCAAAATAATACTTTTTTTTTCCTATAATAAACATGAGTCCACAAATGCTTAGTTTTCGATATACAGGGTGTTAAAGTTTTTTATTTCGATTTTTTAGGAATAATTTCCAAACAGACTTAAATGTTGGCATAAAACTTGGGGTACGGGGTTTTTTTTAGGATGCTAAATTTAAATATGATATTGCTTTTGACGCTGCTAGTAGAGGACGCCACCTATAAAGGTACGCTTGAATTAAATTGGCTCTAACTTTTTTGCTACCCTGTACATTGACAATTCGTATTAGTGCTTTATTCCCCTATCAATTTGTGGATACACATGCCGCAAGTGACCCATTTTTAATTACGTCAAGAGCGACAGCCTGACACCGCTCGGACGCAACAGAGTTCCAGGAAGGGTCCACGGTGAATTGGCGCCGGTGACCAGATGCTTACTCAGATACATACGACTGACTCCACACAAGGGGATTCTCCAGCGAACGCTCGCCCCGACAACACGTCTTTTTCACAAATTTTGTTTTCAATAAAAATACTTTAATTTTTCATTATTTGCTACACAACGAAAGCAACCCTGAAATTTTAAGCAGGTATACTTGGTTGAAATCTCTCAGAACAACCCTTTCCGAAATATTGGCCGATGAAGAGTTAAATGCGCACCATATTTTCGATCAAATTATTTTTAAGGTTCAATAAATTTGGGTATTTTTATTTAGTTTTTTTTTTTTTTGTAATAAACTGTTTTCTGCCTGTATTTTCCCCAAGTCTTAGATTTCAACAGAAAACCTCTAGGAATAGTTGTCAAACTAAGCAGTCATAGCCTACTATGTTTTTTTCTGTATGTATTTTGATGACAATACTACCGTTTAGTCAGCAATGATTTTCTTGAAAACGGTAATTTAAGATCATTCATTGCGTTACTGATGATGGTGAAAATAAATTTAAAAATTTTTCACTGTAAATAGTTAATAAAACTTGAAAATATGGTGTATATTTAACTCTTCATCAGCCAATATCTCGGAAATGGTTGGTCTGAGAGATTTTGACCAAGTATTCCAAAATTGATAGAGGAATAAACACACTAATACGAAATGTCAATGTACAGGATAGCAAAAAAGTTAGGGCCAATTTAATTCAAGCGTAACCTTATAGGTGGCGCCTTCTACAAGCAGCATCGAAAGCAATGACATATTTAAATTTAGCCTCCTAAAAAACTTCCGTACACCAAGTTCTATGCCAACATTCAAATCTGTTTGGAAATTATTCCTAAAAAATAGAAATAAAAAACTTTAACACCCTGTATATCGAAAACTAAGCATTTGTGGACCCACGTTTGTAGGAAAAAAAGGCTTATTTTGACTTCAAAAATGCACCTCTAAATTTCTTGTACTGAATTTGAATCTTTATTATTTTTTAATGAAAATCTGTATACCGTCACAAATATTCAACTTATCCATCAGAGTGCAGAAACTTTCCCAAAAATATGCAACAAGAAGTATTTTCGAAATATTCGGACCATTATTCATTTCACCAAACACCATGGAAACACCAAGGATCAATATTCAGAGAGTACAATTCAAGAAACGGTAACCAACTCAGAGACAATTATTAATTAGTGCACTTCAATATACCATGTTTTTTTAAGATGTAATTATTTGATCCCTTTTTCCTTATAATATTCATTACACTAATTAGTTTAGATTAGAATATCTGAGGACATGGCTTTTTGAAAGAATTTTTGTAGGATCATTAAATATCCGGTTCGAAGGACCAAATAGTATTAGATCAAATGTTTTAATGTTTACCTTGGACTGGTTGCTTTTCAGACGATGTGCTTCGTCTACGACCAGAACAGCCCAATCGATGGACCCTAAGCAAGCCGCATCGATAGAGATCAACTCGTAGCTGGTTAACAAAACGTTGAACTTAATGGAGCTTGCCCTTATTCTGGATGCACGACCGCCTCTAACAGCGCCTTCTTCGAAACTAATTTCATTTTCCCTGATCACAGCTCTGCAATCTTTATCGCCTAGAAAAAAAAAAAAAATAAAAGTCAGTTACAAAGAATATCGGATTATCACTTAAGCTCTTACCGACGTAAGTGATGCAATAGAAGTCTGGAGCCCAAGTTTCGAATTCTCTCTCCCAATTGATGATGGTCGAGAGGGGCACACTAATCAAGAACGGCCCTTTGCAGTGGCCTTCCTTGTATAGGGAATACAAAAAGACTATGGTTTGGATGGTTTTTCCCAGACCCATCTCGTCAGCGAGGATGGTGTCTGTTCCGTTAGCCCAAGAGTAACGCAACCAATTCAAACCTTCCAATTGGTATTCGTGCAGTTGCATGCCCAATTCGTCCAGATAGGCTGGTTGCTTGTCGAATTTCTTCTTCAAGTCAGTGCAAGGTTTTTCTGGAGGGGGCGTATATCTGCGACTGAAAAATAAAAAAAAAAATTATTAATTACAATGAACTTTTGGGGATATTTCTTCAATTTCGCGAGATAGGAAATAGTTCAAACGACCCCATTTACAAGAATTGGTAGAAACTGCCTTGATGTACAATAGATACAGGGTATTTTTTATTTTTGGCTAATATTTGTGGTCGTAAGTATTTAGGACGTTTGAACTACTCCCATCAGAATCCATATGCCTTACAAAAATAAAAAATGTTTACAAATTGAAGTTGTTTGACAACAAAAAAATATTGATAAACTTCAAATAAATATTAATAAATTACTTAAAATCTCTTAACTCTTTCAGTCTCAGTGGTGCATAAAATGTACCACCGTTTTTTATTCCTCCAGGTCTTGGTGGTACATATTTTGTACCAGAATTTTTTAAGTACTTACATTTAAAAATTATTTAACAATCATTTCCCTTCAGCCATAGTTTTACAGACCCTGTACCCCCCCCCCCCCTCAGGAGTCTGTGAGCTAACACAGGGTCACAAAATCAGCTGTAATGTATTTAGTTTTAAGTATTCTTTACAATAAAATCATTATAATTCACAAAAGCTATAGTTTAATTTTTTGTGACGCTTGAGTAAAAAAATTAATATAATTTCTGTGCCTGAAAGAGTTAAACTGATATTAAAATGCGCCTTAAGCTGTTTAGTTGGCCCAATATGTACAAACTCGTACGTACGACAATTTTACTTACGGAGTAGTTCTATCATCGTCATCGATAAGATCCCTCTTGATCTTTTTGCCTTTGCCTTTCTTGTTCTTGGAGCTACCGCCCCCACTCATACACGCCGATCTCAAATCCATATAATACTCAATAGCTTGCTTAAGCCCCGGAATATCATCGGATTCCTCCTCCCACGTCGCCTGATCGTAAGTTAACTCTCTCCACTTGACAAGATAAAGAGTTCTGCCGTCTCGCATGGTGCGATGATTGATGACCCGATGGACTATGAGCCATTCTGGCTTCACGCCGTATTTGTAGTACTTCTCTTCCAGTTCTTCATCATTTTGCGTGCCTCCCATCTTTACTAGCCTGTTGCAGCGTGTGTCAGACTCGTCCATCGGTTCTTCCAATTTGGGTGGTTCCTCCATGTCGTATTTTCTGTAGTAACTGCGGAACATTAGCGGGTGGTATACGTCCAATTGTAGCTCTGTTATCCAACTGCAATGCCAGTAAGATAACTGTAAAACAAGAGAAAAATTATTTAGTATTAGACAATCGGTTTAATAATTTTTTTATATTTATGAGTGTTGAATGTGTGTGATAAAAGCGTTTTTTTTTTAATTGTTTATTCTTCTATGCATTTTTTAAAATAGTGATTGCATTTATGAAAACAATGAACTTGTGCTATCACAATAACGCGGGAACAACGAGAATATACAGGGTGATTCACAAATGGTGACCAAAAATGAAACCTCGTATTCTTTGGTGAATTTTAAGGTGAGTTTTTCATATGGTTTTTTATCTAGGACGCTTCGTTAAAAAGATACAGGGCGTTAAACTTCAAGAAATATTTTTAATTTGCATATAAAAGTCATCAACATCGTAACTTCATAATTATCTCTCAACCATTCGAAATTCAACGTAATGTTTTTAGACATCCTGTGTATACATATATTTGAAAAGTTATATTTTCTTCTTATGGAAAGATTCAAAAAGAAAACACCATAATGAAGGTATAATACAGCAATAAGTAAAAAAAATTCTTAAGGATCCAGTGCGAGATTCGAACCGTCGACCTCCAGGTCGCAACGCGACCATTTTATCACTGAGGCAATCATTGCCTCTAGACAAAGTTTGTCCGTATCGGTATTTGAATTCCTGTTCATAGCCGAAGTAAACAAGCATTTTCGTAATGTTAAAAATTGCAGTTTTCTGCCGTAAAATCGTCGGCGAAGGACTCGGAACGGTATAAAACATAAAAATAATCGCCCATCGTCGTACTGCCGCCCCTGGGAACGACGAAATCGGACAATTCTGACGTTTCTACTGCGGTGACAGTTTGTATCAAAATATTCTTAATCTCGTCTTAAATTTTGTTACATTTGACCTAATAAAAGTTGAGGGCGATACAGAAGAGAGAGAATGTTGCGAAAATATTGGGGTTTCGCGAGAGAGATGCAAGATACAGAACCTTTTTAAAAAGCAAATTTGGGCGTTAAAAAGTAAAAAATACCCTTCGAAAACGTCCCGTGGTGACGAAGAAAGGACGAAACTCGCACATAAAAGCTGAGCAAACCCTCGTTTGGTCCTCGGAAAAAAGCCTTTAGTATTTTAAGGACGTTCGATACACCTCTTACGGGGCGGGCGGTGCGGAGAGTATGCCTATGTTTATACACGGGAGTCTTGTTGCAGTACCAACCTTACATAAATTAATTTCAGCGAACTAAGTATTCTATTTAGAATGAAATTTATACAACACATATTAGCTTGCATATTTTTTTCGTGTTTAATACACGTCAGTTCACTATTTATTTGAATAAAAGCGTCTATTTATTCATTACGAGCTTGTAAAATTATGGATGAAATCTGGCAACATTGCCATGGCGTGGTGGTAAAAGTTGGGTCAACTGTCATTACTGTCAACTTTGCACGAATTCCGTAAACATGAATGAACAACCAAGGTACAAAGGAAAAGTAATGACTGAAAAGTGTAAAATGAGTATAAAACAGAATGTGGATTGATGAGAAAAAAATAAAATGTGCAAACCGAGAATCCATATGATAACTATCAAGAAGTTCAATGTATGATAGTGAGACGTCGACTTGTCAAATTGAAGATTATGACAACAACTAAACCGTTCGTTTTGCAAAGAGATCCTTTCAATTTTTGTTTCAAATTGCTAGTATATTGCTTTAGATCACGAAAAATTTATTTAATATTAATTATTACTACATATATTTTCGACTGGAATAATTTTATAATCTATAATTGAGCTATTCAAATATAACGCATCAGTCGAAGCATTAAATACAGCGTACAATGTTGCCATATTTCCTTTCATTGGATCAGATGTTTGTTCAAATTTGTCAAAACGTTATCTATTCATTCCATTATCTCAATAATTACATTGTAAGTGCATATTTTTATTGTTTTAAAATGTTTAGTAATATTTAATTCTTTAATTACAATTTTATTTTCTCGATCCTAACCATTTTTAAGAGCAATATTCACGTTTGATTAAAGTTTTTTCCCAACTCCCATAAGAGCCTGTGTAAAAGAGCATAATTTTTAAATTCATTTTTCAAAAAAAACTACGTTGTCAATCGATCTGATATTTTTACACAAGTCAGTTTGCATATTTATTAACAGATTTCAATTGCTTTGAAAACATTCTTACCATTTTTCTTTTGGTATCGAACCTCCTTAAATCGACCCTCGAAACGTCCGTGGGTGGTCGTTCCCGTCGGGTTCTGTCTCTCACCCACAACGAAAATTTGCCGTTCTTGTCTAGGAGCCCCGGGAAAATGAAAATTTATCTAGGAAAACGCGGAGAAGCTTCCACCGAAATACCCCCAAGGGACAAAGGAAGGACGTCGGGGCACGAAGCTCAACGGAAAAAAGTAATTTTTAATGATTTTATTTGAGTAAATGTTCAAAAATATCTCCATTTCCACGAACACAGGCCCGACGTCTTTAAACAACCCCCAAACAAATTGCATCTCGTTATCCCACGAATTGATTGTAAAACGTCAAAACGAAATTGAAAAACTGTTCATGTAGCAAGTCTTTTCTTACCTCATGCCATTTGACGAAAAACTCTCTGTGCCTGGATTTTTTCGGTTCTTCTCCCTCTTTTTTACTTGTGTGTTCAACCCATTTCCATGTCAAGATTTTGGCGACCTTACCAATAAGAGGCGGACAACCGCATCTCGGGCATTTCCAGTCACCGTCTGGAATCTCCGTTAAGGGAGGGTTCAAACAGTGAGTGTGATAAGCTGAAGTACAAGAATCACAGCACAACAATTCACCACCGTCCTTACAGACACGGCAAAATTCTTGATGTTCATCATCGTCTTGTTCCGGGGGTCCCTCATTTTCGCAATGCGGGCAACTCCATTTGCCTTCCGGAGCCTCCTCCAGTTCTGGTTCCAGACATACCAAGTGATACGCTCTAGGGCAGGTGTCGCACAGAATGATTTCTCCTCCCTGTTGGCAAACTTCGCAATAATCTTGGTGATCACAATTTTCCTCTTCGTTCTTGCCACTTTTGACCTTTTTCTTCTTCTTGCTCTTATTCCCGATTTTCGTCTTGGCCTTGCGTCTGGGTTGCGGCATTTCCTCACCGCCGCCCTCGGCAGGTTGAGAAGCGTCGCCGGTAGCCTCGTTAGTTTTCGGTTCCTCCGCTTCTTGGAGCATCTGTTCGAATTCGGCGTCCGAATCTCTGTCCGACGCACCAACGCTCATATCGCCATCTTCATCCTAAAAAAAAAACAGTCAGTGTAAGACTAAGTTTGCCTCTTCTTCAAGTTATACTTACCGAACTTCCTCGTTTTCTCTTTCCTAATTTGATTTTTAGTGTCGGAACCTTCGACGCCTTTTTAGATGCTTTCTTTACTCTAGAACTTCGTTTCTTCTTGGTTTTTCCGTCATCATCCTCTTCGTCTTCATCGTCGTCATCAAATGGTTCAGAATCAGCCTAAAAATACCAGATGGGAATAATAATTAGATATATTATCGTCGATTAACAGTACCTCTACGATTTTTTGTGCGGCTTCTTTGGATGCTCTAGAACGGCTTGGTTTGGAGTAACCTCCTTCTTCAGATGTGGATGTTGACGGAGCTGAAGGTTCAGTTCGTTCAGTTTCTGTTTGAAGGTTTGGATTTATGTTGGAGAATTCACGCCATTTCGCAGCCACCAACATCATCAGCTTAGACATGGGTACTTTCGGATTTTCCTTAGCGAGAAGAGGTCTAACGTGCTGTTGGAATAATTTGTAACTTGTCAGGTTTTGGAAATCGGTCTCGGTGTAATCCAGGTCCACATCTGTTAATCCAAATGTGGAACACACCTCTTCTATAGTGGGCATCCCTAAAATAACCACAATGAATTGATTTAGATTAGTTTATACTAAAACTGAGTAATTTAAAAATATGTTTCAAACTAACTCACCTCCACTTGATGTATTCGATTCTGCCGCCGGAGTGGCAGGAGCAGAACTGTGTTTAGTGGAACCCCTCGATTTTCTCGACTTTTTACTACTGCTATAATCTGAATCACCATTGTCTTCGTCTCCAAAATCACTTTCCTTTTCAAAAAAAAAAAAAATTGGATTGTTAAATTTTCAAACGTAGATTTTATTAACTTGGGGCTTAAATGTAATGATGATACTTTACTTTAACATACCTACATTATTTAAAAAATATTACATTGCAAGTAAAATGGACCTACTTTTTTATTATTGGTGTATTACTTTGTGACAGAGAATATGGTAATGATAAATAGATACTAGCAAGTTTACTTTGAAACTTCATGAATTCGTTCTAAATGATTCTTGTACTCTTTTTATCAGTTGAAAATTAGTTCAGTTTTTTCGGGAAATATTAACTGCATAAAAAGAACAAACATAAGTTCAAAATAAGTATCCAACGATTTATTTCGCATTTTATATAAAAAAAGTAATTCCTATTAAAAAATTCTACAATTGTTCAAATCTAGAATAATATTGTTGTAAGTAGACCAGCATAAACAGGATGTCCTCTACAAAGGAATTACTAAAAATGTAATTGATTTTATCCTTAAAACTCAATAATACACATGTGCCAGTTAAGAAACACAAAAATTAACCTTTTCTAACATATACATACCCCGTGTGTCCACATATTGTCAAAACCTGTGATGACGAAAAAAATTTTAAGCCCAAATTTTGGCATTTTGGGAAACAATTCTGTATGATTAGGTACATAGTAATTTGTTGTATATTTTTATTCATGAAAAATTAAGTAGACTTTGTTCAGAGTACGATGGGTTTCCGGGTTGTTATACTATGGGCCTATGTAACTGCTCGCCGACAGTTACAGAAATCACGGCGGAGCATTTACAGAGTCGCCACTGAAGATACCAGCAGTGAAGAGCAGTGAAATATTTGAAATGCGATAGTAAGATGCTGCTAGGGCATATATCAAAGGTTCACTATTATCTGAGGAGTTGTGCCATCCCTAGCGGCTTATAGAATCAACAAGAACTGGAATGAACATCAGGGCCAAGGTTTTGATAGCAGGTCCGCACCCACTGAGCCTAGCCCGAGAACAACAAGGGCAGATCAAAGATTCCTAACTACAGTTAGTGAAAGGTAATTTTGTAACTGGTGGCGATCAGACACATAGGTCACAGCATATCATCCCGAACAACCATCATGCTTAAAATATCAGCCACCGCTATTAAGGAGGCTTTGTCAAAAGTAAGAAACTTATTTTTTGTGTATTTAAAGTTCCTTTTCATATAAGACATCAAAATAATTTTTATGTCGATATACAAAGTTTGAAGATAATATTTTTTTTAATTGTTAAATCACCGAGTTGTAAAATTGCGATTGATTCTAAATTTGAGACATTTTTTAAATTAAATGTAACTGTCATATTCCCAATAATTTCTGTATAGACTCAACATTTTTTAACATGAACAACTTTTTCATAAAATGAGATAAAAAAATTGTTCCTTTTTTTCAACTCTATTTGTGAACACACTGTATATTATTCTATAATCTCTTAGCATCATCTTGTATTACATAACACAATTTTATATTTTTTAGAACTTCAAAATTATAGCAACATATTAAAACCACTTGCCTTCTAAATACAAAATTATTTTTATAAGTACCTATCTAGAATTATTTATTATATTTTATATTTATTAAAGATTTGAATCCCAGCATTCAGAAATTTAACTGGAAACGGGTAATACTCTATCAAAAAAAAACATCTGTTAAGTAATTTTTAAATTTTATAAATTCAAATCAAAGTTTAACAGTTAACCTGAACTAAATAATGCTCTTATTATAAACAATAATCTAAAAATCTGAACAAGCATTCTCAAGCTGCTCAGAGGTTGTCAATAAGGAAGCGAAATAGGAAATTTTATTTTGGGATCATATGGGGACTATCGGGATAGATCTTGGGATTTGAAACCTACATAACATTCCGAATCCCCATTGGACTTCTTATTTGTGTCACAGTAAACCCAACGCAGGAGGGAGGACTGAATTGTAGCACATTATTTGCTTGATAACTTTTTTTATGTAAATTTTATACTAACGCAATTAAAGACAAGCAAAATTAAATGACTCCAACCTTCTATTTTTAAAAATTTTGGACATATTTATATAATATTTAGTATTTAGTAATGTATCTTATCAAAAAATAGGCCCATTTTACAGTAACAAAAAAATATATATGGACTAATAATAAATGCATTTCTGTCAGAAATATTAAAATACTTACATCTCCACTATCATTTTTTCGCTTTTTCTTCTTTTTCTTGCCTTTCTTCTCCTCCCCCCTCGCTTTCCTTTTCTTTCCCTTCTTTTTCTTACGGCCATCCTCAGGTTCATAATCATCATCATCTTCCTAACAATTATTAAAGACCACATATTTAAAAATAAATATTTCCTGTTTATTAATTTTAATTATTAATTAAGTCTCTTACCCCTCCCTTGGGGGCCGCATCTTCGGAGTCGGGTTCGTTTTCCACTTGGTCTCCGCCAGGCACTTCTTCAGGGGCATCTTCTTCCCCTAAAATTCGAGAATTATTAATACGCGTGCCAGCCATGTGGACAGTGGTCAGTGTCACCATAACATTATTTTGGAGGGAAAATATGAAATTTCTAACCCCAAAACGCTAGATATGCATTGTGGTGCAATTATATAATTTGCAATCTGCCAATCTCTTTGTTTGATGTCCTCCATTTTGTTAAGGGTCAGGATATGCCCGCGCGCTGTCACAAAAATAATGAAAATCTACCTCCCCCTCCCCCGCGGACTAATATATCTGATTATCAAGTAATAATTATGCGCTTTTTGGGCATTTTCGGCAAATTTAACAGTACGCGTAGATTCTAGATGAATTTATGTACATCCGGGAAGCGTTTTGTATAAATATTTGGGTCAAAATTAAGTATTTAAAAGTAAACACATGAGTTTGAAGTCGGCTTACGTTCGCACCTATGCAAAGCTAAACAAAACAAACTTACCGGCAAAAGATTCCTCGACTTCTTCGTCGGATGCCATCTTAACTAGACACGAGGATACTTAATTTATGTTAGTCAACGGTTGTTATCACTCTTTTAATTAAAATAATGCACTTATCACAAAAAGTATGCACCGCTTTTCTACTCCGTGGAGTTGTTCTTCCATTGCTCTTTTTATCCCCACCCGACTAGAGCTAGAACAAACGAAATGGGCATGCGCAGCCTTCTAAGACGAGTATTTAAAAAGATAAAAATATCGTTTCTTCTCTTTTCCACGCATTCATGTAACGGTTTGAACGGGTGTTTCTTCTGTATTCATGAATTCATGAATATTTTATTTTACTCCTCTCTTTTCTGTTCTTCTGTTCTACCAGTTCACCGATTATTGTTTGATTCGGGCGTATTTACGTGTCCCACAATATTTTTCTCCTAAAAAAGTAATAGTATAAATTAACTTCAAAACTGCAAATAAACTCTAAGAAAAATATTGCTCATAAGTATTTCAAAAAGTAATATTTTATATTTTTTACACAACAAACATTTGGAGAAGATGTAAATTTTTTTATATCAAAGTAGATTGATTATACAAGGTACTCATAAATGTTTCTACAATACTATCCTCAAAATGCAAAAGTTAAAAAAAATGCGTCCGGAAAGACACTACGTCAAGATCAAAACGGATTGGATGTTGATGGTCACGAGGTTACAACGGACCGGTGATCACGCATGAATGTGGATCCAGACATAGACTATTTTATTAACAATAATAACAAAATGTTCTGGAGATGATTGTAAAAAGATTGTGTAGTCGATTGGTTAGATTTTGAGTTACAACTTTAGTGATCGGGTCAGGCCGTTCACTTAACGTAGCCTTAAACCCCTTTAACTAAGTGACTATAATAGTATTTTCATTATTCGTAAATGGAAAGTAATCATTTATAATGTATTTTTAAGCCATGTCCAAATCGCCCATTTTTATGCTTGCTTACATAAGTCAATTATACAGGGCTGGAAAATCCACATGGTACATCTGCCTTTACATGAGAGCGACAAAGTAAAGGCCCGTTTCGGGTTAGAAGTGGGAGTGACTATTCAGATTATGAAACGTCTTCAATGTAACCATCCTTGTCTATCGCACGGATTTCTATGGCTTACTTTATCGCTCTCACGTAACGGCCGATGTACCATATGGGAATTATGGGGACTTTCCGAACCTGTATACACAGTGTAGGTACTGACTATATTATTATAATAAATTTATTTTTTTTGTGGAAATATTTTATAGATTTATCAATGAAAGTTCTTGTCCAAACACAAATAAAATTGAATTTATCTTTTATAAATATTTTATTTCCCATCACAAACTGCTACAGATTAAATTAAATCTAAACATTAGTTTTACATTTACATTCACACATAATTTTTAAAATTTTATTCAACGAATCAGGGATCAGATTATCTCGAGCGTAGATGTAACGGTGTTCATTGCAAATCAATCGACCTCTTGTATCTCTTCAGATCCCAATAGCGTAGCTCGAGAAATTTAAATGACCCTTGTTGATTAGAAACTTTACCATAACTTTTTATGTGCAGTTTTTAAAAAAATTAAACTTGATAGTAAAAGATCAATGGAAAATCTTACAAAAAGGTTTTCTTGTTCCAAGTCTATAATTTTTCCGTTTGTAAGAAACGACTACTTATCAGGCCATTAGACTGTGATTATATACTGTATAAAATAAATCAGTATATGTAGTCTAATCGCCTGATCAGTTAATCATGATTTAACCGAGACTCAAAGTACCGGGCGTTGTACTGTAAAATGGTACATTTTAGTATTCTTAGGATTGCTTCAAAACATTACGTTTGAAAAGAAACACTAAACTGGAAAAAGTTATAGTAGTTAAAAAGGTAACTGAGGTATACAGGGTGGTCGCGACGTAATGGGCCAAAATTCATGGGTAGATTACCCAAGTAAAAATATTGCGATTTAGCCGAACTTACCTTAGTCCAAAAGTTGATAGTTAAAGAGATACAGGGTGTTAAATGTAAAATATTATTTCAGTTTTTTTTTTTAATTTATTCCTTAACAAATGCAAATATCCTCACAAATTTTGGGGATTGGAGTTCGTTGAGTAGAGGAATTGAAATCTGTTAACATTTTGGTTAAAGTTCATAGAGGGCGCTAGCTGCAGTAGATTGAATGTGTTAAAAACGACATAACTTTTTTGTCGCGACCACCCTGTATAACTTCATTAGTTTTATGAATATTCCCTAAATTCTAACCAATTATTTCCAGAACACCAGTTTAAAAAAAATAAATGTACAAACATTAACAAGTATTTAAAAGCATTTAAAGAAATTTAATCAAAGGATAGTCCAGTTTCTCTAGTATTTTTGTCGATGTATTCATCAAACTTTCTAGTTATTTCTTGAGACATGTAATTTTTCCAATCCCCAACTTTTCCTTGCCTTACAAAATGAATACCGATTTTGTTGTAAAAGTCCGGTCCATTTTTGCTCTCCACAAAAGGCTCCATATTACAACCTCTATTTTTTCTCATGTTTTTTAAACTCAAAAACTCGATTATAGAAGTGATATCGTCCTCGGAAAGCGATTTTTCCATAAACTTAGCTATTTTCCTTACTGCTTCTCTGGTATCCGAAACCATATCCTCGTATCGTAGGATGAGAATGTTGCTTTCGTGACGCATATTCCAAAATTCCATGTAATGGTCGAAAATCCCCCCATAGCAGACGGCGTTGTTTAGGAACAGTTCGCAGAATAGCTCGAAATCTACGTTAAAACCATGTAAGACTTTGCAGTGAAAGTAGTAAGAAACGCACACATCTTTCGGATTCCTCATTAAATATATTATCTAAAAAAATTCAAAACCTCAGAATTAAATTAGAAAGATTTGCGGAGTATACTCACTTTTGGCTTTACCTTACGAATTTCGCTAGGTAGCAAACGATACGTTAGGTGAGTTTTTATAAATCTTGGAGAAGGAAAATTGTTGACGTATTCCACAGAATCAGTAAAGTTTTCTTTAAAAAGGTCAGCAAATGTGTACAAACTTGCAGACGCCCTAGAAACAAACAAAACGATTACAAAAATTTTTTGTACAGTTTTTTTTTCTGTTAACGTTATATTTTTCATTGTTAACGGTTCTAAAATGTTGATATTTGTTTTAGATAGAATCGTCTTTAATGAAGAGAAATTAATATTACGAGTATACAGAGTGTAACTAAATTTCTAGACATCTAGACCAGGGGTCGGCAAGTAATTTTAGGTAGGGTCCGGATACTTTTGAAAATTTTTAACGCGGTCCAAATAAAAAATTCAAATTATTTTTTTATTTTAATTTGGAGTCAAATTTAATCTGCTTACTAACTATTAAGAACTCACACACTCACACCATTGTAAAATACTAGAAAAAATGATAAGATTGGCACTTAAACGTAAAAAAACATTTTTTAAATAATTTATTTGAGTAATTTATACTTTCAAAAAATTTTGGCGGTCCAGTATTTTACCTTGATCTAGACCATACAAATTAATAAAAAACTTCCTATATTGTGTCCAAAAGAGTTTTCCAGATTTAATTTATGGATAACGTCATTCCGTAAATTATTATTGTTACTGTCAAAAATTGCTCCACGACAATTTGGAACATTATAACATCTTGTAATTTATCTAGAAATCAATGAATTCAGTATCACAGTTTTGTTGTCTTCAGTACTTATTTTGAAGACAAAAAAATTGCGAGCGATGTGACATATGAGCATACATATGACAAATATCTCCTCAAATATTTCTAAATGTTATACACACGATGTTTATAAATACCATCCGTCCGTCTTGCTTGTCATTTTTTACGAATACAGAGAGCAATACACAGTGGAACTTGCTTGAAGTATTGACAGTAGTGTTTGTACATTCGGGAAGATTCGTTTTCTTTTATGTGTTTTTATCTACCGTCCCCTGAATGAATTACAAAATGAGTGCAGTTTGTATAAATTTGGTGAATATTTGGAAGATGTGCTTTTTAATGTATCGATATATGCATCATCCACACGATGCGACATTTATTACGTAACAAATATATGTACTCTGGCAAATATACATTAAAAATATCAGATTTATACAGTAACACGATATTTTTGTAATAGGTAACTATTAGAAAAATTAACAAGTTTCTCACAACTCTTATATAGCAGTTCAGCAATATAAACAGAGATAGTTTAAATATCTGTTGTATCTAATTTAAAAAGACTTGATGCTTCTTAAAAGTTTTGCCGAATATTTTAGTTACACCCTGTACGATCGTGGAAAGAAAATATTCTTACTCAATTAAAGGTGCCCTGAATTGCTGCAAAGTATTTTTCGCAGTTTCGAAGTCTAAGTTATTTCCAATTATCCATATCATTTCTTGACACCATGTTGATCCTAAAATTTGAAAAATAATGTACTTTACACCAAAAGTTAGATTTTAATAGGTTTGTTCGCCGTATCTCTTCCGGTTTAGGATGAGCTTAACCATCGCACGCAAGCGCAGCTTAAATTTGATCGTCCGAAATTCAAACTGTGTTTGTGCTTCATACATGTGTTCTGAACTAGGCCGGGATCGGTTGAGCGAACGTAGCTAATCATAGATAAAAATTTCGCCAAGTTATCTCAGAAAAATAAATAAATTGCCGATTTCGCTAAAAGATAGAGGGTGCAGATAGAAGATAAAAACATATGATAAGTTCCCATAAAATTTTTTCGTACAGGCCTTCGCTACGGAGATATGTGTCCGTGAAGGACGCCACTGGAAATCGGTTTTTCTTGAATAACTTTTAAAGTACTTAATATAATTTAATAAAAATTTTATGTGATGGACACTAGTAAGGACCTCTTAAAATAGTGTCCTTGAAACATATTTAGCTTTTTTAGTTTACAAGGGGCGGGCTAAGCTTTACAACTTAATGCCTAAATTTTTAACACCCTGTATGATAAAGACTTTAAAACAATAAATCTAGGTAGCTTCAACCTTAGATTAAAAAAAAGGTACACTTGTTTATTGTCGATAAAATGAACCGTTTACGAGAAAAAGAATGATAAACGAATTCATGTTTTATTTTTAATAAAAAGGGACATGATTTCTATTTTTTTTTCTCGACCACAAAGTGCGATACGAAAGTAATTCAAACAACAGGAAATAAGTTTAATTTCAAGATATTTAATCCGAAAAAATACAAAATTAAAAAACGCAGCGGTGTCCCAGGAGGCACCTTAATGAAATTATTGAAAAACTTCATAAGAAGTTCAACATGGGCTCCGTGAAGTCTGACAATGACACACACGCGGGCACGACGAATTGAGGACTGCTGTACCCACCACGATAACCCAGCATTGTTCCTTATCACATCACATCACAGTGAAACATGATGCTCTGTAGAAGTTCATCCCTAGTGTCGACCGGAATGAAATACACCAATTGTTTGAGGTGTCCCCACAGGTAAAAATCCAGAGGCGTTAGGCCGGGAGATCGAGGAGGACAGGCAATAGGTCCTCCTCTACCTATATCCAACGGTTTGGATAGACGTTTGTTTACTTAGTTTTAAAATCTATAAAATAATTATTAATTAAAATAGTAAGCTGTATGTAACTAGGAAACACTTTCTGTCAATAATATAAATAAAAATAATAAATGTCTCGATAATTTGAATTTTGAACTATTTAATACAAGAACTCGATAAAAACCCAACAAATATACAGTCCACTCACAAAACAATTTAGAACAACGTTATTCAGATGCTCCCGAACACCAACGCTGAAATGAGGTGGTACCCCATTCCCATTGTGCATGAAGTACATGTTTCGGCGGGTTTCAATTGGTAGGTAAGTGTTCTTTTAAATCTTTCAAAAGGAACTCCAAATAAAGTTGTCCATTCAATCGTTCGGGCAATGATCCAATAAAAAATTGCCAGTGATTCCTGCCCACATGTTAATTGATTGGAACTGATGTTGATGAGTTGATGATGTGAAATAATAGTGGCATGAGGATTTTCATCAGTCCATACATATTGTGTGTTTTGTAAATTGGTGATACCATTTTTGGTAAACCTTGCTTCATCCGTGAAAAGGATTAATACTGCTAATGAAATTTACATTATTTCGTTGCTTATCTAATAGCCAGTTTGCAAACTGCATTCTACGAGGAAAATCTTCAGGAATCAGTTCGTGTATTTTTTGCAGATGGTATGGTTATAACAGCTGTTCTTGAAGAACTTCATATACTATTGTTTTCGATGTATTAAACTGTGCTGATAATTTTCGAGTGATCGTTGATGGAGTGTCTTCTACAGCTAAAATATTTTCCTCTAATTGCGGCGTACCTACGGTTCTTCTCAGACCAGCATCAGTACTATTTTTTCCAAATATTCCTACAAATATGAAGAAAGTCAATAATATATGTATTACCTTATTAACTGGAATCGCCCACCATTCTCCCTTAGAAGTTGGTTGACAGAAATGTCTTCTGGTTTGGCAGAGCACTATTAGGAAATCTGTCGTGATTCGTGATATAACCTTTCGAATTAATTTACAATTAAATTCACCACGAAATCCAAAAATCGCTAAATTAATAACGAAGTAAAGGATCAATGAGTCAGCGAGGTCACTTTGTTGTCGAAAAAAAAAATAGGAATCATGCCCCTTTTTATTAAAAATATTACATGAATTCGTTTATTATTCTTTTTCTCGTAAACGGTTCATTTTAACGACAATAAACAAGAGTACCTACCTACCTTTTTTTAGTCTAAGATTGCAGCTTCCCAGATTTATTATTTTAAAGTCTTTACCATACAGGGTGTTAAAAATTTAGGCATTAAGTTATAAAGCTTAGCCCGCCCCTGGTAAAATAAAAAAGCTAAATATGTTTCAAGGACACTATTTTAAGAGGTCCTTACTAGTGTCCATCACATAAAATTTGTATTAAATTTTATTAAGTACCACTTTAAAAGTTATACAAGAAAAACTGATTTCCAGCAGCGTATCAGGGACACATATCTCCGTTGGGAAGGCCTGTATGAAAAAAATTTATAGGAACTTATCATCTTATTTTTTTCATGTTCTATTTGCACCCGAGAGATTTCCCACATTTTCCCGGAGACCCTGTACATTTTCTTCGAAACTTTATCCGTTTGTTATACTCATATAATTCATAAAAATGTATTTTGTTCTACCAAAGGCGCGTTCTTTTACTGCCTCTTTAATTTATCTTTATTTTACCAAGACATAAAGGAAAGGCTATATTTCCTTGAAGCATTGACCTAGTGAAAAAAATCATTGATGTAAGGATGTATTAATAGACAAAATTAAATGTCCTGAATACTTTTTCAATAGCCATGTGCTAAATTTTATTTCACGCCTTTTTTCATTATGTAATAAATGAAAACCATAGAACAGTACACAGAGGATATGTATGGTAAACGTCTAAGCTAATGTCAACAGAAAGAGTGCATTCAGGTTGAAAGAATGAGATGCCGAGGAAAGGCATCATCATTTTAATAAAACGAAAAATCAAAAACATTTGATAAAACTAATTTTAATATTACTAAATTGTTTTTATGATAAAAATAGTAAATTCTCGAAAATAGTAGAGAAACATACTAGAACTACTAGTAGAATATAAATACATTTCCAGCGATGCAGTCAAATTTGTAAGTTCGCGAATATAATTTATATCATTTTCATTTTACCAATCTCATTTTTAATACCATTGTTTGTTTTATTTATATGACAATGACAAATATTTATTTATATGTACAAAGACAATGCAGTGCATTAATGTGGGAATAAATATAACTCATGCACTCATTATCTGTGTGTGTTTATAATTATGTTTTTTTTAATAAGAGCGTTATTGTATAGAATACGAGTACCTATACAGGGTCGGAAAGTCCCCATGGTTCATCGGCCGTTACGTGAGAACGATAAAGTAAGTCATAGAAATCCATGCGATAGAGAAGGATGGCTATAATGAAGGCGTCTCATAGTCACCGCCCGTTTCACCCTTCCACAAATAAAATCCACTTCCACTTGTAATTCAGCGACCGGTGGTCATCTTTGTTTTCGTCGTTTGCCTTTTCTGTAATAGATGTCACTACTTATACAATTCCGACTTCGTATTCTGATATGTTAATACAATCCGTTAACAGAGGGCAGCACAATTTGTCTAAGGTGAGGCGCAGCCCTAGAAACAGTGATTCCAGATCTACAGATTTTTTTGGAATTGGGGAAATAGGGAATTTTGCTTTATTTCTTGGGATTTTTAAGTCATTTTAAAAATTATACTTAAATAACAACTAAATGAACTTTAAACGCAGTTGAACACTATACTCCATTTGAATAACTTCTCAGTAGGGGAAAGAAGGTCACTAGATTTACAAACAGAGGTATCTACTAGTTACTGTAGAAAGTTTTCTTTGTTACGCGTTGTGCTGCCCTCTGCGTTAACGGATGGTATTAATATATCGGAATACCGAAGTCGAAATTGTATAAGTAGTGACATCTATTAAAGAAAAGCCAAGCAACGAAAACAAAGATGACCACCGGTCGCTGAATTACAAGTGGAAGTGGATCTTATTTGTGGAAGGGCGAAAAGGGCGGTGACTATGAGACGCCTTCATTATAGGCATCCTTCTCTATCGCACGGATTTCTATGACTTACTTAATCGCTCTCACGTAACGGCCGATGAACCATGAGGAATTTCCGACCCTGTATATCCTTAAAAGTGGCGCTGACATCATTATGGTATATTTGTGTAGCTTACCTGAGTATAGTAAATATTTGATTTCATTTACTTATTACGTGCTTAACGATAAGTAAATGACAATTAATACAAGCGAACATATTGGCTAGCAAAAATTAGCTTTACAATTTTCTGGACTACTTTGCATTTGTTTATATAATAGTACATTGTGTAACGAGTGGGAAAAAGTTGCCAATAGCGCCACGCGGACGCAGTTGACGCACGAGCGAAGCGAGTGCGGAAAGCGCCCAAGTGGCTCTATGGCAACTTTTCCGAACGAGTTGCACATACTATTTTCTATCACAAGTGCGAGTTGTTATAGGACCTATAGCATAGCGCAACGCTGGAGCGTTGCGCTATGAAAATAACATAACGCTGTTGTACTGTCTAGCACCTAACCCCCTACCCTATAGGTCCCATAGCGAGCGCGCGTGATAGAAACATATTTATTCCTACACTGAATTACTTTAATCCTTGTTAAATATATATGGTTGTCCGATTTATTAGATATCCATCTGAAAATATTACTAAAAATGTAAAGTAATAAAGAAAGTAATAAAACTTAAATAACTATAAAAAATACGCTCTAACTAAAAAAAAATAATAAAATTGTGTATCGATCCATGTATTAAAAAAATTAAATGGGTGCATATTTTAAAATTTCCGTGCACATCATTTTGATAATTTTCTTAATAATTCTAATCGTTTAATAGAACTTGGAGGAAGGAGACAACCCCCCTAAAGATGTAACCCAATAACCCCCCTAAAGATGTAACCCAAAGTATGTGAAAAATATGTTGATGTCAGAAAAGCTGTGCCACGAAAATATTTAATTCAGTTAACTACTAAAAGGCAGACTTTAAAAATAAATACAAATATTTAGGAGCCAATAAAAATATTAAATTAGCATACATATATCCTGATTTACTGATGAAATTTGTTTAATCCAAACTGGTAGGTGTAGTTCTGTAGCGTATTACCTTACCTTTCTACCTTATACGTTTACCCGTATTTTCGTGTGATCTATCTTGTCTAGGATTTTTCTGTTAACTTTATTTAATAGAAATGAAAAGGAAATACCTGTCCGAGGAAAGCTGACCAACCAAGTGTCGTCCTGCCTAACGGGAGCTTCCAGCACTCTTTGAATCATATCTTTGTAAACAAAACGACACAAATATTTTCCCGGGTTGATTTCGTAAAGGGCGTCTTTCACTCCGGTGACTCTTTCGTATACGTCGGCGTATTTGCCTTTAAACGGTTCGCAAGTGAAACTCATAGCTCTGCGAACTGTCCCTAATCAAATCTGAAAAAGCACTGCGATCTTGCATGAATTCTGAAATACTTTTTTAGTAGAAACCATTATCATAGATTATTTTAATCATATAAGCTACAGTATATTCATGGGTAGAATGAGATAGCTCTGAGAACGAAATAGGTTCCGTTCTCCTCTCCACTACTTTGCCACTGTTCATCCTAATTTCAGAGCTCAAATGGATTTGGTTTACCTGTCCTGTGCATGCTTGTGAAGGTACGTTTCCTAGGAAACGGAAACGGCAACGGAAAAGTTTATAAATTGGTATTAAGTGCAAATATGAATAGTAAAATAATAAATTTCATTGACGTCACCTGACTAGCAAAGAACCGCAAAAAACAAATCAACAACAAAATTCGCTTATTAAGGCGATGCCATTCATGGCTGCCAACCTATGTTGTGTCTTTGACAGAACGTGACAGGTGACAAGCGACAGACAGAACCACAAGCTATTTTGTATTTGTAAATACAAAATACAAACCCTCCTATTAATTTTGTAAACATAATATGAGGCGATTACTATTGAAAATATAAAAAATGGCTACTCAAGAGAAGCTTCGCAAATCTCTGGAAGCGCTTAGGAATCTAACAAAATCTAATCAGCAATCATCTGATGTGGCAAAGTATTGGTTTACAATAGTTTCACTATTGGTTGTTATAAAAAAGTTGTTTTTAGAAAGAAAGAAAAAATACAACACTGTTACGTTATAACAGAAGCTATATCTAATCCCACTATACGAATTTCTACTGATTTTCACATTCTCTTAAGCAACAGCATAGAAGCTTTTCTGAGGTTGTGTGATGATCAGGACTCTGATGTTCGAATGACAAGCGAGGAATGCCTTAATCGAATAATTCGAGTAATACATCAAGTTAAATGTTTATACACTTTTTGTTTACATATTTTTCTAGGCGGCAAATGATGGGTACATAGGTAAAATTCAGATAGAATTGCATAAGGAAATAAAGAAGAATGGTGCTGCAAGGCCTTTAAGAACTGCTCTGTGGCTGTTTTCAATATTAGCTCATCGTATAAGGCCTCATAAAGGAAAACCTTATGTTGCTAATTTATTTCCTAGTCTTATTAGAATTGCAGAAAGAACTGAAGAATCAGTGCATGAAACATTGGCCTTAAGTTTACCAAGGATTATGTATGTACTTGGGAGTTTTTCGACGGAAAATGAAATAAAGGTTAGGATTCTAAATCATTTATATGAATAAGCCCAGCAATGTTTTTTATAATTTGTAGAGTTTATTAAAAGCATTTTTGAGTAACTGCACCAACCAATCAGCAGTTATTCGGCGAACAACTTCCAGTTGCATATTAAGCATTTGCATGAACTGTCGAAAACCATATAATTTTATAATATACTGTTTAAATTATCTTTTAGGTAAGTAACAGTTTATTCTCTTCAACTTTAAAGAAAGTTGAATCATACTCTTTTAATTTTTAGACTCATTAATTCCTGTTGCCGAATCTCATAGCAACCATTTAATTTTGGGTGTAATGTCTTGCACAAAAATGCTGTTGCCGAATTTGAAAAGTAGTTATATTAATCAAGAATGTGTCGAAAGTAACTGGACAATTACTGAAATCACCACTGAAAAATTTCTGCAGGTATATTCATTATTCTTAATATCCTTTATGCATATCACTAATTTATTTTTAGATCTATGAACTGTGTCTGCATTTCTTAACAAATAAAGACCATAATATTGTTAATGTATGCCTCGAAACATTAAATGTGTTACTGCAGAATTGTACTGATCACGTAAAAGAAATACTTTTGAACAATAAAGGTATCGGCCATTCGAGAATTAATTCTACACAATCTTCATCAAAATCAAATCCTCGGTCACCAAGTAAAATTTTTTTTATTACAGCTGTAGTATTCTCGGTCATATATTTTTTTTAAGGTCAACTAAGTGTAGCGACAAATGTAACAGCGGGCGAAGAGAACTTGTTCTCAGAATCGGAACTGACAGAGACCATCCGATCTGACATTGAAAAATGGATTGACACATCTAAGCTGTCTGTGATGAACATTACTTTTGCAAAAACAAAAGAAAAGTCCTTGTCGCTGGATAAGATGAATATGTGCATGACCACGGACGATATTCCCAACATATGTGACTATGAAGTTATAGACATAGTTGATGATAATTGTGATAGTAAATTAAAGGCTAGTAGCATAGGTGACAACTTAGATAAGCAGGAGGCGAGCGAGAATTCCTCTGAAAAGAGCTTGTCCTGCATAGAGGATAAGATTTTAAATGTTGAAATCGATGCGCAAGTATGTTTTTTACATTTTTATAAAACTTATTTGTTGGTAAATATATTCTTTGTAGGAAATTGATATTGGCGAATATTTGGATAATCACACTCCACTTTTGTACTGTACGAGACTCATAACGAAATTATTTCTGCTATCCGGAACGCCACAAACCTGCTTACCTGACAAACTGGTTAGAGTGTCTGTAAAATCTCTTGCTCTCTCATGTCTTTCCTCCATATTTCTAATATACCCTTCTGGGTTTTTAGCTAACTTAGATAAGCATTACTCGGACTGTTCCAAACTGACCAATAAAAAAATTTGCAGCCAGCAAATATCCGATGTGCTTTTGTTTAAGTGTCACAACGACCCTCAGTTACGCGGTGCTGTTAGAAATCTAACTGCCAATTTTATTAAAGCGGTTCTGATTTCAAGCGAAGGGGATTATGAGAAGTGGATCTTGGATAATGTTGGTGCAGGGCGTACTGTTAATTTTTCCATTGCAGAATTAATTAAGATCTTCGTAGAAGTAAGTTGAAATGTGTTACATTGCACATATTAGTAGGTCACTCTTTGCCGATAGGTGACATATACTTTGTAGATTATATCTCATCCATACATGATTTTTTAGGGTCTCGAGGATGAATCCGCAAACTGTATTCGTCAGACGTTACTGAGCCTCAGATCTGTGTTGAAAAACTTGTCAGAATCTCAAAAGAGTGCACTTATTATCCCATTATTAAATACTCTACCGCTGCTCTCAAAAAATCCATATTGGTTAGTAAAGGTTTGTACGTTAAGAAGTAAAAATTCTTGCAGTTTACACTTTTTCGATTTTAGGTAGCTTTATGTGAATTAGTTTCCAAAATCGACTACATTACTGTTAGGTATATAACAGAAAGTAGTGAGTTTCAGAATAAAGTTATTTACTGTATACTACTTGAACTGTTGGGCGATAATGATCAAAGGGTTAGAACCTCAGCAGCCAATTCCATCGTGCAGTAAGGATAGTCCTTTGAAGTATGAACCGTGGTTTCATATTTATTTTTTAGGATAATTTCCGTGCTGTATTTTGAGGATTATCAGATAAGAGAAAGCGAGGCCACATCGAAGGCAATATGTGAGAGAAATGTGTTTGTGAAAAGTTTCTCCGATACGAAAAAAGATATGACTGCAAACAAAAGACACTTTGTAGATAACATGCCTTTTCCATTTAATAAACTGGATGCTGAAGGTTGTGAAAGAATTGATTTTGCGCTATCGAAAATAGTTGCAAAATTATATAACATTGTTTTAACAGCGACTTCAAAGCATTTGATTGTAAGTTTATTTAAAAATTTTTGGTACAATTAAACTTTATTATCGTTCCAGAGTGGCTGTATCGAGACGTTATCATTACTTTCTAACTCTTATCCTTGTACAGTATATAAAGATACATGGTGCACTAGTTCTCACTCAAGTGAAGCTCCAAAATCCATACCAGATTTGTTAAGTCTATGTATCAGTTTATTAACTACCTCAATTCATGTATACGATCTGCAATCTCACATCAACATATTAAATCTAGCTACAAACCTCTATGCTGGTAATAATTTTTTTAAATTCCTTTTCCGGAAAACTGCATTTTTATTTTCAGGACAATCCTTATCTTTACTAAAGCCTGTGGTCGAAGCCGAGGGGAAATTATGGGATATGTTCACAAATAACACGTACTGTGAAATTTCCGAACAATACTTAACGCACATCATAAAACTGTTAAACATCTTTCACCACGTTTTGAGCGAAATAACACCAGTAAATCCTCAAAGCAAAGTTGTGCTTCCAAATCTTCCAACAGCTACCAGTTTGTCTCCACTAAAAAGGCGAAAGAGCGATTTAGACAAAAAAGTATTATCAGGGAAGTTTGAAAAGGATGAGAAAACTGAGAAAAAGGAGACTTCGAAGTTGAATTCACTCGGCAGCTTTGTTACCTTTCCCCATTATTTGAAATTATTCGATATGTTGAGGAGCTCGTTTATGAATTACAAAGTATAACTTAAACTGACGTTACAGGTAGTCTTCTAATCAATAGTAATTTTTAGATATCCTTAGATTCTGAAGCCTCGGAAAAGTTTTTAGAGTTGTTGAACAAAACGGTACAGTCTTTGTCTGTAGTAATGGAGATAGGAACGCTAAATGAATTCAGTAGAATTGCAGAGGACGTTTTGGGTTATCTCCGTTCTACCTTTGCCGTAGATGCACCCGCTACTGTAGAATGCGTGCAGCAGCTACTAAAGTGTCTTTTTAGTACAAATTTAACATCAAACATAACAGAGTTTGTTAAAGAGAATAAATCTACAGGCGAGGTATGCTTACATTTTTTCAGTTTAAAAAAAATAATTTACTATTTTTATTTTAGGAAGAGGAGGAAAATTACGGTTTTTATTTTAATATTTTTCAAAAACCCTATAGTGACATATCAAACTTTATCAATTCCCTGAATAACATTAGCAGGTATTACTGTGACGGTGATAGTACAGTTATGGGATATTTGCACAGGAAAGACGTGAAAAAGAGGCCTGTAGTATTATCTAGGAGTTCGGATAAAATACTTGCGAATTATATTAGGATTTTCGAGCCTATGGTTATTAAATCTCTTAAGGTTAGTGTTAGAAGTAAGCAGGATAATTTCTGATAATAATGAAGTAGTGAACATGAAATTAATTTACGGGGAATGTAGTCAAAATGCAGCTGAAAAATCGTGATTGTATGCCAAATGTTTCCATAACCGGATTTATCCTCATCCTCAGGGATTTGTAAAACTGATTCAAAGGATATTGGTAATACGTGAGATCGTTGTAGAGGATACATAGAACGATTGCGGTCTGTTTGAAATGTTCGGTGTAATGAGTACATTGTGGATTTAGTGCATAGAGATTCAACAGGGAACACATGCATAATTGCTTTCTATGTTCAAGAAAATCAGATGAAAAATTTGAAAATGCACGAAAATCAGTACCATCTTTATCATATTGAACAGGTGCAAGATTGAATTTTACTATTGGCTTTCAGAGCAACAAACTAACATGGAAAACTTTTTAAGATCAATTTTGGTGATGAATGAAGCCTTGTTCATCTGTAGTGGAATTAATAATTCCCACAACACACGTGTTTGTTATATTGTGTTTGATTTTGATTTTGTGTTATAGGGGTGGGTGAAACCTTCAGTTTTTATGTGCTGATTAATACGTGTAAAAATTTATTTCTGTTGAAAAAACAGCTCAAATAATTTGCGGAAAACCCTTGTGGCTTTGTCATACAAATCTATATTGTACGCGGGAGCGCAAATGGCTCCATCTGTCGTGCTGACTCCCAACCATTTGAATGGCACAGTTGGGAGTCAGCACGACAGATGGAGCCATTTGCGCTCCCGTGTACAATATGTTTCCTAGTCGTGACGATACGACGCAAGACAGCTGGTTTGTTCGTCGGTTGTCTCACCTATGACACGCTTATGAGGACTAATAAGTCCAAAACCGGTCCGTGCCTGGTGGGTTAAACAGACGAACGACCCTAGCTGTTGCACTAGGTGTTGCGAGTATAATTTAATACCAGTAGGGGCATATAGCGGAGTAGTTGTTTCTCGCAACACTGACAATTAAAATACAAATCTTTATTTTGACTAAAACAGGAACAGCTTTGTACAATTTCTGTAAGCATTTTTATTTTTTGGGTTTGTGATTTTCTTAAATACAGATCTTGCTTCATTACTGCCCAAAAAGTAACGTATTAATATAACTTCAAAATCACCTTGTAGAAAAAAATTAATATATTAAAATTTCAGCAATACACGATAACTAGTAACGTCAAATTGCAATGCCGAATACTTCAGTTGCTTAATCAGTTGGTTCAGTTGAGAGTAAACTATTGTTTACTGGATTCTGAGCAAGTCTTCATAGGCTTTGTCTTGAAACAGTTCGAGTACATCGAAGAAGGACAGATTCCGTAAGTATGTTGTTAATTTAGAAATAGCTATAAACTTACGTAGCAATTTTTTAGTTTACCAGAAGAATTGATACCGAAAATCTTCCAATTTCTAGTTCAGTTATCTTATAGCAAGCAACATTCCAAGTGTATAATAGGGGTTCCGAAGATAATCCAACTCTGCGACGGACTAATGGCAAGTGGACAGCCCCCTTTAACACACTGTATACCTGCCCTGGAGCCGATAGTGGAAGATATCTTCCTAACGAGAAATAAGTCCAATACGTCCGATATAAAAGAACTGGAAACAACTCGAGAAGTGCTGCTACCGATGTTACTACGTCTTTGCGAATTTAAACAAGTGGTAAGTCTTCTGACGATGGTTTTGGAAGATAGCAAATATTGCGCTGATAATACTGAGAAGTGGCTGGGTTGGTCTAGGCAGGTACTACGTGTAGTTCTTCCCATGTTGAAAGAGAATAAGATTAGACTGGATACTTCTGAAGATTTCGTAGCCATGAGGAGGTTTGTTCTCTCATTAGAACCGAACGTTTTTAAGCCGTTCGATGAGATTGTTGTCATGTTCTTCCAAGAACCGCCAGTGTTGGTAAATATTTACTTCTTTAGTTGAAAAAAGAATGTATATTCCGTTTTATTTACTAGGAAAACTCGGGAACGTTTAATCGGTGGCTTTCAAAAATCCTTATAATACTTCTGATCCTTACGCCGTTAAAAGAAGACACACTGCTGGCTAAAATTAACAGGTTGAAATCTGAGTTTTCTCCGAATAGCATTTTCGAGAATGTGGTAACTAAAGCCGATCCCTTGAATGTGAATAACAATGCAGATACATTTGAGAAAATTCCTGCAGAGTTGATCTTCATTCGGTTTATATTTAGAGTAATTTCGCTAACTTCCAAGCAGTGTTTAGTTACAGTGAGAAGCAAAGAGAATAACTTTTTAATAGAGCAGTTTTCTTGTTTTTTGATGCACTGTTTATACATATTCCAGTCAGGTAAGAGGACTGAATGAAGTAATTCTTATTTGTTTATTATTATTCTTTATCAGGAAGCCATTGTAAAATTACAAATAAATGCATTACGATTTTGAATAAAAACATTCCATTTGATGAAAACGATGTTATACAATTAAAGGAGATGAACAGAAATTTCTTAAATCTGGCAGTGTTTCATCCCATTCTCACATTTCACTGGTGCTATTTTTTAACGCTGATGAATTATTCTGATAGATGGTTCTGGACATGCATTCTAAGGCTCGAAGAAACTGTAGGAAATAGGTAATATAATACATCTATCTGTTATTTTTAATACATTTTTTAAGTATTTTAGATTAAAAAATCCATCTATAAACCTGCAGATTATGAAAATGGGAGGCGTGATTTCATTTTGTGATTACTTGGTAAATACTTAGTCTTTTAAATGACAAAATGTACAGTAAAATAACGTCGATTATTTTAGAGTGAAGATTTAGGTGAATCAGAAAACCTGACTTGGTTTCTAACTAATATTTCAGAATTCCTAGTGACTCTGAGCAACGAGGCGCCAATCTTCGAATTCATCTCTTCCATCCATCGAAATTCAAAACTGAGCAAAATTTTTATAGAAAACATATCTAGAAATTGTTCAAATGTCGACAGTGTAAGTAAATACTTGTCCTTACTTATGTCACCTTTATAATCGTTTGTTTCTAGGCGGTTTTTAAGACAAAACTACTAAAGTGCATTGAAAACTGTCACTCCTCACAAATCGGACCTGTCTTGAACTTACTGGTACCAAATATGTTGAATTATCGGCAAGTCGCTTTGTCGCGATTGGCTGCTAACTTAGCTAGTAGGAAAATTGAGTTTCTGTTAACGCTTCCGATGGAAGAAGTAAACAATCAGCTATCAAAAGACGATATAATAAAAATGCAGAAAACTTTAATGTCACTACACCTAGTTAAAAAGTGAGTTTACTGTATTTATGAAGTATATTTACTCATCTCCTTTTGTAGGCATGAAACATTGATAAGTTTGTTGAATAAGTTATCGATGCAGTACTACGATCTTAGCCCACTAGAGTTTGCGCAGAGACGTGTTGTGAATCCCGAATATATAAAAAGACTGAAAATCAACAAGAAATGGTACCTATCCCAGATTCAGGGTAGGTATAGCGAGGCAAACATTGGTAGAGAAACGGCGAAGCTTCTAAGTCACTTGGAATACAATGAAATAATAAGTTTCATGTCTAGTAGCGACTTTAACAAGGTGTGCCTGCAAGATTGTATAAAACTCGGTTTGAAATATTTTGAACAACACAACGCGAAAGAGGAACCTGCCATCCTTAAAGCTTGTTCCGATTGTTTATTAAAGGATATAACAAGCATCGTTACCAGGATTCCAACTCCACATCAGGTAAGTGAGAATATTTTTTCCGACACAGCCACACAAAAAAAAAGTTGTCTGTACTTTCAATGCGACATATGTTATCCATAGTATTTTTGCCTCCTGATCATGAATCCGGTGTCAGAATTGAACTATCACATCACAGGAATTTCCTAACCTCAAAAAACAGGTCAAATATAGCAAAAATTCACGAAAAAGTGCTAGGAAAAATACAAAATTTTTTTTTCTATATTCAAATGTTCATTTATATAGTCAAGACACTGCCGAACGTGAATCCGCGGTCAGAATTGATGGTTCTTTTTCTAACCTCAAAAAACGGGTCAATTAAGGTCAGACCAAATTTTCAAAAAATAACACATTCGCGCCAAATTTGGTATACGGGGATTTTCGCGGTCGCTGATCACGAATCCGAGATCAGATTTACAAAATTCGTTTTTAAAAATTTAATCAATTACCTTTATTACCTGAGATTAGGTAGAAAACCCGTGAATAGATCTGTTACAGAAAAAAAGAAGATATTTCCGACAAAAATAAGGTTAAAAAAAAATCCACGTCACTTGTAGTTCATTTTTACATACTAATTGGTGTTTATGCATTAATTTTTTTCTCGACTGGACTCCATAATCTTTTTTATACCCTAAGAACCTCTTATAAAGGTTTCAAAATCACAAATAGTTTTCTCTTTGAAGAACCCAGGGCCGGCTTTTATAAAATTTCCAGTTGCAAACATCAAATTCCCTGACTTTCATGAATATTTTTAAAATTCCCTGACTATTCCCTGTTTTTTATGAAGAATAACGAATTCCCTGCCTTTTTCCGATATTCCCGGTTTTCCTGGCCACTACGAACCCTGTTTGGGTACTCAGGTTATAAACAAAAATATTCCGAAATGGATTTCGCAATTCTCACCTTGAATATGTAATCAGTGACCTCGAAAACCCCCGTATACCAAATTTGGCGCGAATCCGTTATATTTTTAAAATTTGGTTCACCAATTTGGATCCGCCATCTTGAATTTTGCAAATTACCAAATTTGGCACGAATGTGTTATTTTTTGAAAATTTATTCGGCCATCTTGGATCCTCCATCTTGAATTTTGCAAAATTGACCTCGGATCCGTGATCAGCGACCCCGAAAACCCCCGTATACCAAATTTGGCGCGAATCTGTTATTTTTCGAAAATTCGTGATATCTGACCTTAATTGACCCTTTTTTTTTTGAGGTTAAAAAGTTTTTTTTCTATTTTTCCTAGCACTTTTTCGTAAATTTTTGCTATTTTTGACCTGTTTTTTGAGGTTAGGAAATTCCTGTGATGTGATAGCTCAATTCTGACACCGAATTCGTGATCAGAAGGCAAAAATACTACATATGTCGCATGAAAGTACAGACAACTTTTTTTTTTGTGTGTGGGTGTGTAATCAGTGTAACTTTGAATAGGGGTAAGCTTACACAGGGTGCGTTGATCTTTAGAAACACAAGTTTGTTTTCTAATATTCTGTTTTTTTCATAATTCGCATAATCATTACTGGATAGGGATGTAACCTCAACCAACAGCAACTAAACAGTGAAATAAATAAATTTATAAGGTTATACACTTGAGGAGGTGATTTTCAAAACGCAGTTTTTGAAACATTTTGAGATTATTACGTAATAATCATATGTGAAAAATTGTTGGTGCTATAAAGATAATAATAATTAAGTGTATTAATCACCTGACATTAGAAAATATTTTTTATGGTATTTTGTTTAAAACTTTTTTGAATACGAAAGAAATGCGTTTTGAAAATCAAAATCGAAAACTGCGTTTTGAAAATCAACTCCTCACTTATAATATTCAAAACACTTAAATTTGTTGCATTTAAAATATCACTTAAAGTTTACTATAAAATTAAATTTAATAAAATACAACACTACATTATGGAAATTTTATTAGGATTCCAGTAAAACAGAAATAAAAAATGTAATGAAAAGCAGCAGTTACATTCTTGTTTGGCCAAATTAACGTCGTCATTTGTTTATATACAACAAGGTGTTGCAGGTAGATTGTTATTATGTCGTTCATATAGGTCAATGTTATAGGTCATTCACTGAGATTTATAAACCGAACACAGTGCTTTAAAAAAATATTAAATTAGAATTAATTAGATAAGTAAGTATTTTTATTTATTTACATGTACATTTTATAAAAGATAAATTAATTTTACTAACAATAATAAAATCAGGCAAAAAATATTTTTTAAAAGCATATAATTTTTTTTTTAACATTTGGCGCTTTATCCGCATTGAAAAAATATGGTAACAAAGTCATACACCAGCAACCTCTTTTTACAAAATTATCTTCTATTGCAGTTTCACTGTGTCAATTCATTAGTTTTATACAGCTTAAAATGATAACAACCGGCAACACTGATAAGTGTGCACATACAACTGAGTTCGAGAGCTGCCCAGTGGTAGTGTAGACAACAGTTTAAGTGTAGTTTAAAAAAGAATTATAACTTGATTATTTAATGATAAAAAAAATAGGGAACACGTACTTTTACCCCTAGAAAACATACCTCCAATTAAAGTTACACCCTGTATATTTACTAAAAATTGTGAAAGCTATGGAATAGTACTAAACAATATAATTGTTTTTAGGTATATTCTCCAATAGAAAGGGTACCGTCTTCATTAGAATTAAGATATTTCAACGAGTTGACTGATATATTTAGAAATGATGATTTTTCTAACCTCCTTGGTAGTATTGCACCCTGTATTCCACATTATATGGAGTATTTACTTCTTAGTCCTAATTTGAAGATTCCCGAAAAAAATTACAAGGAAATTATGAAATTTGGTGTTACTTGTTTAGAATACGTTCATTTTCTGATTAAGACAGATAAAAAGGACTTTAATATAAACTTAATAGATACTTTTGTGAATGCAGCAGAGACAATTTTTAAACAGAACAACATATGTACGTTATTAGCATGTGACGCCAACATATCATGGTTCTGTTCTTCGGTAAATAGTATTTTTAGATTTGTTAAACTCCTAGTAGAAAACGACAGGCCTCTTCCTTCCTTACCAAAACACGCCTTGAGGAACAGTCTGGGAAGCGACGACTTGTTGTGTGCTAGCGAGGCGACTTATCACTTGTACATTCTAGTTAGCTGGTTGTTCGAAACGAAAAGTACAAACGTAAACATACCTATATTTTTTTTGATGCCCATTAAAAGTATTATTGTAAGTCTGTCCAGATTTCCAGTAGTTAATTCCATTGTTCTGATGCCATCCAGGGTTTTAATAACAGGTCGAATGCCTGAGGCATCAGGAACTTTTAACACTCAAGTCCCTCCTCTGCCTATAGAAGTTCTCCAAGAAATTGATGTATTAGAAGAATACATTTTTAGGTAAATATCACTAAAATCTTCAATATTAGAATTAAGCGATTATTCGTAGGATAACCTTACTTGGTTGGACGTCTCGTCAACAATTTGAAGAGACCTGGATGTGTCTTTTAAGTGTGCTTTGTGCTCCATTGGATAATTTGGATGCCCTGGAAATCAACGATATGTTACACTCGTCAAGCCTAGCGATAAAAGGCATAACAGCTTTATTGTTAGAGACACTCAAATATCCCTCTGCTGGTCATCCAAATATATCTAATTTAATACACATATCAAGAAATTTGCCCATTAATGAAGAAACTATTGGGTAAGTTTAATAGTAAAAGGTGAGATATGATATCCATTTTTTCTATTTCCCCCTTCCATTTACCCATCTAGGCATTGGATTTCGGTTAGTTTCCTATATTTTTCCATCCGCGCACCTTTTCCTTGTGTTGCTATATAGCCATTGCTTTCATCTCATCTCCTCTTTTTCCCACCTCAGGTATTTGTTGTATTCATGTTTTTCATTTCCTCCTTTTTACTACATTTCTAGCTTCCTGTAGTTTCCTTGTTATTCTATTTGGTTCCATTCTCATCAAATGTCCGTATCAGTCCCACTTCGCTTTTCCTTCCATTCTTCTCAAGCGCCTCATTTCCATTACATATATTTTATTATTGTATTCAGTTTTCTTGCATTTTACCCTTGTTGTATTGTCTTCATTGGAATTGATTACCATTGTCTTACTTTTTTCAGTGTTGATTTCCATTTTCAATTGTTCTTTTTGTTCTACTCATACGTCTGAACATTTTTTGCTCTTTTACTGCAGAATCCGCTATCAACACAATATCGTCTGCATGCATCAGAACTTCCAGTTTTATCGGATGTAATCATTAACTCAATTATCTTTTTTCTTTGAACTTTTCCTATCCTTCTTCTGTTATTGGAACCCTACCCTTCACCATTTTATATGTGTTTTCTACTACTCTTATTAATGTTGGCGAAACTTTCCTTTTCTACAGACATTTCCATGTATTGCTCTTTCTATAGAGTCTGCTGAAGTCTGTCTGCTCTTAGATCAATAAATGTCAGCATGAGTTTGTCTTCATTTTCATTCTTCTATTAAATTTCTCAATATGTATATGTTGTCATTCGTCTGTTTTTCGAGTCTGGAGGCTGCTTGTTCCTCTCCTATTTCTTTTTTTTACAATCTATTTCTATTATTCTTGTGTATGTTTTAAGACTTACATTCTTGTAGATCAGCACTGTTAACCTGTTTTGCCAGTATTCTCCTAAGTATTTTATCATTTTCAGCTTAATGTCATATCTAGTAATCTGTAGGTACTATGAAACCATGACTAGTCTCCCTGTGCGAAATAATCTTTCAAACTTTAGATAATATGAGCAGCAACTACTCTGCAAACTACATGTCTCATCCAGCATTGATGTACACCCCCAATATCTAGTAAACAGCTAAGATCATTTGTCAGCACGTCAGCAGTATCACCAAATATAGGCATGTTTGATGATTCAGTGCAGTTCGAAACTGGTCAATGTCGATTGATCTTAACTGTTTAGGTATTAGATCTGTGGTTGCAATTGTCGACAAAGTTGTTTAAAAGTATGTTATGGATAACACGTTTAAAATATTTTTTTAGTATGAAGAAGCTTAGGAAAGTACAAGAAAGTATCAAATTTAAATATCAGGAGAGTGCTCATGTATGTAAAAATTCAAAAGTTTCAAATGTGTTTGAATATTGTAATTTTGAAAAATCGAGCTGCAAATATTCGTATGGCCAAATATCGATAAAATATTTTTTATTAGCGACGGGGATAATTCAAGAAGATGAAGACAATTCTCCTACGACAATTGTTTTAAAAAGAAGGAATAAAATGTTAGAGGAAGCGGGTTTAGATATCAATTCCTGTTTACAGTTTTTGTTAGATTACTACACTCAACTCATGAAACCTCAGGTTTGTAAGTTTAATATTTAAAATGTCTTGTAATTATAAAATTGAACTTCTCTAGTCTTTAACGAACATAAGAGTGTTGCATGAAGCGATAAGGTCGACAGTGATAATATCCGATTTGTTTACCGATAAATCTCAGTTCACTTGGATGATGGATGTGTTTTTGGAGTTGTCGAAGCTACATGCAGTAGAAGACGAATTGTTGCATCAGTATTTAATAGTAGGGATATGTAAAGCTGTAGGTGTCTTAACACCAGTGAGTTATTACAGAATTTCCTATTGCTACTTTCTTTACCAGGGTTTTTTTTTAGGATTTAGAGACTTACGAACAGGTGAAAAAAATGTTGGTACAGTACCTGAAGAGCCCATATCTGTCATCACGGATTGCAAGCTTGTATGGTCTTCTCTATATACTAGAAGGATGTAAGTTAAGTAATATAACTATTGGAGGAATATCAGATGAAATGCAGCTAATGCTTCCCTGTGCTGTGGAGTATGTACAATTCAATATAAACACAAGCAACAGGTATGTTTTCTATATAATTTCATTTATGAGGATTGAGGAAAATTTATGAGTATCTTTTTTTAAGTGAACAATTTGTGCCCCACGTTGGGCGCCAAATGCATTAAATTTATTGCAAGAGTAAATAGAGAATTTGGAATTAAGATAACTAATTATTGATGTTGTTTAAATTTTCCAGTGTTTTAAGAAAGTCCCAGGAACACTCTATGTTGCTGTGGGCATTGGCCTTCTATTTAGTTGAAAACATAGACGAAGTTCATATGGAACAAAATTTTGTCAGCAACACCTTAGCCTCTGCCTTCAATGTTCTAGGTTCAAAGATAACAAACCAATTGCATTATTCAATTGTCAAGGTAATAGTTGAGAATGTTTTTCTTTTCCACAGTAAATGCCAAGTAATTACTCTTGCAGGGTATAGAAAGGTTGGTAATTGTAAAAAAGTCCCAGATACTCGAAAAATTTGGAAAACAGATTTTAAAACTTGCTCTGGACAAAATGAAATGTGATAATCCTACGGTAGCTATACTGGGCACTCAACTACTTTTAAGTTATATGTATACCGGTAAGATGAAAAATTTATCGATTCTGCTTCTATCATCAGAATTATTATATTACATTGTGAGAAACAACTACTCTGCAGACTAATACCCTGATTAGCAATGAATTATACCCGCAATATCAGGTAAACAGCTAGGTTCATGGATATGTTTGTTGTTTAGACATCAAAAACAACTGAAACATTTGTCAGCTTAACCACCAGACATGTACCAGTTTCAAATTTATTAAGGTCTGATCAGTGGCACAGATTAATATTTTTAATGTCTTGACTACAGACATGTCAATGATATTGTAGGTGTAATTCGATGCTGGACAGAGCATTAGTCTGCAAAGTAATTATTGTTTCCTGTTATATTACCAATTAAGGGGGGAAACCACATTAGGAGGCTGATTTTCATGCGTTTTTCATGAATTTTTTTGAATGGGACAAATTGAGTAAAATTTGATCAAACTTTGACATTATTTTGTCAATATTTTGAACTATGTTTACAATTTTTTTCAAGTTATTTGTCTTGAAGATGCCGAAGTTATGGGCTGTTGTCCACTGAACATCGTCGTCCGAGTTGGTTGTTCACGGGAAATGTGGAAGTCGCAATTTTGATCTGAAAGCAAAATTTCCTGCATTAATTAATATGTTTTTTAAGAAAATGAACCTCACTGCGGGTCAAAATTGTGAAAATTGAAGCTTTGACACGTGGTTGAAAAAAAATATATAGATTTTCACCATAGACTCATAAAATCGGAACAAACAAGAATTTCGTTTTGAAATTTTGGCAACTTATTTTTGAATAGTTATACTAACAATTTATGCAATAAAAAAATATCCGCTTTATTGAACCTTAATGTGGTTTCCCCCCTTAAAAAATATTTCGCTAAGTAGTGACACAGTGATTGCTTTAATAGTACCTGCCAAAAAGCAGATCACTTTCTGCCATCCTAAGAATAGAGGAGCAGTAACCATTCATAGATATAGCACTTTGTGACATTTTTCATATATTTCAGATTGTTCCCATCACTTACAAAATTCACAAACACCTAATATGCAAACTAGTCCGGATCACTTGGTACAAACCATTGAAAAAATTTCTGCGATCTTCGAGAGGATAAAGAGGGGCTACATTTTTGAAGTGGACATTCTGTGTTCCATTATCCCCAACATCCTCGACGACTTTTTCTCCCCGTCCGACATTCTCACTAAAGTCATTGGAGAATTTTTGTCACCTCAACAGCCCCATCCTCAACTATTGAGCAAAGTTGTGTTCCGGGTAAATATTATTTCATATTGGAAATAAACTCACTATAAGATGACTGTACTTTTTTTTCTGTTTTTAGGTGTTCGAAAGCGCGATTCGCCAAGAGCAATTACCCCTCCTTCAGGATTGGGTGGTTTTCAGTTTGTCAAATTTCACCCAGTCGTTTTCTATAGGAATGGCTACGTGGTGCCTGACGTGCTTCTTCATCAGTGCCAGCTCTAACGACTGGCTCAGGTCTTACTTCCCATATATACAAACTAGAGTCGGTCGTTACGAATATGAGGACAAAAAATTATTGTGTATAACAGGAGCCGATTTCTACAGCAATCTGCCCAACGAGACGCAGAAGCAAAAGTTTGTTGATAATTTTAAGAAGGTTAAAGATCAACCCGACACACCCTTTAATGACCTATTATCGTCTTTGTAAAGTTTGTTACCCCTCAATATATTTTTATTAATGTTAACCGTTTTCATACTTTCAACTTTTGAAATAATATATCTGTAAAGTATTTGTATATAAATGTTTAAAATAAATTATTGCCATAGTTTGGTTTTCCAAAAAAAAATTATGTTCATTGTGAAACAGTGCATATGTTTCAAAGTGAAAACTGCCATAACAGGTAAGTATATTATAAATTTTACAGTTTACTAATTAAAAAATAAAATGGCATGTATAAAACTACAACAGCAATTATTACATACTTATAAATAGTAACATTTTAATTATCATTTCAAAGAAAATATTTTCATCTAGATTTAATCTAATTTGTGAATTATAAGATAATTGTTGAGCTTTTTTACTTCTATACTTATAATTCTAAAAATGACACATTTTCTACTTAACAAAACCACCAATAAAATATTCCCCACATTTCCTGTTTTTTCCGGCAAATCAAATAGTACCGTAAAACACGGCAATTAATTTTTTTTAGTGATGTAAAATAGCATGCTATTTAGTTTTGGGTGATATATATCAAAATATATATCATTATATATATCAGATGAATTTTGTTAAAAAAAAAGTATATTCAAATTAGTTTTTTTATATTGCTAATGCCTTGCTGATTAATTTGACACCAAATACATGTCATATATATGAACTTTAAGAAAAGTTATCAAGTGATCTTTATTTTTTTTTCATATTTAGATTGGAATTTTATATTTTTTTTATCATACTGACTTATAATTTTTGTTGCGTGCTACTGACTTGTATATCACAATACGTACTTAAAAAAAATTAAAGATAAAAATTGAAATAAAAATTATCAAAAACTTATGATAATAAAGAAACTGCTTTAAAGCAGTACTTAAAAATCTGAAAATTTAGGGGTGTACTATAAATGGGGAGACCTAAGAGCGCACGTAATTTCAACTCACCCCTTCCACCCTAGGGAGTGGGGTGAAGGTTTTTTTTAGACGTACCCTATTTATTTTGCGATTTTCGGATTGTACGCGTAAAACTACCCCCAGAAACGCGTTCTTGGGGGTACGTCTAAAAGACCACCCCTCATCCCCTCTGCACCTACTAAGGTGGAAAGGGCCAGTTGAAATCAGGTTCGCTCTTAGGTCTCCCCACTTATAGTACACCCCTAAAATTTCAGATTTCTATATTTATTTTTGAAGGAGGAAAATGCTCATCGAAAAACCGACAAAATCCATACGAGGGTGGTGGTTTGGTTTTTGTGCGAATTCGGCAAGAACGCGCTTTCGGGGGTAGTTTTACGCATAGAATCCGAAACTCGCAAAATGAGTAGGGTACATCTAAAAAAACCACCCGTCACCCCCTAGGGTGGAAGGGGTGACTTGAAATTACGTGCGCTCTTAGTTCTTCCCATCTATAGTACACCCCTAAAATTTCAGATTTTTATATTCATTTTTGACGGAGATATTCCAGGTACCCAAGAGCTACTACAGTCCAACTCAAGCCTACCACACCACAAGCACAAGTTTTTAGTTTTAAAATGTAAGGTTATGTTTGAAATTTGGCTTTATTCATGAAATGGCGGGAAAATTGATATATATCAACTATTAACATAAATATAATAGCTGATATGTATCAAAAATTGATATATATCAATTTGTTATATATTTTCACTCACATCACTAATTTTTTTTATTAAACTTTAACAGTAGGTCGATTACCAAAAAAATATTTAATGTTATTGAAAAATGTTTAGTTAATGAGATATAAAATGTTAGTTCTTTAAAAAAAATATTTGTTGGTACGTTTTTAAATATATTTTAATTTTTTTTGTGTCGGTGTATTAGCAAAGAGAGCTGATGATCTTTATTAAAAAAAATCGTATATCATTAACCGAGTCATATACAGGGTGTTTCAGAAAACATGGACCAACGCTCGTGGGCAGATTCCTAACCTAAAAACAAGATTAATTTTTCATGTCAACACGATTTCGCTTTGTTCCTTAGCTAGAGGGTGTCATAGTTTCAAAATAAAATAAGTTTTTTCCAAAAATCTAGATTTCCACTTGAGGGAATTAAATGAAATTTGGAAAACTAAACACCCTGTATATTTAATTTTATTTCAAAATCATTTTAAATAGTTCATTTATAAAAATACAAAAATATGCATTATTTCTTATAAACATCTTTAAATTAATACTGCATTTAAAGGAAATACAGGGAGATTCAAGCTAATCAAAAAAAAAAATTGAATGTACAAGGGACTCTTAAAAATACAATTTTGTAAAAATAAATCGAAAAGGGCAGTTCAAAAATGATTTAAAAATACACTTCTACAAGACACTGGAAACTGGTCCACTGTAAAATATGACCTTGCGCAAGGCAAGCATGCAGCATGAACGGACAAAAAATTTAAAGAATTAGGAAAGAAATAAATACAATTTTATAATAGCAGATTCAAACTGCTTTTGTCGTTATTGTTATTATTAATTAATAAAATAATTTGACATACCTTGTTACAAACAACTGTTCATCGACATGGGCCTGTCTAACCCAGTTTCCACGAATTAACTTAAATGTTGTCTTGTTTCACCATAACACAGATAAATTTAAACGATCTCCATCAACACCGAGTTGCTACACAGGGTGGTCCGAATTTTATGCAGGAAACTTCGAGGGTAGATAGATCTCTTTAAAATAATATGTGTTTGCCTTATAAACATAGGTCTGGAATGGCCCCGTTTTAGAGATACAGGATGTTGAGGTTTTAAAAAAAAATTGATTTTTTGTTTATATCGTACACTACCTCACAGGTGGTGTAGAAAGAAGTGTAAATAATTTTGTTGATGTGCTTACAAATTGCACTTACGTTTAAACATAAACAAATATTTTTGTAATATTATCGTTAGAAGTATCTGCCACAAGGGGATTGTATTGGTATGAATAACTTTAGAACGGCGAATCTTAGGGAAAAAATTAAAGTCACCTTTTTTACGTATTTTGTGCATTAAAATATAAATCAGTTACAATGACATGTAAAAAATGCAGTGGCGTAGGTTTTTTCGTAAAAAAGGGGGTGAGCCCTGTCCAGTTGTACACCACTGGTTGAACCTTTAAAGCTCATATTTCAGGGAATATAAGGCCTACTATCATACATTATATGTACCAAATTTTATTGAGATCGGTTAATAGATTCCAGAGATATAAACAAAAAATCAATCAAGAAAGAGCGTATAGCGTACAGCGCACACCGCGAATGATGTTAGAGACTACAGTAGTCCAGCGATGTAAGGGTTGTAAATACTACAACCTCATTAATTTTTTTCTCAGAAACTATAAGGATTTTACAAAAAATTTTATTACAATATTGATTCCATTTTTCATGACGATGGCGCATCGATCTATTCCCAAATTTTTTTGGGTAAGTTGTGAATTACCGTGTGTATGCCTCTGTAGCAGTGGTATGTACCGTCCCTATCTAAGTAAAAGTTGCATCTAAAATAATAATTTTATTCTACAGGATGTCTCATTTATTAACTATTGCATGCTTTGTTTAGTTCTTTTCAAATTAAATATCCTGATTGTCTTCAGTTATTTACGTGTGGCATAATTTTTGTTTTTCCTCCGTTTATTGAGTATTTTGCCCGAGTTATTTTTTTTATCCTTTTTTGCTCAACCAAAAACCTCACTGAAATAATTTTCATCTTCAATCATCTTTTCGCATTAACTCTAGGTTCCATTGCTAGAAATATCATATAATGTTTATTATAGAATAAAAATATAAATAAATAATGTAGCCACGGGGCCCAAATTAAAAAAAAGACATTACAAGTTTTGATAACTAAAAAATAATGGTTACCTATTGAAAAAATTATTAATTAATTGATGTATTGTTTATTTTTTAAATTGCATTTTCAGTGTGAGATTTTTTGGTAGGCAAAATTAATTTAATAAAAATAACTGGTTCTTTTGGCGGAAGGATGTATTTATTTTTTTTATGTTATAAAATACCCATTAAACAGAGGAAAAAATATATTGTTGAATTTAAAGCCTATTTAAAAAAAAATTGGTATTTTTTGAAAAGAAAACATTATTTTGTATTTTGTTGGTAGCGTACTTTTTTTAAACACGGCGGAGGTGCGGCCTTCATTTTCAACGACATTGATGAAACAAAAACTGAAAATATGTACGTCTAGAATATTTTTTGCTTTTTGACTGCAAAAAATATTCTATAAGATGGAAACATTTGTATGTCTAAAAAATATTTTCATAAAAACACAGGGTGATTTCACTTTAAATACAGAAATCGCAGTACTAGATTTATTACCAAAAAATAAGTAGAGTTTGCTCTATTTTTTTTTCCTGCGGGAGTCTGTATTCCAGATACAGGGTGTTAAAGTTTACAAAAAAATTTATATTTTCTGCCAGATCTTGATACTGCGCTCACGGAATTGAATGAAATGTACCACAGTGTATTCACTTAATTAGACCTTTTATTTAATGTAATATTAACCTTGTGACTTTAACCAGTGGCGCGCTACTGGAGGTGCCGCCTCATTTACCCAAGGAAAAAATTAATAATACAAATCCTTAATACAAATGTAAAGTAAATACAGGGTGTCTCATAATTAGCTGCCAACCCTGAACAGGCCGATTCTATGATCAAAACTAAGTAAAAAAGTTCATATGAACATGGGTCCGTTAATGCTTCCTAAGGGCACAGGGACCCATTGAAGAGGGAGGAATGGAAATCATTTTTTTGCAATATTTCTCAATCGCGTTGTGATAAATGAATGAAATTTGGTATACACAGCTAAATTTTGATGAGCAATTTGATGGACTAATCCATTTATTTCCACAAGGTCCATTGGGGTGGGTACGGGGGGGCCCTTGGTACTTTGCGTGTGTAACTTTTTCATCTTTGACTTTTTAACAAATTGGACAGCAAATTCCGTTTTCCCGAACTGTTTTACGTTAAAAAGGTACTCTTGTTTCAAATCGTTATCTTTAACGGTTTCTGAGAAAATCGCTCTTGAATTAATCCCACTTTGGTCAATTTCATAGTAATTTAAACAAAAAATAATAATAATAATTTTCCTTTCCTCTCTTTTCCATTTAAAGGATTAATTTTTATTTAATTTAATTTTTTATTATTATTTTTTTATTAAAATTAGATTAAATTTAAACAAAAAAATTTTTTTTGTTTAAATTACTATGAAATTGACCAAAGTGGGATTAATTCAAGAGCGATTTTCTCAGAAACCGTTAAAGATAACGATTTGAAACAAGAGTACCTTTTTAACGTAAAACAGTTCGGGAAAACGGAATTTGCTGTCCAATTTGTTAAAAAGTCAAAGATGAAAAAGTTACACACGCAAAGTACCAAGGGCCCCCCCGTACCCACCCCAATGGACCTTGTGGAAATAAATGGATTAGTCCATCAAATTGCTCATCAAAATTTAGCTGTGTATACCAAATTTCATTCATTTATCACAACGCGATTGAGAGATATTGCAAAAAAATGATTTCCATTCCTCCCTCTTCAATGGGTCCCTGTGCCCTTAGGAAGCATTTCCGGACCCATGTTCATATGAACTTTTTTACTTAGTTTTGATCATAGAATCGGCCTGTTCAGGGTTGGCAGCTAATTATGAGACACCCTGTATAAATATAATATTCTGCAATATAAAAATAACAATGTTTCTTTGCGCAGCTGTAAGTTTCTTTAAATAATGTTTTCACCAAAACAATAACAGCTTCTATTAAGAAATAGGTTGCCCTAACTTAAATCTTATATTACTTAAAGATACTTCGCAGACTTTGATAATTTTCAAAATTGCCCCACTACATCGATCAGAGTTACCCCATTACCCCGATCAAAGTTATGCCCCTCGACAGAATATTTAATTTTTTGGTCATATTTACTAAGCAATATTTTAACATGGTTTTACAGCAAAGACTATAATATTACTTTACTCCTAGTGCCTGTTTCTCTTGTGCGCTTGAAGTTATAATGACTTCAAAAAATGGATAAAATATATTTTTTTTAAATAAAAGCCTGGTACACTCTCCAAACATCACTGGTTCACTGAGGAACGATTAGACATGATCGCGTTGACTATGCGGAGTTGCCATATTATGATATCTGCCTAATATCTCGAGAAATGTCGGAAGGAAGAATATAAAATAAGATCATCAATGTTTCTGTCAAAGTAGCCCCTGAAATTGAAAGTAACCCCATCCAAATACTCTTGAGTATTTGCCCCATCCCACGGTACCTACCTAACAAAGTGTTTGTTTTACGCTGAACGACAAAACAGAGATAAAATAATAATTTAATAATAATAATCTCACTTCTCACTTTGTTTGTATATCGCTTATATAATTTGGAACATAGATTATAAAAATGAGTACGTACCTTACAAAATATACACATACAAAATTTTGTTTGTGAACGCGTAACAAATCCGCACGACGTCGAGTTAATATTTAAAAAATTTAACAGTTTGAATTTATGAACATGTAGATTATTAAAAGAGAATAATAATTTATTATACATGGTGATTTCACTTTGAATACAGAAACTGCAGGAGTAGGTTCATTACCAAAAAATAAATAAAGTTTTTTCCTGACGGACTAAGTATTCGAGATACAAGGTGTTAAAGTTTACAAAAAATATATATTTTCTGCCATATCTTCATAATGCGATGACGGAATTGAATGACATTTACTGCAGCGTATACACTTAATTAGAACTTTTATTGCATGTAATATTAACCCCGCGACATTAACCATCAGTAGCGTGCTACTGAAGATGCCGCCCCGTTTTGCCAAAAAAAAAAAAAAATACGCCACTGGCAGTTTTTTGTAGAAATAATGTTACATTTAGGTACTGTTACGTTAAATGAATGAAAAATGTTTCTTGGTGTTTTTAATAGTAGCACCCGTTTAGGAGATATTTGGCTTTGTTTTTTCTTTATTGAGTTTTCCTAATAAATAAATCTATTTGATGAAAACCTCCTGGTTACCTGCTACTAAAGCGTCTGCCAACTTTTCCCTAGAAAATAATACGGCACTGGCGGGTTTTTGTAGAAATAATTTTATTTCTGGAAAAAACATCAAACTAAATAATAAAATAAACATTAGCAAATAGATCGATAAAGTACCTAGTTAAGTAACGAGTCCTACAACAATTGTTCAAAACGAAGTTCTAGATCTAGAGGAAATTATAATTTTCTTAAAATGACATGATTTTCTCTGAGGAATTATAATTTTCCTCTATTCCACAATTCCTCTCGTGTTCATAAGCCCAAGGACTGCAGCTTCAGGAATAAATAAACTAAGCTAGATATAAATACTTAATCGAGATCATCGTAAAGCTTACTATTATAACAAAATGCAGACAAAAGAATCAATTTTTGCAGATAGGTTTTATATAAGTATGTGGGCTAAATGTGGGCATTATGGTCAGCAAATAAGTAAATTATCTCCTAAACAACTGCTACCTACTGTAAAAAAAAACACCAAGAAACATTTTTCATTCATTTAACATAACAGTACCTGAATGTAACATTATTTCTACAAAAAACTGCCAGTAGAAATTGACCAAAGTGGGATTAATTAAAGAGCGATTTTCTCAGAAACCGTTAAAGATAACGATTTGAAACAAGAGTACCTTTTCAACGTAAAACAGTTCGGGAAAACGGAATTTGCTGTCCAATTTGTTAAAAAGTTACACACGCAAAGTACCAAGGGCCCCCCCGTACCCACCCCAATGGACCTTGTGGAAATAAATGGATTAGTCCATCAAATTGCTCATCAAAATTTAGCTGTGTATACCAAATTTCATTCATTTATCACAACGCGATTGAGAGATATTGCAAAAAAATGATTTCCATTCCTCCCTCTTCAATGGGTCCCTGTGCCCTTAGGAAGCATTTCCGGACCCATGTTCATATGAACTTTTTTACTTAGTTTTGATCATAGAATCGGCCTATTCAGGGTTGGCAGCTAATTATGAGACACCCTGTATTTACTTTACATTTGTATTAAGTATTATTTGAGTTAAATAATATTTTTGTAGCGTAAAAGATAATATTTCCTTAATATATCACTAAGTTTCTAATTTCTGGTGTCTTAATGCCATTTATAAGCTCAATTTTTTTTCTTGTCATTCAGTGAGATTGTTTCGTATATATTTTTCATACCTGGGTAAAAATAAGGGGTTACTTGTCAAATATCATGAAAATTAATGAGGTGGACAAAGTAACCCCACTTGGAGTTTATCTGTTTTAGTCTTCAAGAATTAATTTTTCAAGAACTAACGTATATTTTAGCAAAAACTGGACGAACCGATAGCTCGGAGAAAACCGATATTGAGGTTATTTTTATAACAGATTTGAGACTAATACAAATGAAATATTATTGTACAACTTTTTATTTTTAGCAAAGTAACCCCATCCCACGGTATTTAAGAACCCAAATAGATGTCGTTTTACATAAAATGAATTGCGTTATGATGCATCTAGAACGTCGTGAATTAATAATATAGTTCACTTTATGAATATAAATTTAAATCCGGGCACCCTATTAACCTTATCAATAGAATAAAAACAAATTGTTTAACGGCGAATCAGTCAAACGAGTTTCAGGCGCAGGCATACGAAACGGGTGTTTGGCATCCATAGCGTAAGAGCGTCGTATGGTCGAAAGTATTACATATCGTGAGTCCGTGAGTTAAACCTTCACAGTACTATCAGTACGATTTAATTAAAATTGCGAAGGTAAATAATGTGGGCAAGACACATCAACAGTATTGTACAAAATGCTGGAAAAACAGGTAAATATTTTATTTAGGGTCCATAGTGAACTGGGCGAAAATTCCCGATCGATATTGCGGAGGTTGAAGAGAAAATGTATCCCTTTCTGCTCCCAAAATTCTAAATTGTTAAATTCAAAAGATAAACGTGTAAAATACCAGGTGGATTTTATTTTATTATTCCTTACATTGTCACTGAATTAACACAAAATGGATAAATACCTATACTGTATACTATATATGCAAAATAATATTTCCACTAATGAAGGTTTGAATTGTATTTAAATGAATTAAACATGAATAATTTGAACTAAAATTATTAGCATCAGTATATAAACTATCAGAATTCATACATATTTATTTGATCTTCACATATATTTGACCGAAAGTATAGAAAAAAATATTCTCTTATCATCCCTCATATTGAAGCACACTTTTCTTGGACTTTGAATGTGCATATATATCAAAAACGATAACACCGATTCTCAAAAATCTCTTGAGTTTAATGGCATTTAATTGCCCAATGCAAAAGCAAGTTTATACTCAATGAACAAATAAAAAATAAATTTTATTTACCTATGTACCTACTTGTGGATTAAATACATAATTTATTTGATCTTTCAACTTAATGTGTGATGTGCGACACTGGAAATATAGAATGGTGTGTAGTGTGCATTTCTATTTGTTTTTGTCTTAATTTTTAACTAAATTGAATTTTCAGGTAATTTACGAGTACCTACCTACCTATATTGTATTATCTAATGTTTTCTATAACACACTTTCTGAATCTGAAGTATTTTATCTCTTCATATGAAGTTGCCTATTACTTAGATATATTATCTCAGTAATAAGTTGTGTAATTTTATTATCTACAATTCACTTTTATCTGATATATTTATCAGTAAGTATATAGGACTGCTCATATGTTTATTATTATCATTTTGACCATGAACTAGTCAATATTTGATATTCCTAATAAAACTGATGTTATTTCATAACAAGATTGCATAAAAACATTGCAGAAATAGATTAGAAATGTTGAAATTAAAAAATAGCTGATTTTTTTTACAAATATGACCAAAAATTCTGCAAAAAAAATTCATCGTTTCCAATTTTTAAAATATACAATACTAGATTTTTTGCACATGCTTGAAGAATAATAAAAACGTGCAAATGAATAATCTACAATTTAAAAATGGCAAAGCCTTGACTTTATTCCAATTGAAGTGAAGTGTCAGAATTATTATTAATCTCCAATTATAATTAACTATAGAAATAATATATAATTTAAAATTATAATTGCAGTTGATATTTTGCTCTAGAAAATGGAAGAACTAAATCTAAATAAAAATAAAATCGAGATGATCGTCAATTAAAATAAATTTGACCCAGTGCAATTTCAAATTGATAACACATAATTTTAGGAAGTAGAACAGCTGCTACTCTAGTTCAAGGAGAACCAAAACAGCCCAGCATTAAAACAGACATACCAGGACCGAATTCAAAGAAACTACTGGAAGAATTAAATTCGATAAATGTAATGAACTATACAAATTTTAAACACAATTTACACTTGTTTGTTTTAGCAAAGTGGTTCAGTCCAATTATTCGCTGACTATGACAAATCAATCGGAAACTACCTTATTGATGTGGATGGGAATGAGTTTTTGGATGCATTTACACAAATATCCTCCGTTCCTTTAGGATACAACCATCCAGAAATGTTGAAAGTATTCACTGATGAAAGTAAATTGGTAAATATTGATCACTAAAAACATATACCCCAAGATATTTTGATTTATTTATAAACCAATAAGTAAATTTTATATTATTGACTCTTTAGATCAATTCTTATTACAAACCCATGATTTTAGAAAGCTCTCGTGAACAGACCAGCTCTGGGAGTGTTTCCAGGCAATTATTGGCCCAGCAAGCTAAAAAGTGTCCTTTTAGCAGCATCTCCAGGTCTTCCAAATGTCACCACCATGATGTGTGGCTCGTGTTCAAATGAAAACGCTTACAAATCCTTATTTATCACTTACAGAAAACATCAGAGAGGAGAGAATGTTAATTTTAGTGAACTAGAAAACACTTCTTGCATGATAAACCAGCCCCCTGGTGCCCCGCAATTATCTATTTTGTCTTTCCATGGTGCCTTTCATGGAAGGACAATGGGCACCTTGGCAACTACACATTCCAAAGCTATTCATAAGTTGGATATTCCGTCACTGGATTGGCCCATAGCACACTTTCCAAAGTACAAATATCCTCTGGAAGAGAATATACGAGAAAATAAAGCTGAAGATGATAAATGTTTAGCCGAAGTCGAAGATCTCATTGAAAAATATAACAAGAAAGGTGTTCCAGTTGCTGGAATTGTCATAGAACCGATTCAATCAGAAGGAGGGGACAATGAAGCTTCCCCTGAATTTTTCCAGAGATTACAAAAGATAGCCAAGAAACATGGGGCAGGATTTTTGATTGACGAAGTACAAACTGGGGCTGGTACCACAGGAAAAATGTGGTGTCACGAACATTTTAATTTGGAATCACCACCAGATATCGTCAGTTTCAGTAAAAAAATGTTGATAGGCGGATTCTATCATAGCCTTGATCAAAGGTAAAAATAGTCTTTCATGCAAAGAAAAATTGACTTATTTTTTTTTGTACAAAAGAATTTTACTTTTAGACCTCAGCAACCTTATAGAATTTTTAATACTTGGTTAGGAGACCCTGGCAAAATATTTCTGCTAGAAGCCGTTTTAAAAGTTGTTAAAGAACAAAATCTCTTAAACCAGGTTATTAAAACCGGTGCAAAGCTAAAATCTGGTATCTTAGCTTTGGAAAAGGAATATTCAAATTTGCTGAACTCGACTAGGGGAAGGGGATCCTTTTTGGCAGTAAATGCAACCACATCTGCTCTAAGAGACGACATTATTGGCAGGCTTAAGAAAAAAGGTTAGTAGATAATCAAACAATATGCAGGGTGTCCCGAAATTAATGCAAGTCTTTTGGAGTTACAGACCCCTGAAATCTGCCCCTAAGAAGTCTTTTTTATATCTCAGAACCCTGTTGTACGAGAATAACTAAATTTGGTACACGGGGGTTTTATGATATGTGGAATCTAATAGTGCTATGCTTTTCCTTGTCTTTGGGGCTAAAAAAATTTGGTCGCATATTTGAATTTCTTAAAAATTATTACTTCACTAGAAAGCCATTGAATTTAGAAACTTTTATTGTCCCTTGATATTTTTTACATACATGCAATGTTTTCGAGAAAAATGGCAAGTCAAGATATGCATTCAACCACGTTTTGCCATTTTTGTCGAAAACATTGTTTTACGAAAAAGTATCAAGAGACAAAAAGTTTCTAAATTCAATGGCTTTCTGGCGGACTAATAATTTTTAAGAAATTTAAATTTGCCACCAAACTTTTTTGGCTCCAGAGACAAGGGGGCCAACGAAAAATTGTCTTAAGGCGGTTCCTCGCCAAAAAACGTAGTAGTACTATCAGATTTCACATGTGTACCCCTGTGAATCAAATTTAGTGATTCTCATACAACAGGGTTCTGAGATATATCAAAGTATTACACATAATCAAATAAAACCTGAAATATTAATGCACTGCATTGTTTATGTTGGTGTTCTCAACTTATTGAGTGGACATAACTATCTTTTGAGCATACTCTTAAATGTTTTTCACATGCAACAAGCATGTTCTTTTAAATCAGGAATGCTAAGGATTTTTTTTACATTCTTTTCATATTGACTGAGATATAGTCAATGATATTAATTACAAATGTGTACAAAGTAACTCACAACTGATGGTTGGCCACCATTAGAGCAAAACGGAAAGAGCAAAAAGAAAACAACAAGGAGAATTTTTGTGGCATGATGGTATAAGTACCTATTTAACTTAAAATTACATCTAGGTGAATTTACCGTCCTAAGGGCTGTGACGTCATCAAAATTGTTTTTTCTAATTTCGTAAATGTATTTTTTTCACATCATGATATTTTTTTCTCAGTAAAGTTTTTCTATATCTCTTCTCTCTTTAGAAGATATAAGATGTCTATATTTATTATTGACATGTTTTAATTTTTTTCCACCACCAGATTTAACTAAACTTCCCTTAGTCCAAAAATTGATAACAGAGCTACTTCAAGCTAATTTTGTATCCGGGTTTTTTTGGGACAAGAAATTCAAATTTATCGACAATTTCGTTGTATCTTCTGGAGAACGCCACAAGCGACCAGTAGGACCCATTTAAACTGCCAAAACTTTTTTGTAGGCTGGAAAAATATTTCCCCCAACATTCCTGCTTAAAAAAGTATACCTTGCTAATATCTCTAAAGCCAACCGTTTTCAACAATAAGGCATTTAAATTTATAAATGCATGAAATAATGTGTTTAAAAGTTATTTTTAACTCCACTAATAAACATTCAAAAACATATTTTTTTAGACAGGTTAATATTAATTAATTATTTTTTAGATTTTTAGATATTGGTTACATTGTTTTTTACTCTTTCAATTCTGTTTGCAGTAAAATTGTTAAATAAACTAAATTTAAAATTATAATTGCACTGTTTCCTTTAAGGAAATTTATCGGGTATGGAGATACATCTAAAGTCTAACGAGAGTTTTTGTAGATTCGCTAGTGACTAAAGTAGTAAGCCTTTAGATTTGTCAACGTTGCACTTGGCTGGCTCGCTTGCCTCGGCGTTCGCTCGCTCGCGTTCGATCATTCCGTTTGTTTGGACACCTGCAAATTTAAAATAATACGCTACGTGAAGACCGCGACGTTGCCGCTGTCACGCATATGGAGCATAAGTTAGTCAACGAAAGCAGTTTGAAGGAGAATTATTATAAATTATGTATCTTACAAGTACCTAATCGATTTCTACGAGCTATCATACGGTTACTTAGATATCGGTTTCCTATTTGTACAAGTTGCTGTGGAAACTGTTCGTCAATTGTTGCACATTCTAAGTGGAAAGACCAAAAAAATGCGCATTCTCATAAGACTTCATACTAAATCGTGAAAAATTATTTTATTAATATCTCGTCTCTTAGATATCCAAACTAGTCATATTTTTGTTTGAGGATTTTCTTCATATTAATAAGCTTATATTAATTTTTTTGTTATTTCCAAATCAGATAAACCTCCTTAAAGGCATACTTCTTGCTAATAAACGATTGCTCCTAATTTCATTTATCAGTGATGCGATAAAGATACAATCCATTGCATTCAAGTAATGGCATTTAAGTACATATTTTTGCCAAAATAATTGAAATTATTCATTATTGGTCACATCCAAATATTACAGAAATTGAGCATAAAAATTAAGGAATGTAATAAAAATACCCAGTACTACAGCTATGAGTCAATTTCAGTTACCATTGCTGTTGTTTTATTTATGAATAGAAATGACGTACTCTAATGATAACCATTGTAAAATACATCTTTGTAGATGGTGATTCACAAATGGTAACCAAAAATGAAACCTTGTATTCTTTGGTGAATTTTAAGGGGAATCTTATAAAGTTTTTATCTAGGACACTTTGTTAAAAAGATACAGGACACAGGGTGTTAAACTTCTGCTTTACGGTAATAATCATGATATTTTCGGATTCGTCTTAAAATTTTCTACAATTTACTAGTCTTATCGTTTTTCGAAAAAAGCCTGACTTTCGAGAAAAACTTATAAAACAAACTAAAAACATACTTACTTCAATATTTAAATAAAATTTGGTTTAAAATTACGTAGTAGGCTGCGATAGCAACTTTTGACATTCTGAGCAATTAGAAGAAAAAGTAAATACTGCTTTTCATGAGATTCAAGCACAATAAATTTCGAACAATTTACATTTTCTTTACTAAAAAGACGTCAAGCCTGTGTTTGTTGATGTTAGAGATGGGCACTTTTCGAAAAAGTGTGTTACGGGCATGTCCGTTGGACATGTCAGGAAAAGTACTTTTGACCTTGAATCTAATATGGCACCAATGAGTGACATCATGTTTTCACAGGTCACTGCTTGAGGGTACACAGAGCAAAATATTACTTTTATTCTAATGAATATATGTCGATATATTTTACTTATTACCTACCTTTAGACTTTTTTATAAACTGGTTTCTAATTTTCCCTGGACAGCCAATACACTTATTTAAATGTTTTTCTATCCTACTGGAATTCTTAAAAATTGTTTTTGAGCGGAAGTTACATTTATAATACTTTTTACTCAATTCAGAAAAATATTACCAAACTGTTGATTTTGGCGTCATACTTCATTTATAAACTATTTGTTTATTAAATATTAAATTAAGAATCAACTGATTACTATTTACTAATCGTTAACTATGCCAAAAATAATATGGACATATAAGAGGTTACATTTTTAAAATGTCAATTTCAGTTAAGGCAGGCGTTTACATGCGCAATTTTCAATAAATCTTTTGTCGAATTGTTTAAAAAATTTAAGCAAGTTAGAAACAATATCTCTTCACTGTACTCAAAAAAAGCATCTTTTTTTATCTTACTTTTCCTGAACTTTAAACGACTGTTGAATATACAAATAATCACGTACGGTACTATAAACATAGTCACACCCAGCAGAATGCTATTAGGATACTATTTATACATGAATTAATAACAATTATTGAGTAGTTTTATAAATTAATTCGACAAAACAGGAAAGGTACGTTTTTTTGATGCTTACATATTCCCCAGAAGTTTCCATGAGAAAAATTAAAGCAATCCTTCGTATTTCAACATTTCTATAGTTTGGATACTGTCGAAAAGAGGGCGAGTCATAGTTGTCATCCTAAGGTATTTTTCGCCGACCCAGAGTCGGACTAACTTCAATATGTTTGATTGTGAGTTGTATTTGCGCCGATTTTAGATCATATGAAAGAATGCCATGCAATACGTCACAAAACATAATACAGTAAAACAATTACCAACAAAATTCATGAACCTCAAATATTAATTTCTTTTATTCAAATAAATAACCGAATGATTAGTGTTTGTCCTGCCATTTAAGTAAAAGTGTTTTCAGTTGTTTTTTAAGTTTTACTCGAAAATCAGTCTTTTTTTCGAAAAACATAAGAGAGTAGCAATTTATAGAAAATTGAAAAACGAATCCCAAAATATCATGACTGTTACCGTAAAGCAGTGGTGTACTATTTTATTTAGAAAAATATGCCACTGATACCCTGTACCTCTGCCACTGGAGCATCTAAATTTTAGAAAAAGGCCTCAAATTTTGGACAATGTTTACATAAACACACGTGCCCAATTTAAAATTCTCTTACTAATTTTTAAATTATTTAAAAAAAATGTAAATATTTTTTTAAGTTTATCGTCTGTAAACGAAAACATGCCTAAAAAACTTTAGATATAAATTTTAGCTAGACGTAAATTTTTGGAAGTTTTATTTTTTGTAGGCTCCAGATCAGGTCATCGAGGTGGCTATTAAATTTATACATACTAGATAAACACGAAATATATTTCTTTATATTTACCTTTGACATTACAGGTGTAATTGTTGGAAGTTGCGGAGACCACTCCATACGACTAAGGCCGGCTTTAACGTTCCAAGAGCATCATGCCGATATACTTCTGGATCGATTCAGGGAAGTCGTTAGAGAAACTAAATGAAGTTCACAATAAAGGTGTTTTTATAAACAAATATTATATTTTATTAGATAATATATACAGGTGTTCCGTGTATACAATTCTATGTATATACAATAATCATTTTGATTGTAATCTCTACGTTTAGGATGAAAGATCCGTGTTCACTGGACAATAAAAGGAGAAAGATAATAAAAACCATCATGTAATGTTTTTTATTTCTTGATAAAATACAAGTCGATAAGGCCTACCGACTAATTATAAAAATTCTTTAAATATGTGCAAACTTAAAGGGAAACCTTCTGTTAAATAAAACAAATCGAATACCTAAATAATATCTACAATGGCACTATACTAAGACTGAATATATATTTATATCATAAATTACACAATTGATTTAAACATCCGACAAAAAAGTATTACCATGTAGAAACTTAAAACGGTTCGCTAGCAAGCTTTTAAAGTTAAATTCCGCTTTTTTTATAAATATCTCAACTGAAGTAGTCATATCAAAATAATTACAAAATAAAAAAAATTACTCGTAGACATATTCACAAACTAATAATAATAAATATGTACACTTTTTTTTTTTAGACTCCGAGCAGATCGTTAAAACTTACAAGACCAATATTTCATAAAGCTGAGATCGTTTCAGACCTGCTGAAAGTCTTCCGGGAGAACCTACGGACCTGTCGCACCGCCGTCGGTGTCCCTTCACTTGTTGTTCTCGTACAACTTATCCCTCAAACATTTTATCTTGTTGACGAAGTAAGCCTCCAGGGATTCGGCGCATTTATAAAACGGAGATTCTTTCGGGTTGTAGTACCTGCAATTGTCGAATATCTTCGTCATGTCTCCTATGAACTCGCTCAGCTTCGTGTACCGCTTGTCGTTTATTTTGTTTTCGATCATCTGAAGGTCTGGAACAGAAATTATTCCTCTATGAAAGGACGAGTGGTTGAGTTGAGAGTCTCATTTATTTCTGAACGAGAGTCCGGTTTTCTCTTTAATATTACAATTAATGTCTTGTTGCAAACACTAAAGAGAATAAGTATAATAAAAATATAAAATAAAAGTCACGTAAAAACAACAAAATGATTCATGATTTCTTTGCGCAGAAAGTGACAGAGCATATATGTATTCTAATCTAACGAATTTTCGGCATCATTATTTTGTGGTAAAAAATATACTCAAAGTATGGCAGTCATAATAGAAATTAAACAGAGTAGCATAGTCTAGGTGAGATCAAAAGAATAAAACTCGATAAGAGTCGACATTAGTGAAATCACATGTAATTATTTTAATAAGACTACATTTTTAAGCCCTGGGGGTAGTGTTGAAAAATGAGGAGAAAAGTTGAAGAACTATAAAAGTTTAAAAAGGGGATATATCTATTTTTTTCCAAATTCAAACTTGAAATTTCAAGTTCGATGTCGAAATTCCTAATTTTAACAACAAAGAGTGACCGCAAAAAACCTGTGATTTTCGCCCGTTTTTTTACAATTTGCAGAGAATTAAAAAAAAATACATAAAATATGTTTTTGGTCGCAAATTACTTGTTGTAAAAAACTGAAATGAGCATAGCTTTTAGTATTTTGAAAATTTAAAAAATCACCCCTACTTAGGGGTTGAAAAAAATGCCAAAAATAAAGAATTTGAAAATTACTATTGATATAAAAACTATTAGCATATGAATTATCTTAACATATTTTTTTTGGAATTTTTACAATTATTTCTGATATTCTCTATTTTTTGGGACGATTCCACCCCCTGAGCGCACTTATGGGTGGATTTTCTAATTCAACATGCTTATTTCAGTCATGAGAATAAATCTTTCTCTGTATCAAGAATTATTCGATAAAAAAATCCACATGCTAATAGTTTTTATATTTATTGGTAATATTCAATTCTTCATTTTGGGCGTCTTTTCAACCCCTAAATAGGGGCGATTTTTGAAAATTTTCAAAAAACAAGAATCTATGCTCATCTTAATTTTTTACGAGTGACCGCAAAAAACCTGTGATTTTTGCCCGTTTTTTTTACAATTTGCAGAGAATTAAAAAAAAATACATAAAATATGTTTTTGGTCGCAAATTACTTGTTGTAAAAAACTGAAATGAGCATAGCTTTTAGTATTTTGAAAATTTAAAAAATCACCCCTACTTAGGGGTTGAAAAAAATGCCAAAAATAAAGAATTTGAAAATTACTATTGATATAAAAACTATTAGCATATGAATTATCTTAACATATTTTTTTTGGAATTTTTAAAATTATTTCTGATATTCTCTATTTTTTGGGACGATTCCACCCCCTGAGCGCACTTATGGGTGGATTTTCTAATTCAACATGCTTATTTCAGTCATGAGAATAAATCTTTCTCTGTATCAAGAATTATTCGATAAAAAAATCCACATGCTAATAGTTTTTATATTTATTGGTAATATTCAATTCTTCATTTTGGGCGTCTTTTCAACCCCTAAATAGGGGCGATTTTTGAAAATTTGCAAAAAACAAAAATCTATGCTCATCTTAATTTTTTACGAGTAATTTCAGACCAAAAACATATTTTTATCTATTTTCTTTAGTTCTCTGCGAATTGTGAAAAAATGGGCGATTTTTGCGGTCACTTTTTATGTTCTGAATCTGAAATTTCATGTTTAAACCTGAAATGTTAAATTTAAACTTAAAATTTCAATTTTGAAGTTGAAACTTGGAGTTTGAAATATACGTTTTATAGTATTTTACTTCTAGCTGTGAAAACCGGTATTAGAATTAAAATTGGACCATTTTTAATGCAAGCAGATGCCCAGCAAAAAAATGCATAAAAAATTTGAATAATGGTTCGATAGTGCCTGCCTTTTTCACACTTAAAGTTGATATAATTATCGACTTCTGTGCCAAATTTCAGCTTCTAATTTTCATAAAAGACATAGCTATGAGTTTTTGGAAAAAATGCAGAATTTTCGAGTTTCTCTGATTCTCTGAATCCTTCGACCTTTCATTTTCTTCCAAATTTAATTTCCTACAACTTTTCCATTTACAGAATTGAGATTACTCTAATAGTTTTGGTTTTAAAAGCAAACAACTAAAAAAACGCGTTTTTTTTTTTAACTAAAATGTTAATAACAAATTAATTAACGAGAGTTGCGAGTCGAAAACAGAGTATATTTCTGGACTGTCTTTTAAATGACGGCACAGGTGGTATGCTGTTAATATTTATGCCACACAAAAGACTGTCCTATTTAAATTTCGAGAATGAATTAAAATTTAAAATTTCAAATTCCAACTGAAAAGTATCGAGTCGATAATACAATAAAATAAATTTAATCTTTATGTTTTCTTATACATAAAGTGACAACGCATGCAAATAATCTAACAAATCTTTGACGTCATCATGGCATGGCAAAAAAATAATGCTTTTTAATCCAAGAACCAAGTTTAGACCAAATAGAGAAAGTGTAGTGTAAATAAATAAAACCATACTAATTAAAAGTGCATAAAGTAATTTAAAAGAATCAACAGTGAAAAATCATATGTAATCCTTTTATGCCTTGGGGGAGACAAGGATTGAAAATTGTTATTTTTTTTTATTCTTGATTTTGAAATTTAAATTTTGAGATTGAACTTGTAATTTCAAGTTTAAAAAAAATTTTGAGTTTGAACTTGAAAATCTGAATTTGAGTTCAAAATTTTGTCACTTATCATGTTTCGAACTTAAGATTTTATATTGAAAGTGAAAAATTTGAGTTAGAACTTGAAATTTCACGTTTCAAAAGTCGAAATTTCAAGTTTGACTTCCAAACCTATATTTTTGTACGCTTTTGTATCAAAGAGTCAACAGTAGGGTTCGGTAATAAGTGTTTAAGAGGGCTCTATAACAAATAGGCAACCAGCAATACATTTTTATAGATTTTATTACACAGTTTGTCTAAATATGAATTAATGCACAAATAACAGACTTTCTTCCATTTTAACGCAGATTTTCTATAAAATGGAGTTAGTTTGTAACTCAAATTACATTTTGTTGTAAAGAAATTTGTGATTTGCCGCATTTGAACAAGTAAATTACAAATTTCCTTACACCAAAAAGTAATTTGAGTTTCAAACTAGGTCCATTTTATTGCAAATCTGCGTTAGAATGGAGGAAAGTCTGTTATTTGTGCATTAATTCATATTTAGACAAACTGTGTAATAAAATCAATAAAAATGTATGGCTGGTTGCCTATTTGCTATAGAGCCCTCTTAATGGATTGTATATAATCTAACGAACATTATTAATACGGTTCTTGTGACATTTCCTATTTAAAACTTAAGATTCAAATTGGAAATTTTGAGTTTGAACTGGAAATTTCATGTTTCAAAGTCAAAATTTCAAGTTTTGACTTCAAAACTTATGGCCTTTGTACGCTTTTAGAGCAGAATCAACAGTAATAATAAGTGTTTAATAGATTGAACGGAATCTAATTAATTATCTATTAATAAGGCATGTGTCCAGCTATTTGCCCTTGAAGAACGATAAGATGTTTCAAAGGTTTCTATCACACCAAATTGAGAGTAACACAACAAAAATTTGCAATGGTAATATTCGTGACTATTATTTAAAAATATGTTAAACAGTGGCCCCAAGTGAGAGCCTTGAGGCACATCCGACACCGTTGCAATCTGTTTAATATTAAATTTTCAAATCTGACGTGTCTCTTTTTTTTATCCAATCTAGAAAATGACCACATTGTAATTTAAATTTACTCTATCGAAAAGCCTTGGAACAATTTGCCTTCGACGACAATCGAGTTAGAAAATGATCTCAGAATAAGTCACCAAATTCCTACTTACCCATAGGTTCCTTTATGACCTTGTAATAATCTGGGGCCTCCGTTGGGTCCACCGGTTCCATAAACGGCCAGGCGCTTTTATGAACCTAAAAACAACACGTCATTCACAAAATTCCGAATAGGAATCGGTCCTTGTCTATTAACGATTGCTAGACGTACCTGCAGCTGCTTGATGAGTTTGCGGAGCCCCTCGAAATCCTTCTGCGTCAGGTCTTTCATGTTGGCGAAGTTAACCGAATTGTTCCGCTGACACCTCGGGCAGATATATTCGTCGATGTTGTCCGCTTCCGACTGCAGAATGCCCACACACCTACCGTGGAACCAGTCTTGACATCGATCACAGCAGATGTAAAATCTGAAAAAAAGAAAAGGTGGTCTCAACCGGAAATGGATTATAAAGGAAAAAAACAAAAATACGAAACACTCACTGAGACTCGTCGTAGGGCTGCTGACACAGACAATACAACTTCTGAGTATCCCTGGCCTGCTTGCATTCCGTGCAAATGAATTCCGTGAGGGACTTGCTGCTTTCCTCCGTAATACCCACACAGTCGCCGTGGAACCAGTTATTGCACAGATCACAACCCACGTAAAACTTGGTTTCGTCGTACGGCGTCCGACAGATACAGTAAACCTTCTCTTTCTTGAGGTTGGCCTTTTGTGCGGCCGTGGAAGCGGTCGATGGCGGAGACGGGTTCTGAGCCTGCTTCTGGGTTTTTCTGTGGCGGGACGTCGAGGATTTCTGAGGAGGCTGGTGGATGGCCGCTGTCGTGGCAGTAGCGGCCGATTTTCTTTTGCTGCTGCCTGTCCGGACCTCGTCCTGCTTGCTTCGCTCGATTTTGGTGCGTGCTGCCAGCTCCTCGGCTACCTCCCTCTATAAATTTAGTTTTGATTTAATTAAACAAAAATGATCGACAAAACAAATATTTCGTTTAAATTATTATTATTATTATTATTATTAAAAGTAAAACAACATAAAAACAAGAAGTCAAATTGATCACAGCCTGTACTGAAAATATAAGAGCAAGTAAAAATTAATTATTTTCATTCAACTCTAACTGGGAATCAAATTTCTAGGGGCTAGCAAAATAATATTTTGAAAAATTGTTTTTGATGTCGAATAATAGTCGATTTGTAATTAGTTTTTTCGTCAAAGCAGACTAAACGCAGGGCATTAAAAAAATGTTTGAGTCCTTTTAAAAATCAATATTTTTGCACAATTTATTAAATATTTACTAATATTATTATGTAGATATGCATACCTTACTAATTGTATGTAAAACGTATTTATTTTTATTATATTTATATTGTTTTTTAAAATATACTTCATGAAAAAAAAAAAAAATACATCCTTATCTGATTGACTTCGTTTTTTTTAAATTGTTGAAAGTATCAACTATTTATTTAAAGCAGTATGTGTTTAGTTTCTGAATCTCTGTGTCAGTGACCTCTGATATTAGATCTACATATCAATCAGTTGATGTTACCGTAGATCTTATAGTTCACTGTTTTATCTGGTTTTAAAACAACTGTACAAAATGGATGCAGTAACTATTGAAAAAGTTATTGCGACCAGCATTATTTTGATTATAATGAAAGAAAAAAGAAGTAAAAAACTTAAAAAAAGAGATGTGTTAGAAATTTTGTTTTAATTTCATTAATTGTAACGTCAGGATTTTTCAAGCTCAGCACCTCCATTATTTCGCTAAGAACTTTTTGCTTTAAATGCTTAATCAAATACTGTTTTGTCTTTACAGCGTACAAACAGGGATGTTTCTTATATTCATCAATTAATATTCTTACTTGCCCTCTCGTCCAGGACATCGTTCTAGACACGGGAAGCGGTAAATGTTAATTACTTTAAACACAGATTAAATAAACATAACCTGTAATTTGATCTGACAGGTGGGAATGCAGGCATAACAAATAACTTTGTTCTGCGCAGATTTACGCGCATTTTTATAAAGAAAATTAGAACAAGTTCTAAAATTTCTGTAAACATTTATTTATACATAAATCTGAATAGAATTTCATATATTTCGTGTTTGTCATGAACATATTTCTACATAAAAAAAATTTGCTCAGATTACTTAGAAGATTTTAAAAAAGAAATGCTATTGTGTCAAACAGCCTTTACTAGAATTGAAATATAATTTGTATAGTGCAATGTTGTGTTCTATTAAGTTCAATTTTACGATGAAATTTAAATCCTGTTTTCGTTTCGTGTCTTCATTGTTAAAATTTGTGTGTGGTATTATAACAAAATATGTACACGAATGAAGAAAGATGAGATCTGACAACAATGCATACCGATGCGTGATAAGTTTACAGGGAAGTTTGAGGTTACACCAGCCTGTCCAAAAAAATCGTTTTTTACAATTTGAAAAAAAAAACTCTCATGAAGTGTGTTTTTAAAAGTCAAAATGAGCGTCTGTATCCTCTATTTTAATGATATTAGGATACATTGTCTACATATCTGCCTGCAACATTGCATTGTATTTATTTATTTAACGGGGAAACCCCCATTATATGAAAACCTAAATTAAAAACCATCTTTAACAATAATTGTAATTCTTACAGTTTAACCTAAGGAATTTAAGAATATTCACACAGACTAAGGTGGAAATGTCCAAAGATAATAATAACAGCAATAAATTGAATTGGTTCCATTAGTTTTGTACAGTCCGTAGAATATTTGATGAGATAGAATTCCAAGAAATGAATAAGCCAATAAAGTTCTGTTATTGGAACTACTGTAACAATTTACCACGGCAGGGACGTGCCTTGAAATTTTCCGCCAATGTCTTTCTACCTCGGGTGTCGAATGTGATTAATTTCAATAAAAAGATGTAGGAATGTTCTTGAAATTCTATCTTAACAAATGTCGCACAGACTGTAATACAGGGTCGGAAAATCCCCATGGTTCATCGGCCGTTACGTGAGAGCGATAAAGTAAATCATAGAAATCCATGCGATAGGGAAAGATGGCTATAATAAAGGCATCTAATAGTCACCACCCATTTCGCCCTTCCACAAGTAAGAAGTGGATCTTATTTGTGGAAGGGCCAAGTGGGCGGTGACTATTAGACGCCTTCATTATAGCCATCTTTCTGTCGCACGGATTTCTATTACTTTCTTTATCGCTCTCACGTAACGGCCGATGAACCATGGGGACTTTCTGATCCTATATATTTGGTATTATGCCGTGACTGGCGATAGTTTTTTTTTTTTTAATGAAAGAGATAAAACATATACTTCTGAGCGGTATAGAAACTTTTTATAACCATCAGCAGGTAAATATTTACCTTATAACTGTGCTAGTAATGGTGTCTACAGTAAATTTTTATTGAATTTCTAAAAATTGTATTGTACTTTACTCATTTTCAAACAAATTATATAAAAAAAAAATTAATGAACAAACTAAAATAAAAAATAAATAATAAACTAATATTAATAAACAATAATTGATATATTTTTTAATTACCTGGATTTCATATTGCAGTTCTTTTTCCAATAATGCCCTTTTCCTTAATATATCTTTCTTCAGTAGCTCCTTCTGTCTAAACAAACTAACCATTATTTTCGTTTTAATAGTAACTTTTCTTTCCGCTTCAGAAACTTCTTTTATTTTGATTCTAGCTCTAGGCGACACAATCTTTTCTTTAACTGGTTCTTGACTAAAAACGAAACGGATGTAGTCGTCCTAAGTGGAAATATCCATTTGTCGTACTGATACTTACTGTGATTCGGTTTCGATTTTTTTCCCGTCGGAGGATCTGTTGGGGCGGCTCCTTTTGGGGGTTTCCATCACCCAATCACTATCATCGTTCTTGGAAGCACTGGGCGGTCTTTTGCGGGTAGCAGTGGGGAACCGGGAATTAGGGACAACCGTCTGATTTACTTTTGGGACTGGCGTGGGCAATTCGGGCTCCTGTTTCATTTGTTTTTCTTGGTACCTCTGCAGCTGCAACAGTTTTTCCTCGATTTCGGGATTGAGGTTCTCTTGTTTTAAGGCGGATTTGATGGCTGCAGAGATATTAAAGAAAAATATACAAAGAGGGTGAAAATTATAGAAAAAATTAAAGCAAACGGTGAACAGTCCCAAAGCAAAACGACTAATAAAAAAATAAACGTGAAGAAGTGCAAGGGTTTTGTCACAAGAAAAGTCCATGAGATTTGTTTAACAGTTTTATTACACAATTTCGGATACAGTCCAGTTACATGTTACATTAGTTAATCTGTAACTAATTTTATTTATTTAAAGTAATACGGACAAAAGTTTCCAAACACAGGCCGTGAAAAAAGCAGAGAAAATCTCATGATTACGTGGTTATGTCGCAATGCTTTCCTCTGCTTCTTCTAGACCAGTGAGAGAATAAAAATTAAAATCACAGTAAAATACTTTTACACTTAATAGCGGAAAAAACATAAAAAAAAATAAAAAAATCAGTCTTCTTTTCGAAACAGAACTTTTCCAACAAAAAGAAAATATCACAGAAAGAAATACTTTTGCAAGTTTAGAAACTTTTGAATTTGTAGGAACCCTTGCTCTTCTAAATAACTGAAGCTTATCTATTTATAAAAACGTGTGGCGAGATCGTTTTGCAATGGGTACGCACAGTTAGGATTGTACACAATTACGGATGGCTGATAAATGAACATACTTTGCTGAATATAGTCGGGTGTGACGACAAACTGCTTGTTTGCCTCCCCAGTTGCGGTGGCGACCTGCGTCTGCGGCTGACCTTGGACGACAGACGTCGGCTGGCCGGCCTCCATGTTGGCCTTCATGGCTTGGAGGAGGGCGGAAGTCTGGGACTGCTGCCCGTTTACAAGAACCTGACGACCGCCGACCGTCGAGACGGTTTCTTTAGTCTGCAATTATTGGAACGTACACTTAGAAGCCATTAGAAAGCGTTCATTCTCAACACCCAAGCGCAGTTTAGTCCAAGCGAGGATTAAAGCAAAACAAATAGTCAAAAATAAGAAATTTATTACGTAAAGTGTGGGTACAAGGGAGGGTGTTTTAATTAAAATATAAGCGTTAGTCAAAACAAAATAAGGCAACACAGGTGCTGGTTATAAATACATAATTAAATACTCGGAAAATTTAAATATGTACAAAGTTAATTAGAAAACGGTACACATTAAATTAAAAATAGCTTTTAAAGATCCAAAAAGTTGGAAATATTTTAATCGAAACTTATGATTACAACTTGAAAAAAAATGTGATTTATAAACGAAAATCTTCATGATAATATGATTTATTAAATATAAATTTTCATGTGCTGAAAAACAATTTGACTATTGTTTTGTATATATTTTTTTATATAAAACAAAATAGACATGTATAAAAACCATTAAACAATACGAGTTTTCATCTGTAAAATGTGTATAGTTGTTACGATGTCGATTGGAACCTGTAAATTTTAAAGCACAGGACCGTATGCACTTCTCCTGAAATTATGCTTTGACCATGATGTGTTTCGTAATTTAAACTCGAATAGCAATTTGGCGAGTCCGGTATTGGTAAACTAGTCTACCTGATCAAAGCAAACCTGTACTGGTCCACTAGGTCGTAAATAATTTTACCTACGACCACTACTGTAAATACTTAAAAACACACCGTCTGCGATCAATGTAAGATTCCTATTACGTACGGTAAAAAAATCGCACAGTTTTCCTAGCAACGGTCAATACAATACTGTTTGTATTGACCGTTGTTAGGCGGTTGCTAGGAAAACTGTACGATTTTTTACAAAGCTGTGTGATTTTTTTACCGTACGTAAAATAGGAATCTTACATTGATCGCAGACGGTGTGTTTTTAAGCATTTACAGTAGTGGTCGTAGGTAAAGTATAGTACGTAATACGTGGTGTAATGCAATTACACACTCATGGAATTACGCACTCACCGCTACACGGCGTCCTGCGTAACTTTTCCATTCGAGCGTAAAATGCTTTTTACGACACTTATTACGTAATATACTATTTTTGTATGGTACACGGGTTCACTTAGCTTTGCCACTTTGCCAGTGCAGTGCCGAGCATTGCTTGGCGGGGTATGTTGGTATAATACGTATTATGATTTATTAGTTGATTATTTGTTCATATCATAACCAGTAAATGGTAATAATTATTAAAATAAATCTTATATGTAATTATCAAGTAATTTTGTGTGGCTCTCTCGAGACTCTTTGCAGTGGAGGAAAACGAAATAACTCGGGAAAATCCCCAAATAATGGAACCGGTTCTTGTCGAAAGTATCGAAACAAACTCAGAGTTTAAAAACAAAAATTTACACGTAAAAAGTCAACGTATTATATTAAATATATATGAATGTTTGAAAAGTGAAAATAGTGAACAATGTGATAAAAAAGTTAGGAAACAGATTAACGAATTAACTAAGATATCAAAAATGACAATGTATAATGTATCGCGTAATTAGGATTGATCATGGTACAAAGAGGAAACGGAAAAATATTGCTCGGAATATAGTATATCTAGACGAGACAGGGCTAAATTTTTCTGGACGTCTATGGATTCCGTAGAATTTATGAGTTAAATGTTTTTATGCGGTTCCAATTGAGATGGTAACAACTATAACACAAATTGGTAAAGCAGAAAAAATACTAAGAAAGTGTTTTAAATAACTAATAAACCATAAAATTGGGTTAGTTAAAAGTTAGTAAGTTAAAAAATTGCGGAAAAAAGTTCATACTGTATTTTTTTTATCTCGATTTTTGACCATTTTGCGATGTTTTAAATTTTATTGCCAGTCCTGTATAACTAAAAACATATTAGTAATAATAACGGGGCAGTGATAGACTCGATAGAAATATTTCCAATTCGAATTGGAAGGTAAACATTTATATTTTTAAAATTTTAAGTAATAAAACATAATTTTAATAATATAACCTTTCTACGTTTAGGAAAATTTTAGACAAAAACAGGCACATGTTTAAGTAATACTAATTAGACGTTTTAAATAACACTTCACACAGTTATCATTTTAAATATAAATACATCAAAGGACTAGATTAAAATAATATAAAAAAAAAACGATAATACTTAAAGTTACAAACAATTGCGGCACACTTTCATGTGCAGTGCTTAATCTTACACCTAAAATTCTCTCGTCAATATTACATTTGATCCTGATTCATCAATTAAAAACGAAGGAGATGTATTTTATGTCAACAGTCAAAATGATAAGAAAATCTTCCTCGGAACATCACGACAAACGTACGCCTGTTAAGCAGCCATGCGTTTTTAGTTAATAGAGAGCCTGATTGACGGGTTGCACTACAACTTTGGACTTTTGGGGCGATTTGCATACCTGTTGTACAACTGTTGGCTGTAGTTGCTTCACGGGGCTCTGCTTGATGTTCGCCACAGCGGCGACGTTCTGAGTCAAAGTGTTCTGGGGCTGTTGCACTGGCGTCAGAGGCGGAGGATTGCTAGACGTGGTTTCGTTTGACTGGTCCTGACTGCTGGGCTGCACAGCCAGGTATATTTTAGTGGGGCCAAGAACGCCCTGTTTTCCCGTTGAAGCTTGTGCTGGAATAAGAAAGAAAAACGTCAGCGGACTTTTATTAATAAAAACTAAACAAAACCTACCCTTAAGCAGCTGCTGCTTCACCTGCTGTTGTACAGCTGCCAGCTGCTGTGGTGTAAAATCTGCCCCTTGCAAGCCCTGCAGTACGATCCGCGGGCCTTGCTGCGTCTGGATAACCTGCGCGGTGACACACTTGATAACTGTACCAGGCGGCTGTCCAACTAGAAGCTGTTCCATCGTAGCAGGATCGATCTGATTATTATCCTGAACTGGTTTCGGAGAGGATTGCAGGGCCTGTTGAATACTCTGCGGTGTTTGCTGTTGAGCCACAGGTTGAGGCGTCTCGACTTGTTTTATGACTGGTTGCAGTTTCACCGGAGTGTTGGTAGTCAAGGTCGCTGTTGCGGGTGGCTGCGCCTGCTGTATCGTCTGCGTGATACTACCAGGGGTTAACTGGGCTACAACTTGGGCCTGATTATTGCCCGTGGGTCTGATTAGGACTTGTTGGCCGTTTATCGTGGCGACTTGCACTTTGCCCGTGGCAAGTTGTTGAGCCAGGTTTTGATTGTTGACCACTATTTGATTAGTTATGATCTGGAAATGTTGAGATAAACAAAATAGTCGGGTGTGTATATCAAAGTTTTCAATTTTCAGTACGTATGCTCTCATATGCTAAAAACTAACCTTACTTTTTTTATATAATTTTTGGAAGCCTGGATAGTGTGTAAAAAAATTGTCTAGTTTAACCCTTGAATTGGCTATTTTATTCCCATTATTTAGAGCATTCACTTCTCTCTGTTAACCGTCAGATTACCAATTTAAAATTCCTAAATTTTTTATATTTTTAACAAGCTTTTACAAAGTACTGTCAAGATTTCTGTATAGTATACAGGATGTAACGTCAAGTGGGGGTCAATTTTCCCCAAAATATTAATTTCAAATCAATTGTTTTGTATATCAAATCATTAGTTATAATTCGTTTTTAAACTACACTTAAACTCTTTTCTACGCATCAATTGGGCGCTACCTGTCATTTGTATGTGCGCACTTATCAGTGTTGCCTGTTGTAACGTTTTTAAACCAGAGAACAAAAATTGCAATGAAAAATAATTTCGTAAAAACCTGTTTTTGTATGACTATGTGGACGCCGATCAACAAATTTTCAAAAATAATAACCAGATTTATTAACTGATCCATCTGATGGGATATGACAACAAGGGCTCACGCTAGGCTCACTAATTAATTCATATTGTCAACTATAACTACTTTAGTGCGAGGAAGAGTAATATTCAAAATTTAAATAATCACTCTGTAACTATAATCAAAACTTTGAAGATAAATATGTATGGACATATAGCATTATTTTATTTGGACATATTTCTTTAGTAGATTTTTACAAAAATACTTTTGGTATAAATATTCATTTAACTCATTTTATAGAACAAAAGTTAAAATATAATTGCAATCAATTACATGTCATTATTACACAATAGATTTAAAGGCAACGAAAAGTGCCCAGTTGCAAATTGAATGCTTATTGAACTGACCCTTGCACTCTGTCCATCTCGCTCACTCTCTCTATAAACTGGTGCACTGATTCAATCAATTCCAATTCTTCTACCGGTTGTTTAATTCGAATGCACTCAGCATTTTGTAAAGAATATTTAAACCCCGGAAACTTGGTGAATCGGAGCCAGTCCGGGGCCACTTTACGAGCCAGTCGATGGCTAGGAGCCAGTTCACCATTTTGTCCTCCACATGAAAAGCCCCCTCAGAGGTGTAAGTATGTTTTGTGTAATAAAATGTAAAAATTAATTGATTTTTTTCTCTGGTTTTTACCCTCTTAGCAGCCAAGTGAGTAGCCCGAGAAAATAATATCTATTTTTGAATAGTTGTTTTGGTATTTTCAATACGAACTGATCCTTATTAAAAACAAAAAAAAAAAACAAAAATTAAAAAAAAAACAACAGAATTTGATAAAACAAATGATATTTGTTTCTAAAGCTCAAAGGTGGCCTCTGTATAAATATAACCTAAATTCAAAGTTACACCCTGTATATTTGACGATTAGTGTTTTTTTCCTACTCTATAGACAATGATTGTTTGTTAAAGTGGATTTCAATAATCTGCGATCGACTGAGAAATTGATGATGTTTACCCAAACATTGAAATTTTTTTCGGTTTTTTAAGTGGATTAAAATATAGTTTTGAAAATTACATACAGGGTGTGGCATTAGTGCGTCGAAGTACGATATCTCCTTTATTATAGAAGATATCAAAAAAAGTTATTTACAAAAATTATAGCCAACTCAAAACTGCAAATTTTATAATTATTTTCGTATATACAGGGTGTTATGTATTACCGGGGTGAACCAAACATACTATTTTTTAATGGGACACCCTGTATATTATTTCAAATTTAGATTAAGCTCATCTCTCCCATGCTTCCAATATAGGTTTTAATTATGTTATACAGGGTATTTCAAAAGTTATAGACAATTGTATACGAGAATAATTCCCATTTCAGCGTCCTGTATACCCTAAACAGAACAACTTAACAATAATTTTTTGTAGGCATAACTCTTTGATATTGGTAGTTTTACGAAAAAGTGCTATTTCTTTATTATTGCAACAGTTGAATATAGGGCGAACCAAAATTCGAGCACATAATTATCTCAATTTTTTTAAATGAATCACACTGTATTATATTTTTAAAACTGAAAATACACTTTATGTTCTTTCATTTTTATGAAGCATTCCCTATACCTAAAATCATTAATTTCTGAGATATTTACCATTTAATAACAAAAAGAGATTTATAAAAAATTCCTATTATAACAAGTTGGCCGTGGGCAAATGACTGTGACAAATTGTTATAAAACATTACAAAATATCCGTTGTTAAGACGTAATTCTTATAATATTAACTAACTTGTTATAATATGAATTTTTTAAAAACTCTAATTTTGTTACTAAATGGTAAATATCTCAGAAATTAATGATTTTAGCTATAGGGAATGCTTTATAAAAATGAAAGAACATAAAGTGTATTCAGTTTTTAAAATAAAATACAGGGTGATTCATTTAAAAAAATTTGAAAAAATTATGTGCTCGAGTTTTGGTTCGCCCCATACTCAACTGTTGCAATAATTAAAAAATGGCACTTTCTCGTAAAACTGTACCATTATCACAAAGCTATGTCTGCAAAAAATTATTGTTAAGTTGTTCTATTTAGGGTATACAGGACTCTGAAATGGGAATGATTCTTGTACACAATTGACCGTAACTTTTGAAATACCCTGTATAACATAATTGAACCCTATATTGGAAGCATGGGAGAGATGAGCTTAATCTAAATTTGAAATAATATATAGGGTGTCCTATTTAAAAAATAGTAGTTTGGTTCACCCTGGTAATACGTAACACTCTGTATATACGAAAATAATTTTAAAATGTGCAGTTTTAAGTTCGCTACAATTTTTGTAAATAACTTTTTTTGATATCTTCTATAATAACGGAGATATCGTACTTTGACGCACTAATGCCGCACCCCGTAGATATACACTTTGGATATTTTTTATTTAAATCAATATTCTCTATTTAGGCAGAAAAAAATGAATAAAGTCGAAATACGGAAACAAATTTAAATTTTTCAACGGAACTGATATAAAATCATGAGTTTCTACTAATTCATTTTTCTATATTTTGACATAATTATTCTTTCAGTATTTTATTGTACAAATCAATCTCATTTATAAACGTCAAACATTTTATATTGAAAATTAACAATTTTCAATATAAAATCTTTAATTTCAGTATTTCATTTTTAGACTACTGGAACATCCCCTTCATCATTGTAACTTACATTTCTTTTTTACCGGGTAAAGTCAGAAAATTTGTGCCACATGTGCCTTACCTGCTGCCCTCCTTGACTGGCGATGACTTGATTGCTACCGAGGACGACCTGCTGCTGTATGACTTGCCCGGCGGTGCCGACCACTACATTTCCTTGCGTGACCTTTTGCACGATGGGTTGCTGCTGCTTGACCACCACCTGCTGGGTCTTAATAGGGCTCTGCTGCACCTGAGGCTGCGCGACCACCGTCTTGAGCTGATTCGTCTGTACCAGAGCCTTACCTGCGGACGTATTTACGGCCTGTTTAATAATGGCTTTCGGGGTGGTGGCAGTGATGGGTGTTTTAGTCGTAGTAAGACCGGAGGACTGCAGTTGGGCAGTGGTGAGAACCTGAAGTTTTCCGTCAGGGTACTGGACTAATTGCTGGCCAGGCAGGAGACCCTTGACGGTAATGCGACCGTCGGGGGTGCGCATGATTTGGACGCGTTGTGGTGTGTCTTTGGTCGGTAGGTTGGTGGTTGGTGTGGATGTCGCTGGACAAAATATCTCATAAATACAGGCAAATGTAATATTGGAGAGTCAGATGTTGCTGCTTCAGGCACGCATAACCTCACAAAAATAATTTTTATCGTGACTGTAAAAATGTATCACGATTTATTATTGTCTATCTATAAATGCTCAAGAGTTGAATGACCTCTGAGAGTGATGAATACATCCTTAAACAGACATGTGCATGTTTCTTTTTTAAGTTTACAAATAATTACTATGTGAAGAGTATGCAGACTTTTGTTTTTTTAACATTCATAAATAACAATCAAACAAAAACTTATTTCATATAAACTAAAAAAAAAAACAAAACACTGAATTTCTGTCAACTAACATTAATGTAATCAAATAGTAAACATGGTTCACCGCAACAATTATGTAAGAATGTAGAAAATGATAATGAGCTTTGACGAGTGCACATCCAAATTTTATAAGTGCATTTTATTTTGTATTTGGAAAATGAGCTATTTCCAAATTATTTTTTTGAATCTAAAATAGCTTAAATACCACAAAGTGGAATAAATTGATAACTGTAAAACTGCTCATTTCAAAGTAAAAATATATAGATTTTTTACATTTAAAGTTGACAAAAACTATTAGTGTTGAATTTTTGTTCTGAAAAAAAATTAAGTTTCTATTGATTCCAGCGACCAAATAAAAAGTTCTGGTAATTCTTGTACAAAGACGCTCAAGAATTTACCACTTGTCCAAGGCGGATGGATGCGGTTGCTTCATCAAAACACGAGTCTTACTTAGGAACAAGTCCACAGTTTCATTAAAATCCATTGTAACATTCTCCAGATATTACAAAAAACATCATTTTTTTCAAGAACTTTGCTTTGACAATCAATATCAGAGGAGCCAGACATTTTTTCTTAATGGAAGTTAGGTCAGATCGTCTTCTTTTGAGCTAAAGAATGTCACAGTACCTTTTTGATCATGTGCTTATGGGACACCCTGTATATGTAAAACAAGGATAAAAAATGTTAAATAGCATTAGTCCAGTCATTAGACATAAAATATGGCGTTACTGTATAATTTTCCCAAACAGCACCAATTTGCATCAACATTTGGATTTAGGTTCTACTTACCCTCTACTTCAAAGTTGACCCTGTGCCGGGGGTTGCTTTTTATTTTTTAGGGGTTCACCCCTATTCGAAAATAATTATAGAATTGTAGATTTGATCGTGTAATAGGTTGAAATCATCTTTAAATAAGTAATTACCCCACCCCCTATGACAGTAATGATTAAAAAATAATTAAAAATATTATTCAGCAACTTGTAATAAATTAATCATTATAGTGATATAAATTAAGATTTCTTTACTGTTTTAATTTTTTATTATTTGTTTATAANTTACCACTTGTCCAAGGCGGATGGATGCGGTTGCTTCATCAAAACACGAGTCTTACTTAGGAACAAGTCCACAGTTTCATTAAAATCCATTGTAACATTCTCCAGATATTACAAAAAACATCATTTTTTTCAAGAACTTTGCTTTGACAATCAATATCAGAGGAGCCAGACATTTTTTCTTAATGGAAGTTAGGTCAGATCGTCTTCTTTTGAGCTAAAGAATGTCACAGTACCTTTTTGATCATGTGCTTATGGGACACCCTGTATATGTAAAACAAGGATAAAAAATGTTAAATAGCATTAGTCCAGTCATTAGACATAAAATATGGCGTTACTGTATAATTTTCCCAAACAGCACCAATTTGCATCAACATTTGGATTTAGGTTCTACTTACCCTCTACTTCAAAGTTGACCCTGTGCCGGGGGTTGCTTTTTATTTTTTAGGGGTTCACCCCTATTCGAAAATAATTATAGAATTGTAGATTTGATCGTGTAATAGGTTGAAATCATCTTTAAATAAGTAATTACCCCACCCCCTATGACAGTAATGATTAAAAAATAATTAAAAATATTATTCAGCAACTTGTAATAAATTAATCATTATAGTGATATAAATTAAGATTTCTTTACTGTTTTAATTTTTTATTATTTGTTTATAAGTTTCAACCCTTATAAAAACCACCCCTTGCAAAAAAAATCGAACAATTATAGTTACAAAAAATTTTTTAGTTTATTTTTGTAAGGGTTTCAGCTGAAAGGGCTTGAATAAGTTGCTATTTACGAACATAGGCAAACTTTAAACGGCCGTATCTTACTTAATTTTTATCCTACAGAAAAAAAACAAAATTTTCAAAAGAGCAAAACCTACAATATTGTACTCTACAAAATTTTGCGTATCATTAATAGTTTTTGAGTTATTTTGAAAAAAAAGACAATCTTTTCCAAAAATACAAAAATTCTCTTTTCAAAACTAAGCACTTTAAAGCACTCAAACTTCTAGAGCAGGGGTCGGCAAGTAATTTTAGGTGGGGTCCGGATACTTTTGAAATTTTTTAACGAGGTCCAGAAAAAAATTCATATTTTTTATTAATTTTTTATTTTCATTTACATTAAGAACTCAAATCAGTCACAATTGTAAAATACCAGAAAAAATGATAAGGGTGGCACTCAAACGTANCACTTAAACGTAAAAAACATTTTTTAAATAATTTATTTGAGTAATTTATACTTTCAAAAAATTTTTGGCGGTCCAGTATTCTACCTTCCGCGGTCCGGACCTGGACTGTGGTCCGCCAGTTGCCGACCCTTGTTCTAGAGCATATTACAAGAACATAAATAAAGTAAATCGTAATGTGGTAACGATTATTTTCAATTGGGGTGGTAATCAGGGGGTGATTTACATGTTTTTTGTCGCCGAAAAAAATACGGACCAACTTTATTTTCGTCATAACTCGCTTAGGTTTGATACTAGGGACCTTTATAAAAAGTAAAATAAAGGTTTTTTTCAAGAACTTTAAAAAAGGTTCTACGAGTATTCCCTGAAAAATGCATTGGTTTTTGGTTATTTTATGTTCAAACTTTCAATTTTGGTGTTTGACGAATAAGAACCAACCTTCAACAAGCTATTATATCGCTTGTATTGGGTCTACAGACACCATAAACACACCATTTCTTTTGTTTTTTTATAAGCTACATTTTTTATAAGAATGATTTTTTTGATAAATACTTACTTTTTGAGTTATTCGCGGAAAACCGGCTGAAAAAGTGGTTTTATTGCTTAAAAAATTTACAGTTTCATCGTAAATAAGTGGAAAAGTATCGACTTTCAGAAAATACTTTATAGGACAAAAGTTGCTTAGAATTAGTCAATATATCCATTCCCGGAGTTATTTTCAATGAAATATTTTTCACCCCCGAGAAGGGGTGGCATCTACCCCCAGGGTAAAAGCAACCCCCGGTACAAGGTCAACTTTGAAGTAGAAGGTAAGTAGAACCTAAATCCAATTTTTTTTTGAAAATCGGTGCTGTTTGACAAAATTACACGGGAAAATGGTCATTGACTGGACCACATCACCTGTTCAGAAATTTCTTTCAAGCGGAAAAATGCATTGTTTTATTGTAACAAAATAAAGAGCACACTAAAGATCAAACTTTCTATTTTATAAAAATCAGTTAATAGTATTTCATACTTTAAATAGTAAATAAACGTCAAAACTGTTACACTTTATAACCAAATGATAAATTTTGGAAATGGAGAATAACATCTTGCGTTTTATTAGGCCTTATATATAACATTTAACTCTTTAAGAATTTTTACACAGACTTCAATTAAGGTTATGTGTGTTACTGATGCCGTTAATCCATCTCTAAATAGACAAAAATTGCACCTACTTGCTTGTTGCACCTGTACGGGCTGAACCTGTTGTTGGCTCGTCGTTTGGGCTTTAATCAAGCTCTGTTGAGTGGTCTGTAGATTTTTGGGTAAGATATTGGCGGTACCAGTAATTACCCTGGTAGTGCCGTCCGGGCCTTTGGTCATTAATATCCTCCGACCCGCTAATTTATTGCTGTTGGTTAGTAGTGATGTTAAAGTGTTTTTACCGCTGATGACCGACTGGTTAGGTACGACAACGTTCTTGACGATTTTCATTTGGCCGTCGGCTGTTGTCACTGAATCGCAAACACATCAGTAATTAGAGGCGGGAACTTTGAAAACTAAACAACGACAATAACAAGATTCTAAAAAGAGTGTTTCTTGAGATATTTAAATGTTGAGATTAATTTGTTGATATTCATGAAATAAAACTGCGAAAGTATAGTGTAATAAAAATTAATAAAAATCTTTTTAGAATCTTAGACGACACAAAAAAAAAGGAAATTTGTGAAACAATTTGTAAAAAATTACATTGTGATATAATCAAATCATGACGTCATAGAAAAATTGTCCAACTTTATAAAACACCGCAAACTGTTTGAAACTTTATTCCTCCTTTTAACGAAAAAGTTCGGTTTTGCACCAATACCCAATTATTCTGATCTCACCCAATATTTCCATGACATCTTTCGATAAAACAAAGTAAGAATAACAAATAAATGAAATATTAAAATTTTGCCCATGCAAAGACTCGTTTTCACTGATAAAAAAAAGCATACAACATCCATTACATTCTCAGCCTACCTTTCGGTTGTATGGGTTGTAATTGCGGATTAGTTGTGGTCGGTTTTGTGGAGGAAGCAGTTGTAGCTTTTAAATAAAATAAATTACATTATACAGGGTATCCGAAAGCGAACAGGGCATACATCTAGAGCAGCTTTCTTGGATGAAATTATATTGATTTAAACCAAGTTACCTTATATAATTATTATATAAAGGCTGTCTTATAAAAAATGCCCCAAGCTGTAACTCTGTTAATAATTGTTCTATTTAAAAAACAAAAGACTGTTGTTAATGGCTTGACAAATACTATAATCGAGCACTGATTTAAATTTTTTTTGCCATCATCAGAACGTTAGGCGATTTGCAATTGATTATTCTTAAGTCATGTTATTATTTTTTTTGGCCTGTTCGATAAAGTATTTTTTTCTGCAGTCAACAATATATTACAACTTGATATTTGCTAAATATTTTATGGAAAAAATATTTTTTTACAAAATTTATTAGAGAAACGGTATGTCTAAAGTAACAACAACAAAGCAAAACAACAACAAAACAAAAATGTAACAATAAAAAATCTTACAAAAATTGTTCGAACTGTCTTCCATCTTGTTGAATACATAATTGACATCTTCTGGCTACCTCATACGTAGCATTTGATATTAAGTTTGGAGGTATTTCACGGCAAACGTTTACAATCCTCTTTCTTAAAATATCTACATTTTCCGGATGTGTCAAAAATACTTGATCTTTAAGATATCCCCAAAACAAAAAATCTGCGGGGGTGAGGTCAGGAGAATGGGCGGGCCATCGAACAGGACCAGTCATGCCGATCCACCTTACATCAAAATTAGCTTTTAACCAATTAGTGTTTCTTCTACCATTATGCGGGGGAGTATCATCTTGTTGAAAATAAATCCTATACACTTCTGCAAGCGGTAAGGTATCCAAAAAGTTTGCAAGATTTTCTGACAATAGTCTATGATATTTGTCTTGAGTTAGACTTCCATCGATGAAAAATGGTCCAATTAATCGATTACCTAGAATACCGTACCAAACACTGACACTGAATCTCCGTCGGTAATTGGTTTCAACAGTTATTCTGGGATTTTCTTTACTCCAATATCGATGGATATTTCGGTTAAAAATTATTACTAAAGGTACACCATCTGACCATACAATTTTTCTCCAAAATCCTGCGCCTTGTATCATATTTAAAAAAAATGGCAAAATTGCTCCCTTCGGACATGATCCTTATCTTCTAACACTTGCACTTTCTGTGGTATGTATGATTTAAATTTGTGTTTTTTTAAGATTTTGTGTACTGTGTCTTTTGAAGAATTAATATTACTTGCAATTTCTCCAGTAGAAGCTTGTGGATTTTCCTCAATACTAAGCAAAACGTCTAATTCTACAAGACCGTTAAATATGCGTTGCGAATTTTTAGGCTTTTTAAAAGCACCATACATTCTGAGATTGCCTTCAATACTTCTAAATTTAATCGTTTTTATGGCAAATTTGACATTTTTATCAGAAGTTGCCATGAATTAGACATTTCTCTAATAAATTTTGTAAAAAAATATTTTTTCCATAAAATATTTAACAAATATCAAGTTGTAATACATCGTTGACTGCAGAAAAAAATAATCTATCGAACCGGTCAAAAAAATAATAACTTGATATTTAAGAAAAAAACAATTGAATATCGTCACTATTTTCGTTATTTTTGAGATAGTTGAGGATAAACACAGATTTACCAGTTTATCGGTCTACGAAAAGGAGTTTGTGATATCGTAGATAATTTATATAAATTATACCCTATATAAATTTACATTGCATAAATTATCTGAGCTTTTCAAAAAAGAAAATACAAAAGATTGATTCAGATTAGAGACTTTATATGTTTTAGGTAACAAATAACCTTATATTCATTTTCGGTTACCTTAGGTAACTCGATTTAAATTGGATTACTTTCATCCAAGGAAGCTACCATTGAAGCATGGCCGATTCGCTTCCGAATACCTGCATACTATAACAAATTAGAAATATCTTTGTAGGCAACGATAACGTATAACCTCATAAAGCGCAGTAATTTTAAGAAAATGTAAAAATTTTCTATCAACACTGGACAAATTGTTCTGATGCGACATTATTCACCTGACAAAAATATTTCTTTAGAGGGAGGTGAAAAATACTGATAAAAAATATATGAAACTAAGTAATACGTTTCACCCTTTGCTACATTATAAAAAGTTAATGATTTCAAAAGATTCATTTACGGGCCAAATTTTTTTCTTCAGGACATATTAAATTATTCCCCAAAGTCAATGTCAAACACACAAAATTTTAATATTACCTTGCGCGGTGCTGCCCACCATCTCCAATAGCTGTGCCGGTTTAACGTTCTTGATCTCCAGTGCCCTCTTCTGCTGGTGTGCGGCACGTTGCAGTCTCAACTGCTGCTCCATCTTCTCCTTGATTTCCTCGGCCGTTGCCTTACCCGTTATGGTGGGCTTGACTTCGGGGGCCTCCCCGATAGGTTTAACGGGTGGCAGATTGCCGGTCCGGCTCCTAGTTATAACTTGCTGATTAGCCTTTTCCACCCTGCGATAAAACACACACAAGGCAAGCTGTTAGTGGAGAGACATGCAACTGGCTAGGGTCTTTGGACTTGTTATTACAATCCCCAGGTGCAAAAGATTCATTCAAAGTCAGAGGCCTGACATTAAATGGAGTATAAGTTTTTTGCCATTTGTATTTTTTTTTGTCGTGTTATTTGAATTTCTTATTTAGTATTTATATTGACATCACTTTTTTCTTTATGAAGTCAGTTATTTTATTAAAAAAAGTTAGAATATTGAAAAGCATTTTGCCAATTTGCAATAAGGGAAATAATTTTTAATATTGAGAAAAAACAGCAAGAATATACACCAACTACATTGGGATAGAAAAACTGCTGTCAATAGCAAATTTTTACACTACAGTCTAGTGGTGGATTTTAAAAAATATATACAGGGTGATTCACAACTTATCCAAAGAAATTTGGGAATAGATGCGGCATGAGAAATGGAGTCAATATAGTAAAAAAAATTTTTGTAAAATCCGTATAGTTTCCGAGAAAAAAATTATTAAAGTTGTAGTGCTTTCAACCATTACATAGCTGGACAACTGTACTCTCTAGCGTCATTCGTAATACGCATGGAGAGCCACGTGGCCTCAGCGACTCAGAATGCTGAAATCCGATGTTTATAATAGTTTTTTAGTAGTTAGTGTCAAAAATGGCTTGCGTGTATAACAACTTGGAGTTGATGGATATTGTTTTAGTTTATGGTGAAGCAAGAAAACATTTTTATTATTGTGAAGCATTTGTGTTATGGTGAAACAAGACAGCATTTGTGTTACTTCATAGAAACTGAGTAAGACGGACCCAAATGTGTTTACACGTCGGTGGACAAAATTTTGAACAGTTGTTGTAACATCAGGTATGTCAAATTATTTTATTATTTAAAACCACAAAAGAATTTGAACAAAATCAGTTGAGTTTGCTGATATAAAATAGGTGCTATAAAATTCCATTCATTCCTTTCCTTGCGAAATTCTTTCAAGTTTTTGCCCGTTTTTATCATTGTTGCCGTGACGGTCGTATTGCGCCAGGTCAGGTTTTACAGTGGACCAGTTTCCAGTGCCGTGCAGAAGTGTATTTTTAAATAATTTTCGAACTGCTCTTTTTGATTTTTTCTTTACACAATTGTATTTGTAAGAGTCCCCTGTACATCCAGATTTTTTTTTTTTGGATAAGTTCTGAATCACGCTGTATAATCTACACAGATATAGGTTTAAGTATAATACTTTTTACAAAATGCAATTAAGTAAAGCGTAACAAGGAAAAAGCGGAAGCTATTGAACAATAAAGTGACATTAAAAAAAACTGATTAGCCAAATAAAAATTTAAGTTTTAGAAAGTACCAATTTATATACCTAGGGTATTTTTAAATAAATGAAGTAGCAAAAATTATATTAATGCATTTAACTAAACTTATATCTTACATACACTACAACAGTTGTGTCTTTTCCATTGCGTCACAAGCAACATTCATATGAACTAAGATGAAAAATTCTAATTAAATTAGTCAGTTTTCATATAATTGAAATATTGTCTTGACAATTCCCAAATTTGGATATGTCCCAAATTTTAAAACTGGTATTACTGGATACGAAAATATGCCAAAAAATCGATATTTCAAAGCTCAGAAATATATACAACAGTTAGTACAGAGACGCGATCAAAACAACTGACAAATTTTTAATCTGAGTGTCAGCTCTGTTTTGTTTTAACTGCGGTAGTCAAACTACAGTCTAAAACTAATACCCAACAAACGTCTCCTATTTTCTTTCACTCTAATACACACAGAATATTGGAACTATTGTCTGTGATAGATTGTGACTAAGAAGACATTTATACGATCATTGTATCTCTTTTTGGTGCATTTAACAAATAATGATTGATATTACATGGTTCATAGTTCAAAATTAATATAGAATTCCCTGACTTTTCCCTTACTTATAAAAGAAAATTCAGGTCACTTGCAGGTCATTTTTACATACTAATTGGCGTTTATGCTTTACACTTTTTCTACACTGGACTCCATAATCTTAGAACTCCCAAATCAAAGAACCTCTTATAAGTTTCAAAATCACAAATAGTTTTCTTTTTCAAGAACCTAGAGCCAGTTTTCACAAAACTTCCAGTTGCAAACATCAAATTCTCCGACTTTTGTGAATACTTTTAAAATTCCCTTATGAAAAATAATGAATTGCCTGACTTTTCCAGGTATTTCCGATTTTTCAGGTCACTACGAACCCTGTGTTAGGACACACGCGTGATGTAATGGCAATTTTAAAAGGGTTCTAGTGTATTTGTATATAATAATAATAATAATAATAATAATAATAATAATAATAATAATAATAATCTTTAATTCGTAAAAACATTAACATTTACAATGACAATGTAAGAGCGAAATGGTGTCACAACAGTTTCCCTAAGTTAGTTTAAACAGTGTTCCAAATATTCAGTTACATTGTAGGGCTCAATATTTAACAAAAATTGTTTAATATGTTTTTTGAATAAATTTACACTCTGTATCTGTTTAAGTGACGCTGGTAAACAATTGAATAATTTAATACACATGTAATGTGCATTCTTTTCTGTTAGAGTTAGTCTGTGATATGGGTACATTAGATTTAAATTTCTTGTATTATACTGAGATGAGTCTGTCATAAAATTATTCCAGTTTTTCCTTACATACATTAAGCACTCAAAAATATACAGAGCCGATATAGTCATTATTTTGCTATTCCTAAATACCGATCTACAAGATTGGATGTAAGACATATTATTAATAATTCTTATAATTCTTTTTTGAATGACAAAAATTTTCTGTATGTCAGTGCTATTACCCCAAAACATAATTCCATATTTACAAATAGATTCGAAACTACCAAAGTAAATGATTTTTGTAGATGTACTATTTACATATTTACTAATTACCCTGATTCCATATATTACTTTACTTAATTTAGCAGCAAGTTCATCTATATGTTTTTTCCAAATGTCACTTTTTGACGTGTAACTGAAATAATTGTATTTACAGATATGAGACAATTACACCGCCCCCCTCCCCCCCTATTTTTTGCACATGCCTATACGATTTTGGTTCTTATTTTATCATGAAGATAATAGTTGTTTTCAAGATTTTGTTCTTTCTGGTAAAATCATTAGTTTTATCTCTATTTCGTTTTTACTTAATCTTAAGATAAAAGATAAGAAATGATATTTTGAATGATGTTTGCAAGAATGTTTCATGAACTGTAATATTTAGTTTAGGTCATTCATTCACAAGTTTCTTATTATACCATCTGATGTATCTATGTTTCTCTTTCGAAATGGTGACAAAACGTTCCTAATTAAACCGAATTTGTTGGTGAGGTATCAGTATCAGTGAGGTATCAATTTAACATTATAAGTTAACATACAAGAAATTTTAAAACAGTCAGGATTTCTGCATTCTCTAAATTGTGACTATCAAATTTTAATATGCGATTATTCTTATTTGAGGAGCATTAAATTAGATGAATTTGATCAGAGACTTCCGTTCATAATTTGCAGGATTGACTTAATGATGTATTACTGAAAATGGTGATCATTTTCAATAATTTTCATGAAAAATATTGGATTATAAAATGAAGTCCAAAAAGTATTATTTAATTTTTATAGTATATTTAAGTATAAAATAATTAATTACCCAAAAACGGGAATATGGTAATTTGAAAAAAGTCTATACTGCAAAATAAGAATTGAAGCTCTAAGATCATTTGCAAAAAAAATATGTGCATTATTGTGGTCCAAAAAAAACGAATATTTTTTTTCGTTTCTCTTGTGAAAATATGTTAGTTCATAATGTTTTAAAAGCAACCTTAAAAAACGGCTCAAAAAAATTTTTTTAGAGGTCGCTCACGATTTTAAAAAATTTCCAAGATCCTCAAAAACTTATTTTTTTTCTAGTTATTTTATCATTTTCTAGGTTGAAAAAAATCTCGATTCTGAAAATTTGAAATCGATATTTTAATTTCTAAAGGTTACTCATAATTATTTTAACTTTCCAAGTAGTGTACCCATGTTTTCGAGTGACTTCTAAAAATAAATATCAACGAACTAATAATTTTTTTTTTATTGAATTTGATAAACAAAAGAATAGAAATAAATCACGACACTTAAATTTTAAAAAATTAAAAAATTATGAATATTTGATACTCACAATGCGGTAGTAAATTTTGCCTCGAGAAATTTTGTAAGTGTCTAGTGATTTATTTCTATTCTTTTGTTCATCAAATTCAATAAGAAAAATTATTAGTTCGTTGATATTTATTTTTAGAGGTTGCTCGAAAACATTTTAGGTACACTACTTTTAAAGTTAAAATAATTATGAGTGACTTTCAGAAATTAAAATATCGATTTGAAATTTTCAGAATCGAGATATTTTTCAACCTAGAAAATGATGAAATAAAGAGAAAAAAATATTTAATTTTTGACGATTTTGGAAATTTTTAAAAATCTTGAGCGACTTCTAAAAATTTTTTTTTGAGCTGATTTTTTGAGGGGGCTCTTAAAACATGATAAACTAACATATTTTTACAAGAGACATGAAAAAAAAATATATTTTTTTTGGCCGCCCTAATGAGCATATTTGCTTGGAGTGGGAATGAGTTCTGTAAATCCATTACTTTGGTCTCAAAAGTACTAGCATACAAAATTTCATTTAAATCAGGTAAATCATTTAAAAAATTACCAAACAAAACAACATTGAATGGAGGAGGTCATTTTTAACTTTAGATCAAATTTTGCCAATTCATTTAAAAATACCCTGTATATTACGATATTTTCAAAAATGTTTTTTAATATTTTTTGTTTTAATAATTGCTTTTAATGCACTTAAATTTAATGTTCAAGGATGTATCGTCATTGCACCTTCAAATGCGACGTGAAATTTTATCAAATTGTTCAGTGAAGTGAAAAACTGTTTCTTGCCTTTTTAATTTAAGAATTACAATTATTTCTAATTTTATCGGAGAGCCACATTTCTGTAAAAAATAAGATGACTGTTTTTAACCAGATTACCTAGTTTTGAAGGTACAGCGACCATATATAAATGAAATAATAACTTGAGGATGTATCGGAGAAGCTCCAAACAGAACAAGCACAGCGGATATAAAAAGATCACTTACTTTTCTCCATACTGCTTAATTTCCCACAGCTCGAGTTTTTCTTCGTCTACCCATTCCTCCGAAACTTGGGGGTCCATGCTTTGCGGAGATTCTGGTCTCTTCCTTTTCCTTAGACCGCTACGAATCGATGTTACTTCTGTAGAAAAAAATCCAGTCATACACATTGCACGTACAAACGCCACTTACAACATACCTCTAACTGTCTTTGGCAATTCCAAGGGTATAACCACTTTCCTTCTCAGATACTGCGTCTTCTCCATAAACTGGCCAATGTGTTTATGTTTCAACAGTTCCAAAGACAAAATCTCTGTCTCAGTGGTGATTTGGTGCTTTCCGTCGGTGTTTGGCGGTTTCGTTTGCATGTCGTCCCATCTCAGGCATGCCCATAAAATTTTCAACTGAAGAGCCGCACATGCTAGGGACTTCAAATTGACGGTTCTGTATATCCAACAAGTCTTAAAGAGAGGTCTGGCACAGGGATAAGGCCAAATGCTGTTATTCGCCTTGGCCAAAGTGTGGAAACCTGGGATTTGAATTCTGCCGGCGTTCCTCGCCAGCTTTCTAGTATCATGTTGTGGTAGAACTAGAAGAGATGTACGTCCTTTTCTTGTGAGGAATGTCGAACAAGCAGGGTATTTAACGATTTGCCTCTTTTTACGCCTAAGGTCGACAGTATTAGGAATTTTCTTCAAAGTAAGTTTTCCTTCCGTGGATAGCGTGGAATAGATTCTTTGTGTTCCATCTTCGGCATGTTCCATCTTAACAGTCCTTTCTTCACGTTTCACTCCTATTTTATAAGCACAGAATCTTCTGTTTTGCTGTGCACTGTAGACTGCTGATTTTGAATTTAACATCTGTATTGTATGACCGGAACCGTTTGCGTTAGATGTAACAGTGACAGTATCCGTGGTGTTCTCACTCGCAGATACACATTTGACTATTCCATCTACCATTGTTTGAGTCGTTGTAATGGTAGTTGTAGTCGTAACGGTGCTAGTTACAGTTACTTCGTTCTTTTCTGGTTTGCCACCTAATATCATCTCTTTGATGGCATCTGGGGACATGTCCTTCATGTCAATATCTTCCTCAGGCTCCTCCTTCTTCAATTTTTTCTTAGGAGGGGATTCCAAGGCCTCGTCTGTGTCTTGTTTAGGAACGACATCTTTAGCATCGATTTCCTCTTTGATTTCATTTTTAATCACGGGCTCTTTTAAAGGTACATAAACATCTTTCATGTCTCCTTCCATCTTTGGAGCCGTCAGCACTGCGTTGATCAGGTCCTTGCAGATGCTTTCTCTTGTCGGTGGCGGGACAATTTCCTTTTCCTTCACGGGCGTCAATTGAGGAGCTTTCAGCGTTTGTTCCAATATAGAAGTTTTCTTGGCAGGGGTGCTTGCTTGGGAAAGCGCAGGCAATTTAAACGGGGTGTTGGTAGCTACATTTGCTTTGCGCAGCAAACCAAGAAGGTCCTTTCTGACCTTCACTCTCTGCATGCACAGGGGAGAATAACAGGTGTTTTCCACGCTATTTCCAGCACTGGAATTGCATCCCTTTACGTAACACTGGAAGTCTTTTGCTAGTTTCGCTATGGAAGTGTACTGAGTACGAAGGGCGTTAATTCTTTTCGCTATGGAATTCAATATTTCTCTATTTGCCACAGTTTGAGTGTTATTAGGAAGGGCAACTTTGCCAGACATCATGTTATTCAGTTGTTTTTCTAGACCTTCATTCGTTTCATCCTCGGCATCCACATCTATTATATCCTCCTCTTTCGGATGGTCTTCGGTTTTGCTTTGAGCGATCTTGGTCTCTTCAAGCACCTTCAGCTGCACCCGTCTAGATAGTAACGTATCAAGCTTAGATTTTTTAGCAACTTTAGGAAAGAGCATGCGACCAGGTGTCAGGAGAGCCTTGGTAACATCTATTTCTTCGAATTCTGTTAAGGGTGGTATAATTTCAAGTTTCTTTAACACTTCAGGGATCTCGTCGTTTTTTTCTGTAGATTCTACGTCAGCGCTTTGGGAATTTTTCACTTTTGTCGTCAAAAACCTATACAAATTAGAGTCCAGTGCGACGACTTTGTTCCCATTAGGATCTTTTATCTGCACCATAATCTTCTGAGGGCCTGCTGCCAATCCTAACTCTCTTGAATCTACATGCTGGAAGTTCCTAGGAGTACGGATCCAAAGCCAACCCCACCTTCCATGGATTCTATACTCCTCCCCTTTTTGCTTCCACAACTGGTGTTTGAAGCTCATGGTGTACTTAACATAACCAGTAATTATCATCCTGTTTCTTTCCTCCTCTTCCTCACGCTCCTTCTTTTCTCTTTTTTCTATTTTCTTTCGCTCTTCCCTTTCTGCTGCCGTTATCCTCACCAGTTTTATGTGACCCAGTTGCTCGTGCCACACATTGGCGAAAACCACTGGTTTAATACAAGCTTGTAAAACAACTAGAACTCTGGCAAAGTCTTTAGGCTGTTGACAACCTCCGACGATGGTCAACCAATGTTTCCTTAATAGATGCCAATTAGGATGCATAAAAGGTGAAGGGACTTGCTGTTCCAGTTGCAAAATAGTGTGCCGCAGAGTGTTCATCAGTAAAGATCGGCCCCCACTCAGAGCCCCAACCCATTTGAACTCTGAAGCAGGCGTCAGTGAGAATTTGTGGGACAGATGTCGTTTCTTGTCCCTTTCTTCGTTCCTCTGGGGTTTATTAAGTGCAATTATGTTAGTGGTGAATTGGTTTACATATAATTTAAATGTGTTTTCCATTCCCAACTTGAAGAGGTATGTCCCACTGGCGATTTGGCTTGATTTCAGTCTCGTCATTCGAGATTCGTCCTTTTCATTTTCATCACGGTTCAGAATGTTTTTCCTTCTCAAATCGTCTACCGTGAAAGATTTAGAGATTATGGAACCGGATTTAGACCTGGTTAATACCTCTTTGCTTTTCTCGTCCTCATCATCCGCCTGCAAGTCCTTTTCTAAGGATTTCGTTGTTACAGTGGTGGAAGTTGTAACAGTTTCCGTATTTTCAGTCGTTGCACTTTCAATGGTAGAAGTTGTGGTTACCGTCTCGGTATTTTCCACTACCATCGGTACATCCGTCACGATATCCGAACATTCCTCGTGCATTTTTGCTACCATGTCCTCGGCATTTTGACGTTCCCTTTCCTTCCTCTCCTCCTCAAGTTTCTCTTTTAGTTCCTTGTTAGTTTTGATTATCAAAGCATTTTCCGCATCTATATACGTTTTCTTATTGCCTTTATACTGATTGGTGAGTTTTTCAGTCAGATCCATTTGCCTACTGATTTCATCCTTGTATTCCTGAAGTTCTCTGTTTAAAGTTGCTTCCATATCTTTACAATCAAACACTTTTAATAACTCTTCAAATTGAGTTGTGGTGGAATAATAACTGATTTCACCATTTTGATCCTCGCTAGATAATGTAAAAAAATTAAAAAACAATATTTAAAAAATCTAGATAAAGTTCTGAAATTAATATGTGTTTATGGCAGACATTTTTGTTTGTTTTGATCGACCAATGAAATTTTATTTTATATTTTCCTACTCACACAAATATCCTTCTGCAAAGGAAATAATATTTCCTGCCATGTCGGTCATAGCCTAAAGGTTCTTGTCTAGAAAGTTGGCCCTGTTTCTCCAAATCCAGCACGCAGTCTACCACTCCAGATACTTTGTGTGACCTGCAGATGCCGCACTGCCAATCCTCTTCGGGTACATTGACTAAGGGGGGATCCACGCATTCCAAGTGGTAAACAGCGGGGCAAGTTTCACAGCATAGCAGATCACCAAGTTTGTGGCACACTCGACAGTGGTCATCATAGTGCATAGGCACTGGAAACATTTACGTTGTTTATGTGAAAAATTTAATATTTTTGCAGATTTTTATCAATACTTTTGAAAATCATTATAATGTACATACTTATTACAAAATAAATAATAAAATATACGTTACTGATAACGAAATAAAAAACACATTTTGAAACACCTTTTAATTAAATTTAAATGTATAATTTTTTCCTGTAATGATTTATCAGTTAAGAGGTTGTGTTACATTTCATTTGCATAGCACATAAGGATGAAGTGATAAAAATAACTATTTTTAAAAAAGATAACTTAATGCTTATCAATAAACATACAATATAAAACTGATTAATGCATTTTATTAAATCAATGAACATAGGGAGTAATAATACACTCCTTAAAAACTTAATTAAATATATATTCTTATTCCAATTGACATACAACAAAAACAAGTAAAATATTTTAAATAACTTATCAATTCCTGAACTGGTACAAGTTGTGCAATAATTAAATTTCAGAAAAGATTTTATTAGTTTATTACTGTAAAACATATATTTTATTTTTATGTCTACTAATAAAAACCAAAGCTGTGTAGATATGATAAATTTTTGTAGTTACCTTCACTTAATAGATCTTCTCTCACTGGGTTTGTTGTTAAAAACTGATCTGTTAAAAACTGAAGCACTTTAATTCTATCCTCAAGTGTAGAGAAAGGGTAATCTGTGTTGGCTAGGACTTCCAAAACCTTTTGGTCAAAATTTTTGTCACTCTCTACATATGCCTTTAGAACTTCAGGATATGTAATGTAGTCTATTAAATATAAAGAAATATTAACACTATCCTTTTGATCTAGAGGCCCAAAATGGGTCTGCTGTGAATCTTCTTCTCTTAATAAAGCTTTAAGAAGCATTATATGTACCTCGGCGAGTAAACTACTTTGATCTTCGCACATTATAGCAGCACAGAAATCTTCTAATCTAAAGGGAGATAATCTTACCAAATTTCTAAAATGTCTTAATACTTCATATATACTGACAACTTCCATAACATGTTCCTTAGGCACCAGTAAATCGTCTGACGATTTCGGTAGCACTAATTTTGGAATTTCTCGGTTCTGCAACCACAATGGAGGTTCCGGAGTAGGTGCCCTATTTACATTGAACGTTTTACGTGGTGTTCCACTCATAGTACTATAACTGCTTAATGAAAAGTCACTGTCACTAGTTGGGTCACCTACTGAACCCTCAGATTCACTTTCGCTTACCCCTAACTCATCCTCTATGTCACTTTTATTGTCACTTGAATCATCACCAAAGTCAGACCCGTAATGATATTCTGAATCATGATAATCAACCTGTGAGGTATTGTATCCTCTTCGTTGGTAAGCCGAGCCAACATATCCAGCTCTTCGACTTGTTCGATGTCCATCTTTACCTCTTATTCGATTACTACTCCTTCTGCTTGTGTCACTCTCTTGTGGGGAAGAGGCTCTAGAAGCTGTAGGAGTGCTCGACTGGGAATCTGACCCCTTATAATTCAACAAGTATTTTGGTTTTTTAAGCAGATGATACTGAAATTTTTTGGTTCTTTCTGCAACCTGGACTTTAGGGGGACGCCCCCTCTTTTTCATACCTCTTGTTGACATCCTGCTTGTTAACTGTCAATCACTAGTTAATGTGCACGTGGTAGATTATGAAAACAAACTTGTATACAAATGCGAATGTCAAAATTTTACTTAAAACGACTCATGGTCGTTGTCCGAGCTTTTCGCCATACTAATCGGGTAGGTCACGTGACAAACAACAGAGACACATTTTACGCGCTTGTTCTTTTATTAATGGACTTAAGTTTATTATTCACTAAAGCATGCCGATCACCTTTTACTAATCGCTATGTACAAATTTTGCATTTCACCGGGGACACACAAAATAGTTGAATGACGCGTATCCCAAAGCGAAAAAGAACACCTAACAACCGATGCATCGAGCGTTTCTATTGGTCGATGATGCAGCCGCCATGACAACTTGCAACTATATTTTTTTGCATTATCTATTTTGACGCACTATTTGAAACAACTATTGTATTTTACACTAGGAAAACCAGTGATCACAGTACTAATGTCCATTAGAAACACTTTTATTATTGTGGAAAATTGATTTTCTCCGGCTGCTCCCGTACCCAATCCAAGCTTTTCCACAAATAACTCCTAACATGAATAGAAGATGTCGTTACCGTAGCATATCTTATAAAAATATTTTAAATAAAACACTTCCAAGTTTAGTACATTCCCTGATGTTATAAAATATTTCAGAAAATTTGAAATATTTTACAGCAAAATTCATGCATCTAGTGTTTAGCTTTTGAAAAATTAACATGAACTTCCGCTAGATACCGGAAAGAGAGATAGAACATACATGCAACGAAAGCACAAAATGGCTACCACTTAATAGCTTTCCATTGATAGCTCGTCGGGAGGGTAAATTACAAAAAAAAAATATATTTGATTACAAAAGCTCCTAAGGGAGTTAAACGAATGAAGAGTATAATATTCAGTGTTGGTTAATACAAAATATTTAGACACAATAGCTGCGAAAATACTGAAAATCAATATTATACTAGCGTTGAGTACCGTTACGTAACCTTAAAGACGAACGTCTATGTTTTGACACCTTCAGGTTGGTCGACACAAAAAAACGATAAAATATTGTTCATTACTTGCAGTTTACAGTATTACAGAAAATTTTCTAAAACGAAAATGAACGGACCGATAAAAATGTATCAAACGAGACGATTTGTACGCCACGATATACCCGTAGAGTTACCCAAATGTATGTATACTTTAAAAAATATACACTCAAGAAATGGTATGGTAGACGGTGCCGTAGATCACGTTTTAGCGAAGAACAAAAAATTGGATATATTCGACCAGGTTAAACAGTTTTTAAAGGTTTCATTCATTTCCAATATTATATTTGTGCTGTTAACAACATTTTGTGCTTCAGAAACAAGTTTAAACTTTGTACTCACCAAAAATTCTTTAAAAAATCACTTGCATGACACCATAGTTATCAATTTTTGTGAACAACTGTCAAATAACTAATGAAAACGAAGGAGGAACTATTAATGTCCTCTTGTTGACTTTTCTTTGTCACCTAATCATCTGTTTTGCATCTTTGCACACATTTTCTAATCTAGTGCTTGCAAATTGTGCCAGCTGCTTAATTTCTTACTAAATGTAGAGTATAACCATTTATTTAAGATTTCCAATGTAGAATAACCACAAAATACCTGGGATGGCAGAACTAGAAGCTAAGCAAGAAGAAATACTCCAGCAGCTAGCCGAACTCAAGAAACAAATTCTTTCAATTAAATCCGATCTCAAGATAGCTGCAGTTTCAACTACAAAACCATCAACAAATTTTACTTCATCTACTTGTCCAAAAATAGTGAGTATTTTTATAACCCCGATTGCTTTATTCTCATTTCGTAATATTTTTTTTAGACAATAAATAACCTTCCTGATATTGTAATAAACGCCAATCCGTCTAATCCTCCATATTCATTACAAATCATACAGAAACTGCTGCAGGATACCCTAGCATTAACTTTTTCAACATATTTACATTCTACTGTGTCTTCGTTGTCAGAGGAAGCAAAAAAATTAGACTCTACTATTGTTAATTTTGCTCCAAAATCTAATGTACTAAAGTTGAATATAAGACTAATCTGGAAAACGAGTAAGTACATTGTTGAATTTTTTTAGAGCATTTTATTCATATAAATGAATATTTTTTTGCAAATATAGTTTTGGAATTGAGGCAGTACTAAAATTAGTGTGTTGTTAGTAGTGTATGTTCTGCAACGTGTAGTTACATGATTCTTTTCTTATTAAATACAAAAAAAGTTATTTTTTTTATGTAAGTAGGTATTAAAATAATGAATTTAAGAAATATATCTTGTTTTTCATAATCATATACAATTGTATTTTTGAAATTAGAAGATAAACAAACAAATTTTACCTTTTTAAGGTTTTTCTGAACATATACAGCAGCTTTTCCCATCATTTTTAATTATAGCATGAATTGCATCATGCATTTTCCTGTAATTTTTATTTTTAGAAAATTGTTATTTCACTTTTGTAATTATTTATTTCATCAGATTAAATAGACAGAAAAATATGTACTAATTATAGTTTTACAAAATAGTTATATTTACTACTTAAAAAATTTATTTCAGTTGATTCGAATACGGAACTTCTGGTGTCTCACATTCCGATTTTGGGCGAGGTGAACATGTTACGATACTTAAGTCGTGCGGTCAAATCTTCACTAAACTACGATTCAGAGTCAGACTGTATCGAAATCGACTCTCTATTAGATATTTGTTATCTTTTAGTTAGAGCGAGGACAAAAACGGAAAGAGCCGGTTTGTTGCAAACAATAAATAAGTCATTAGGTAAGGCACAATGGTTGGTCGGGAGAAGTCAGGCCAGTATCGCGGACGTAGCTGCTTATTCTGCCATTCGACAGGCCACTAGTAATAACGAGATTAGCGCCAACTTGGGCAAATGGTTTCAGAGGTGTGAAACTGTTTTACTAGGTTGTTAATAAATTTTTTCTATGTAGATTATGTTTTTATTTGCCTTTTACCTCGATCAAATATAATTTTGGTATATCACTCATTTATTCACTTAAAATAAGTTTAGTTTGAGATTTAATTCAAATCGTGCTTCTCAAAGAATTTTAGATGGGTGTCCTGATTTTTAGTAGGCAACACTGCAGATCACGTTTAACTCAAATTTAGTTAATTGGTAAAAGCCATTCTATTATCGTTGATGTGTATCTTGTGGTTTTATTACGTTTTGGATACATTTCACCTACATCAGTTTTAAAAATTAAATTTTGTTTAATAGTAATAAATTTGCAACTTGCCCCTTTTGAACAAACGGCATCGTAAATTACAAATTTCTTTACACCAAAAAGTAACTTGAGTTTCAAGTCTATTTTATAGAAAATCTGCGTTAAAATGGGGGAAAGGAAAGGGAAGGGGAGAAAATTTGTGCATTAATTCATATTTAGACAAACTGTAATAAAATCTATAAAAAGGGTTGCCTATTTGCTATTGGGCCCTCTTAAATAAGAAAAGAAAGCAGTAAATAGCTATTATTTGGTTGCGGACGAACTAAACACAGCCTAAACTGCATACGTGCTACTCTCACTGCTGTGCGAAGGTAACCATGACCACTGCTGTAAACACTATGGATTTAGGAGGAGCCCACATATTCAGTTTTTTTCAAATGAATTTTGCCGTCTAGTTAAAATGACTGCACATCACAAATTTAACATTTCCTTTTTATTGTTTCATAAGACTAATTTATTTAATTATCTATTATTGTAAATTTTATAAGTCAGTTGAACATGTAAAAAAATGCCTGTCAATAAAATTTAATGACCTTCATAGGCGTCTAAAAAGGTTTTCTGCTAAAGGTAAAAAATTATAATAATTTGAATATAATGTGTAGAAAATTTCTATTATGTTCATTTGGCCAACAACATATTTTAATTATTTATGTCCTCAAAGAATTTTATTATATTGATGGTAAATTTGGTTTTGTTTTATTTCAAAATACCATGTTGTAATAATATTATTTCTCTCTTTCGCAATTGTAATATCAATGATTAATAGGTGCCTATAAAAAATTAAAATTACCTGAATCACACCAAATTCCACATTGCTGCACTGCACTGCTGGTCAATTTGTCAACCACTTGTCAACAGCTGAGATTTAGTGCCCAGTAGCATAATGCAGCTGTGTTTATATTTTGCTTGGCCACGCTCGCTTTCTTCAACTGGGCGCATACATTTCTACCACCTCTACGGTTAGTTCGACCAGACCTGTATATGGGTATGGCTAAATACATATGGGAACAAGTTTTTCAAATATTTCAGTGCCGAGTTGCTGCGTTAGCGACCGAACCTGGTACATATTGTCAACCTCTTGCTTCTTTAATTGACATCGGAAAGACTATACATATTTTTTGATGTGGAAGCATTAACAGCGCTGTCCCTGGGCTGAAGCATGCCGCCGACAGCATCAACAAATTAGAAGGGCCCTCAAGTTCTTTAGAAATATCTTAAGGTTCTGTTTTTTTCTAATTAAAAAAACGATGATTATTAATAGAATCACAGATTTATTTTACAAACAGTTCATGTTATAATAAATTACATTAAACAAAGGCAGTGTAGACTGTAAACACTATCAGTACATTGCAGTTTGATCTTAACATAATTACACAAGTCTTGAATTAAATACAAAATGGTATAAAGTGACAATTAAACAATTAATCAGTGATCGTATTGTGCAATGATTCCTGTTTTCATGTCGACAAATAAAACTTAAGAGTAATATTTAATTTATTTCAGATTTGGGGCGTGTTTAACAATGTGCAATTTTTGAAAATGTTCCGTTTTATATTTGCAGTTATTGCACCTGTTGAATACGCTCACAAAGTTTAAATTATGACAAAAATTATTTCGTATAATAGAGATGTCCCAATGTGTCAAAATATTTTTATTTAGTTGTTCTAACGACCTACAGGTGATTGTGGTAGTGAGTCAAGTTTAAATGACAGTTCAGTTTCGTGTCAGTATCAGAAATTCTAAATCGTACAAGTAGGTATCGTGATGCAAGTTATATTCTAACTGTAATTGCCATTTAGCGATGGGGAAAGCCATCGACTAAGGTATGACGAGTTATTAGGTGATTATACTACGAGATTTAATACTGTTTTAAAACTTACGAAATGTCAGTGAAAAAATTTTTACCCCGTATTCGCAGCGGATACAAACACATCGATCTTTAATTACATCGAAAGCTATTGGGAAATCCATATTTACAGAGGATCACAAATTGACTGGGTTAACTTTTAAACATCATATTTTAGCTTTTCCATTATAATTGACTGCATGTTTGGAAGAAAATCTATACGTCCAAAGAAAGAGTTATTTTGGCACTATTTTTTCCAAAATGATATTGCTAAAGATCCAAATACGATAGGAAAAAATTAACCCCCAAAGCCAATTCACATTTTGAATGTTTTAAAACAAATCGCACTGCACCCGCAATGAATTGCAAGTAACGCTTAACTAATTCAGTTACAAAAGACATGATGATTGAGCACTGAATTTGATTAGAATTATACCTAAAAGTGACTTTGTTAAAATGTGAGAACAGAGTAGATGAACTAATGTGAACAATGGCATAATTAATAATATATATATACAAATATATTTTCCTAATCTGAAAGTCGTAAAAACATTAACAATTTACCCTAATAAGAAAAGTAATATTTACAAGTTTTATCGCTAAGTTTAAGATATTATTCAAGTCTTGTAGAATTACAAATAAATTAGGAAAATTTGATAATATTTTCTGTCAAATATACAAATAGAATCTCAAAAATACAGTGAGATCAAGTGCTGCCTATATTTGGTCCAAAAATTATATAACTCCCTAATAATAGTCGCAGTCAAACAAAAAAATCGTATTAACAAAAATATCCCTCATGTACATCGATAAGAAAATACAGTAATATGTATTAATTAATTTTCAGGGATTTTATCAATTCAATGCAAAGTCGAATATTTGCAAAAGACAACCTAACAAATAAATACGTACACTCTGTACATAACTTCTCACATTCTGCTTGACCACCGAGTCTGCGCACTACCGTGTGCGTCAAAAATAAAACATTAAAAACTAAATTGCATTCACAGACACTTAAGAGACATATTATCAAATTTTCGTGCTAAATTATGACACAATTTCCTATACAAAAGACGAGAAGCCAGGTAAGGGCGCTCGCGACCTGGCCATATTGTTCATAATAATCTGTCCCCCGTTTAAACTCACCACCGCACTACCCTCGGGTTCCGAGTCCGTGTAACTAGAGTAGTTCCTCACAGGTTTCTGCCTCTTCCACGACTGCCGCAAGGTGTCGTTGACGTTTGCGTAGTGATTCACGAAAGAGTGAGGATCGGAGCGGACGCTCTCGTTCTCGCTCTCCGAGCCCTGAAATAGTGAGAGTGTTCAAGGTAACTACACATTTAAAATTTGGGAGGTAATAGTTATTTGTGTTGACTCGTTATACGAAAATATTTTTTTTTATTTATAAGATAAGGCAAAAGATAAAATATTCATCATAGGTCCTCAGAAAATTAAAACGTTTTGTGATTTCCTATTCTATTGGCTAAGAATAAGAAATACAACTTTTTTATGAAATTGCAAAACAACTTAAATATGGATTTTATCGTTTATACATAATACTTTTATCTATTTCCACCTAGATTATAAAGCCTCAATGCTTTACAAATGATCACTTCTGTGGTGACACTTACGTCACTTGGTAAGGTATTAGATCTCTCAAAATGTTTGAATATCTATATTTTTAAAAACAAAGTAAATATTTAAATTGAAGTGCCACTGACCACCATTTTTTTTTATATATACATAAATATTAGATATCTGTAGTTTTAAAATGAAAATCTGAATTACTCTAGTCTTTTTGAGAGATAGGCTTACTGTGAATGCAAAATTAGTGGAAAAAATTTAGTGGATAATAGAACATCAATTTTAGGCATATCTTCACAGAAAACGATGTATTGCATTGAAAGAGTGACCGCAAAAATCATCCGTTTTTTCACAATTCGCAGAAAACTAAAGAAAATAGATAAAAATATGTTTTTGGTGTCAAATTACTCATAAAAAATTAAGATGAGCATGGCTTTTAGTTTTTTGAAAATTTTCAAAAATCACTCCTATTTAGGGGTAGAAAAGAAGCCCAAAATGAAGAATTAAATATTACCAATAAATATAAAAACTGCATGTGAATTTTTCTATCGAATGATTCTTGATACAAAGAAAGATTTATTCTCATGACTGAAATAAGCATGTTGAAATAGAAAAATTCACCCTTAAGCGCAGTCAGGGGGTGGAATCATCCCTAAAAATAGAGAATATCAGATATAATTGTAAAAATTCCAAAAAAAAGATATTAAGCTTCACATGCTAATAGTTTTTATATCAATTGGTAATATTCAAATTCTACATTTTTGGCATTTTTTCAAGGGGTGATTTTTTAAATTTTCTAAATACTAAAAGCTATGTTCATTTCAGTATTTTACGTAATTTGCGACCAAAAACATATCTTGTATGTATTTTTTTTAATTCTCTGCGAATTGTTAAAAAACAAGCAAAAATCACAGGTTTTTTGCGGTCACTCTTTGGCACAGATAAAGTTTTGAGCATATTTAATATGTCATTGTTGTTAGTTTTTGACTGACATTTTATGACAACTTTTGGAGTTAGTTTTTTTTATAGTTTATCTTGTACCAGATGTAAAGATTCATTTTACACAAAAAAGTACTTTTACTAAAATCACAATAAGGCATTGTTTTTTTTTTAAAGAAAGTGACTGGTTCAAAGGTAACCAGTTTCTGTCTTTGATATACAGTGTGCCTGCAAACGAATGGCGAAAGTTTTTTAAATAAAAATAAATGAAAATTGTTAAACCAATTGACCTCTGCACAATTTTGCTACCTTAAAAAACTACAGGCTTTGAAAATTGTTTTTTTTTAATTTCATTTTTTATTATAAACAAATCATTTTATTTTTTGATGTTCTATCACCCACTAAATTTTTTGCACTCACTTCTGCAACACCTATATATAGTGTTCTTTAAAACAATGCAAATAACAAATTTTTTTCACAGAATAATGTCAGTGTGTGTAATTGTCAAGCACCACAAATTGCACAAAACTTCATCTTTCGGAAAACCAAAAACAAGAACTTTTCTGTTTTTACAGTTATCAATACAGGGTGTTTCTGAAATAAGAAGTGTGTTCCTTGAAAAGGATGATAGAGGGCACGAAATTGAGCAACTTCTATTAAGCAACTGATGGTCTAAATGCTTCTGTTTTCGAGAAAATAGCATAAGAAAATTAACCATAAATGTAAGCCGACCCTATGCATCTTGTGCATGTGAGTTGCATGCTGCAGTATTACTTAATCGGCGTATAAAACTAACGGTACCGCGCTGCTTGTACTACGGGAACAATTATTACATCCCTATCATGTACAAAGGGTTCAAGCATAAATGATTTTCAGCCCCATGTGGAATTTTGCCAGTGGTTTCGACATCAACTAGCAGAAGATCCAGATTTTGCAAGCAAGGTGCTTTTTACGGATTAATGTTGTTTTACTAGAAACGGCATACTAAATTTTCACAATATTCACTATTGGTGTGATGTAAATCCTCAGGTACAGAGATCTTGGTTCCAGCAACAGTTTTCAGCGAATATGTGGTGTCGTGTTTTTGGTGACAGAATTTTGACCATTGTTTGGAACCATGTTTATTAGCACATGGAAACAAGTTTCAACAATTTTTGTAGAACACATCGTCTATTGGTAAGTAATTCGTTTAATTTTTGTGTTACTTTTAAACGAGATTTGAATAAATTTCAAGATTTTGGAACACATTTAACCATCAGAACCACCATCAGTGCTTTCGCACTACAGCTCGCGACAAAGGAACAGCTGCCTGCTGCACCAGGGATGGCCTTATATTTGTTTAAACCTTCATGTGAAATTTTTTTTTTCAATTTAAAAAGTAATGTTTTAGACCAGGGGTCGGCAAGTAATTTTAGGTGGGGTCCGGATACTTTTAAAAATTTTAACGAGGTCCAAAAAAAAAAAATTCATATTTTTTACAAATTTTCATTTGAACTCAAATTTAATCTGCTTACTAACCATTAAGAACTCAAAACACTCACACAATTGTAAAATACTAGAAAAAATGATAATGTTTGCACTCAAACGTAAAAAAACATTTTTTAAATAATTTATTTGAGTAATTTATACTTTTTGGTGGTCCAGTATTTTAGCTTCCGCGGTCCGGACCTGGACCGCGGTCCGCCAGTTACCGACCCTTGTATTAGACCATCAGTTGCTTAAAAAGTTGCTTATTTTCATACCCTTTCCTTTTCAAGCAAACACTTATTCCAGAAACAGCCTGTATACATAGGTACACTGCTTTTTGTCACTGAATAGTCATGTGAAATGTAGCAGCCCAACACTAACTACATTATTAACCATTGCGAAATATTCTAATAAAAGCATCACATACAAAAACTATTATTTATATAATTATAAACGTTTGTGTTTTACAACATAATTAGTCTGGTTGTTATTAAAATTTTAATTTACAATAGAAAATTGACCTAAACCAGTAGTAGTGACATCACTATGTGATAATACATCAAATGGAAGGCCTTATAGAATGGGATGATTTATTGCTCATTGTTTTGGTGGATTGTAGTGATACAATTTTGTATATTGAAATAACTGTTTTGTGACAACTACAAAGTTTTGCGATTTCTTTTATTAAAAAATGTGACTAACAAATTAATATTATATGAGGACCTCTCCACGTTTTTAATTCAATTTCTACAGCAATAGAAAGTAACAAAGTAGCTATACAAATTCGGAAATGTAGCAGAAATTATAATTGAACAGATAGATGTATGTGAATATGTCATTTATACAATGCGCTTTTTTACAAGACTAAATGCCTCTTCTTTACGGACAAAAGCCATAGTACCATTCCGCTTCACACAAATAGCTATTATAAAAAAAAATAAATCAACGTTTCAGGCAAGTCTCAATCAATTTCAGTAATGTTACTCAAAGTATGTGCAGTTAATCCATGCACTAGGCTGGAAAGGTTTGAATCATTACGACTCGCTTAATATGAAAAATCACACTAAAGTTGTCATGCGTTCAATTTTCATTCTCAGTTGCAAGAAGTAATGAATCAATCAGATGCAAATAGTGCGATAAAATGTTTACTTAAATCATCTGAGGACGTACTAATACAAACCAATTTCCAAAATTTTAATGTTACACTGAAAAAAATTATGTTTAGTTAATGAATTTTGGTCAATTTGGCAGCAGCACTTTTAATTATAACCAAAAAAAACTCGATTTTCTACCATATACATAAAAATATAAATGATAAACCTTTACATAACTGATATATCCCATTGCTTTTGCAATGATTACATTTTTTTCTATAAGAATTAACTTTATTTCAGTCTTATCAACACAAAAAGTTACGTATCTTAATAAACTGTGAAAACCAGTGTGCATAAGGAAAAGTGAAATGGAACTAACGTAAAGGGAACGTCTATAATCACGAACTTACCTGTGAATCTGACGAACTCATCTCTGACGGTTTCTCAGTGACACTGCTGTCATCAGGGTTTTCGTCGTACCCCTTCAAACTCTCCTCATCAGAGTTGTATGGTACCGATGCTGGGGACGGTCTGGGGGGAGATTTCCCCAGCATGGGCGGAGGCTGTTGGGGTGCTTTTCGCGACAGGGTACTCCTTTTCCCTATCGTCCCCATCGACGCAATGTTGCCGTTGCCAGTCCTAGGTCGGTAATAATCCATCGACAAGTCCTGGTGGTCCGCCATCGACATGGCCATTGATTCTTCCAAGGTCTTTTGTGCCTCCTCTGCAAAAAAAGGATAGTAGACGGTTTTATTAAAATCACAAGTAAAACTAAAAGACAACACAATAAAACTAAAGTCTAAAATAAAACTAACTCCCTTTTATAGAAAACCTACGTTAGAATGGAGGAAAGTCTGTTATTTGTGCATTGATTCATATTTAGACAAACTATATAGGGTGTCCAAAAAGTCTGGAAACACCTGAATAATTTCCCAGGTAAATTATTTTTGAAAAATGTCAAGGTCATTCTTGTAGTAATTTGACCTTGGATTTTACCTTGACGATGACCTTGAAGGTTATTTCAAGGTCATCTCCATTTTTTTTAATGGAAACCCCCATTTTTGACGTTGGCAATCGAATGAGCGGGAAATTATACACCCAAAAACTCCAAGGTCATAAATCAGGATTGACCTTGAATGCCATTTAAAGGTTATTTAAATTTGGGGGTTGGATACCTCCGAGGGATGCAGTTGATGAAAATAGTACAAAGCTCACTTTAGTTATTTTGTTTAATTGCAATTAATGGTGACCTCAAACTCGACCTTCCTGGTGTCCTTCAAGTTAATTTCAAGGTAATTTTTTTGTTCACGATAATGAGGCACCACAAATGTGAGAGACAAAGGGACTCACGATAATAAAGCGTCTCCAAAGGGAACAGAAATTAGTACGTCCACGTCGTTGTTCCTGGGTAACGCTAAAAGTAAAAGTATGAAAACTTCCGCTCTTTTGATTGCCGACGTCACGAGATTTTCAGTAAAAAAAAAATTGACCTAGATCAAGAAGGTCGAGTTTGAGGTCACCACTAACTGCAATTAAACAAGATAAAGTGAGCTTTGTACTATTTTCATCAACTGCGTCCTTTGGAGATATTCAGCCTTCAAATTTAAATAACCTTTGAATGACCTTCAAGGTCAACCCTGATTTATGACTTTAGAGGTTTTAGACGTAAAATTTCCCGCCCTTTCGATTGCCAAGGTCACCACTGAATTCCTCGTCAAAAGTTACTACAAGAACAACCTTAACATTTTCCAAAAATAATTTACCTGGGAAATTATTCAGGTGTTTCCAGACTTTTTGGACACACTGTATAATAAAATCTATAAAAATGTATTGCTGGTTGCCTATTTGCTGTAGAGCCCTCTTAAATTAAAAAAAGCCCCTAAAAGTGTCAAAATTGGTACGTCCTTACATATAAGGAAATATTACTTATTTTACTCACGTTTGTACTTGTAACTTTTGCTCTTGACGCAAAGTATGGCAATAATCATAATTATGATGATTATAGAAGTAGCCGCTAAAGCAACCATAAACCAAGTCTGCCTATAAAACGGTACATGTTGGAGATATCCGTACTCCAGGTAAAGTTTTGAAGGAGTAAGCACAGATTCGTCCGAGTAAGCCGGATAACTAATTCCAAACTTATTATAAGGAATGACTCGGAACTTGTATGAAGTCGAAGGCAACAAACTCTGATAAGAGACTGTGAATTCTTGTAGCATCCCGTTGGTTGTTTTCGTGACAGTCTGCCATCTGGTGTCGTCTAAAATTATGAATCAAAACGTAATTAGATAATATGCGTATCTTTCTTACTTACCTTTTCTGCGAGATTCTATGTAATATCCAAGAATGGGCCCTTTTCCAGTTGGTCCATTCAACCAGCGTAAGTCCACGCTAGATAAAGTCTTTGCTACTGTCAGCTCTTTAGGAGCGCCTGGCGAGCCTTCCTGCGGCCCCGTGGTAACATTGCTTGAAATTGGCGGGCCGTAGTCGATAGTTTGCGCTTTAACCGTAAAGGTGTAAGTGACTTCTTCTTCCAAACTCTGCACTTGAAGCGACGTCGAGGTGACTTTCTGCTTCACTTGCTTGCTAAAACCTGCAAAGACAACTGTATAAGGTTCTGTAATTTCAATTTTATATTAAACGTACGTTCGTTTTCTTCGGTAGTTTCATATGTTACGATATAACTAATGATGTCTCCGTTTCGTTTCTTTGGAGGGTCCCAAGACACCATTAAGCTATTCATGGTTATTTCCGTAAATCTTAAATTGACAGGTGCACCAGGCAGACCCTGGAGAGTTTTTACTGTGATCGGTTGCGACCTTGGTCCGTCTCCCGCCGGATTGAATGCCAGGATTTGAATTTTATATTCAGTGTATTTGTCCAAAAACACCAAGCTATGCGAGGTGGTGGATGCGGGGACTACTTCTATTTCCTCCTCCCATTTCTTTCCTTCCTCCAAGTCTTGCGGTGAGTTAAGAACCAAGTAGAATATCTAAGGAAATACATTTTTGATAGCTTGGTTTGTAGATTGCCATGGTAATTGTCAATGGTTCTGAGATGGTTGCAATATCGTCGGTTTAGACTTCTCAACGTTTCAAAAAACATATGTATCTCTTTAGAAAAGACTGAAATTGGAGATTAAGTCCTCTGGCCGGTATTTATATTTGCTGTGTACACCAGTCTAAGGCGTTCCAGTGTATGGCTTGTAATCATTGCCTTGTGTTGTTGTACTCAATTTTTGCATATGAATTGATTCTAAATTCCAGGGAGTTTATTCTTGACTAGTAGTGGCAGTAATTCCCTTCTTGGATGTTTTGGTTGAGAGGAAACCAGACAAACATCTGATTGCGGACTCCCACCACCACCCAGCCCAGAAACAGGGGATCATAAATATCTCGATTCGTCGAGCGCGGATCATCAGCAAGCCAAGACACTTGGCTGAGGAACTAGAACACCTACGCAAGGCCCTGAGAGGGAATGGCTACAACTTGAGAAATATTGAACGAACTATCAGGAGGAGACATACGTCCATGGAGAAACAGGAGTACTTAGCGACGACGTATCTACCTTATGTGAAAGGTTATACAGATAAAATCGGGCGTCTTTTGAAAAAGAAGGATATCAACACAGTATTCAAATCGTAAAAAAGGTGGTGGAAGTGTTTCCAAAGACCAACTCCAGGGTCTATATAGGACAAACAGGAAGGCACATCAACACGAGGTTAAAAGAACACAAAAGCCACCTCAAAAATAATAACTGGGGAAAATGGGCAGTAGCAGAGCACAGGGTGATCACGGGACAACACAGTGGATCTGAGTGAAACCAACATGGTGGTGAGAGAGAAGATTTTGGCCCCAACTGTACAGAGAAGCATTAGAAATTTACAAAAATTTGAACAATTTCAACAGGGACGGCGGCGTGGATCTACCAGGTATATGGAAGAGAGACATCCGTGAAAGCAACCCATTGGAATGGCAACAGCATGTACGAGATCACCCACCACAACGTCATGGATCAGTGAAAACATCAAATATAAATAGTGACAAGATTAGTAGATTGTATGCTGGAGCGCAAATGGCTCCATCTGTCGTGCTGACTCCCAACTGTGCCATTCAAATGAATACAGCAGAAAGCGACGTGCTATATTGCAGGTACTTGTTGCACGACTGCCACCCACAGAGGGCGAAGATAATGTTTTAATTGTCAGTGTTGTGAGAAACAACTACTCCGGGGGCTATACGCCCCTACCGGCATTGAATTATACTTGCAACACCTAGTGCAACAGCTAGAATCGTTTGTCAGTTTAACCCACCAGGCACAGACCGGTTTCGGACAAGGAAATACATTGTATGCACGACAGCTGGAGCCCTTTGCACTTCCGCGTACAATGTATTTCCTTGTTGTGATGATACGACGCAAAACAGTTGGATCGTTCGTCGGTTGTCACCTATGACATACTGATGAGGACTAATAAGTCTGAAACCGGTCTGTGCCTGGTGGGTTAAACTGAGAATGATCCTAGCTGTTGCACTAGGTGTTGCGAGTATAATTCAATGCCGGTAGGGACATATAGCCCTCGGAGTAGTTGTTTCTCGCACCACTGACAATTAAAAGATTAGTAGATCTTCAGTTTCAGAGTAACTTTTGAAGAAGAGAGCGATATGTCTCTCGAAATGTCAAGTCTAAACCGACTACATGGCAACCAGCCTGCAAATTCTTTAACAAAAATTTCGATAATTTCATAACCTATTTTTTAGGCAAACTTGAATGTGTACATACCTTATATCCTCCCAGCTCCCCATTCTGCATATGTTGCTGCGGCGGTTTCCATCTCAGTCTAACCTCCGTTGAAGACACCGGTTCTCCTTGTAAAGCTCTGGGTTCTCCAGTTGGTACAGCTTCACCAACATACACTGTAATCGGAGGACTTGCGGGACCTTCTCCTTGAGCGTTAAATGGTACTACTATGATTTCATAATTTCTATCTTGCAAGAGTTCACTTAAAACCATTTTAGAGGCCTGGAAATACAACACACGTTTATATTAACAATAATCCGTAGTATTTCATGAAGCACTTACATTAATCCCCATTATTTCTTCTTTGGGAGTTGCTTGAAGTGCCGTCGGAAAATCCGACACAGGTTGGAACACAACCCTATATCCTCCCGTCTTAGTATCCCCACTCCAATACTGTTCCTCTACAGGTTCCCAAAATACCTCCACACTTGTTGTAGTAATCGGAACAGCTTTAAGACTACTTATACCTTTACTGGGAGAGGCAGGATATGTCCTTACTTCGATAGATTCAGGGCTAAACCTACTAGGGCCGATATCATTCATGGCTTGAATACGAAACCTGTACAACGTGAAAGGCTTTAAATCTGAGACAGTGTAAGAAGTTAGTTGCGGATCAACTCTTTCAGGCAGAGAATGCCAAGGGCCTCCGTTTTCCATTTTTTGAACAGTATAATATCTTAGAGGAGCAAATCCGTCCCTGCCAGGCGTCCAGCTGAACGTAATATGTTTACTTTGGACTTGACTGCGGCTTATTTGGGGCAAGGAAGGTGGTTGGGGAGGTTCACGGTTGTTTGTGGTATAAACCAAGGCATGAGCTGTTTTGCCCCAACCTAACCTTGTTTGAGCCGTCACCGAAAACATGTAGTATTTTTCAGGTTCCAACTGAGTGAATCTGAAATGGAAAGAAAGGGAAAGTGAACTCAAATCGTTTGTTACAAAAATGTTATTAATGTAAATATTCTTTTCTTAACATTTTAAGGTCATTTTGGCTATCACTGTGACTGATAATAACCAAAAGATGGCGTTGTTTTTGTCAAACAATTCATAGAGAAAAAAGTAATAAATAAAATCCCTAGGATTATCATATCTTATCAGGTGGACTGACATTATGTAGATAATTAACCTAAACTAGATAAATGTTGTCAGAAGTCATTGCCACTGAGATTCACAAACTAAACTCAGTGCTTTAAAAAACAAGTAACAAATACTATTTATTACAAACTTGAAATGATTTAAAAATTATTTCAATCTAGCAGATTAGTATTTTTATTTACTTTTTATTACTTATACGTATTTTACAAAAAACTAAAATAATTATTTTAAAACTTGCATTATTGTACAATTAGGGACTTATTACTATTTACATTATTTAATATTTAATAAGTCGTATAAAAATATAAATTTTTTTGAAATACTTGTAAATGTTTTAATGTGTGGTGTTTTGTCCGCATTGACATCACAATAGCTTTTGTAGATATTTTAACATCCATTATAGATACAGGTAACTCAAAACCTTTAGTAGGTGTATTTGTTTAAATGATGTATTTGTTTTCATTTACAAAGTTTCCATTCCATTCGCATCACACGAGGTGAAACTACTATGTTTGTTTGCTGTATTCACTGGTTTATCAGTAGGGCCGTCAGAGAGAGCCGCAATTAAATGGCGTGCTAAGCGGGTCAACCGAGACATGCACGAGCTGTTGCTTCAGAATGCTTTTCACGTTCACATAACATTAGTATACTGTTGCCGTTGTTATCATGCGGATGTTGCATAATTAATTCCTAACCGTGTTTATGGTGGTGTATTGTAGACAATTTAATTTGTATCTTTTTAATAAATGCGTATTTATCAGTTTTAAATGTTATTTTTCGGAGTTTAAAAATAATGATAAAATAGAATGTAAAAATAATCAAACACAACATATAAATCTTCCCTATGAAAGTGATTTTAAAATTAATGTATTAGATGTCCATCTCGTTAGTTTTTATCGCGAATATTAGTAGCTTTACCCAATTTCGCTTACCTGAAAGTCCTTGCAGAAGGGAGGAACTCTTTTGAATATTTACTATTGGTATTGATGTTGTTAATGTGATACGTCACTCTGTACGCAAGAATTTCACCATTGGGTTCTTCGGGCACATCCCAAATAATTCTCGCCGATGTAAACGAAACATCCGGAAAAGATACGTTCGAAGGGGCTCCTGGTACTGAAATTTATATAAAAATCAATAAATGGTCCATATCTCTAGTTAAATCAAATCTTACCATCATCGAAAGTTCTCACGCTGACAGCCGGTTGACTAGGTTCACCGTCCCCAAGCCTCGTATACGCCAACACCTGTATGTGATAAATAACGAACTTCCTCAGCTCCGTCAGGGTTGTGGTGAATGTAGAATTATTCGGAATTAGCTTGTACTGGGCAGGAGATTTGATTTCAGCCGCGTAAAACACCTTGTAACCCTCTATAAGGCCATTTTGATGTTCTTTCGGCACATCACCCCACTTAACGACTATCGTCGTTGACGATGTAGCATTTGCGATAATATCTATGGGACCTTTCGAAGGAACTAAAATAAATAATGCCAGTAAATATTAATTCAATTTAAATTAATTTTTACAAACCGAATTCCCTGGTCCGTTCGAGGGCTTTGGGTCCGTAAGAGGAACACCCGACATCGTTGCAGGCTTGCATTTTTACTTCGTATAAAGCGAATTCTTCTAAGCCAATTATTACATGGGAATTCGCTGTGTGGTCTTCAATAGTGGCGCTGTGGGCAAAGCCGCTCCTCAATTCTGTGAATGTTATATTGTATCCTCTAGGGTTACCAAACCATTCTATTTGTTGAAGAGGCTAAAATATAAAATAAAATTATTCATACACATTTTACATTAAATACGAAATACTTACTATCCATCTCACACGTAGTTCAGTAGCGCTCATAGCTCTTACAGTAACGTTCTTAGGAGGGTGCGCAGGAGGTGCTTGTATCGTTTGAAACTCCTTCGTGGCTTCAGATGGAACGGAAGCGCCAACCACATTATTAGCGATTAATCTCAACCTATACATAGTGAAAGGAACAAGTCCCGTCACTGTGATAGTAGTGGCGTCGGGGTCACTAATTTCATAAACAACGAACCACGTGGCATTCCTCGCAGTTTGAGCCTCTACTGTCCACTTTGTTATGGAAGAGTTACCGTCGAATCCGGGAGTGAACTGCAAGACTACCGAAAAAGCTTCTATGTTTGATAGTGCAAGTTTAGACGGCGGGTGAGGTAGGACAGGCTCGACGCCCGACTGGATGATAGCGATTTTAGGTGGACCCGGCCCAACCGCCGTCCATGCAGTTACCTCAAAACGGTAATGAGTGGTAGCCTGCAGATCGTTCACTTTAGTGCTTAAATCGTCAGCGGTGAAATTCTTTATGCGCATAGTGTCGGGATCGTCTTTAATTTGGTATATCAGCTGGTACCCAGTTAAGATACCGTTTATTTTCTTTGGTGGTTGCCATATCACTTTCACAGCCCTGTCGCTGATTTCGTCAAATTGCAGATTTGCAACTTCGTCAGGTACTGAAAACGAGAGAACATCACATACGTTTTAATACAAAAAAATGAAATATATTACCATCTTCCATGGTTTTGACATAGGTGAATTCACTGATCTCTCCATCTCCAGGATCGGTGAAACAGAGCACTGTAATATTGTACTCGGAAAACTTTTTAAGATGAGTCATGACAGCAGTCTGTTCCGCATAGGGATCTAATAAATTAGGATGCACAGTCATCATACTAGCCTCGATGTTACCTCTGGTAGGATGCCACTGCCATGCCTGGATTTTGTAACCTTGATTTATCCCGTTGATCTTCTGCGGGTCTGGTGGGATCCACCAAATTTGTATGGAAGTCGAGTTCAACGCTTCCACTCGTTGGATTATGGGCGGGGCTTCTGGAACACCTTCTTTTGTTTTGATTTTGGCTCCTTCTGTGAAAACGCCGATGCCTTTGTTGTTGTACGCGGCAATTTGCACGATGTAATCTTTCCAGGTGATCAGGTCTTGAATAAGGTAATTTCTCTGAGCCTAGAATATGCGAATTTAGACGAATACTAACATAATAATAAAAATGCAGGTACCTCATTGGTAATATTCCTTATATTCCAGGGACTTTCGTTGTAACCATATAATCTGTAACGGATTATATAACCAAGAATTTGACCGTTGCGATGTTCTTCCAGTGGGGGTTGCCACTGTGTTATTATTTCCGAAGAGCTCCTGGCGGACCCAACAAAGCCAACGGGAGGCCCGGAAGGTGCTACGAGAAAAATATTTTGGAGTATATTCGAGACAGATTTCTTTTGTCGTTTATTACAGAAGCAACTAAATCAAAGGCAAAAATTGGATGGTGGGAAATGAGGTAGAGAACGATACAATTTAAATTTAAATGATCAACAAAGAATTAATAAAATGGCTGATCCAAACTGAACATTTATTTTAAATATCATGTTAGTATTTCATCTGTTAAAGTTAGAACTTTCATATCTGGCTGCTGACAACTATAACCTACCTATACCATTAACGAAAATGAGCGATACACGGTTGAGCAGTGCATGGATATTATGAAAATTCACTATAAAAATGGTGAAAATATTGTGGAAACGTTCAGCAAAGTTTGAAACGGATTTGGTCGATGTGAAGAAACTTTTCTCTTAGTTGATTTAACAAAAAAATTGAATGTTTTGGCAGAATTCATAGTGATTAAATATTGCTCTTCCAGCCAGATCAAATAAACACATTGCAGCTGAAGATGAAAGTGTTCGATAATGTGCAACAATTAGACACATTATAAGTAAGTTTACATCAAATTTGGTACCTCTTGTCTTAAAGGGTTATAAAATTCAAATGGTGCAAGAATTGAAGCTATAGATAGGCTTCACTGTTTGGGTACTGGAAATATATGATGATGACTTAGAAATGTTCAGGAGTCATGAGCAAAGCGGCTCAATACTATCTCTCTGGCTATGTCAATAAACAAAATTCTCATATCTGGGGCTCTCTAAATCCAAAAGCAAATGTTCAATTACCAATTCATTCAGTATGAGAGACACTTTGGTACGGTTTTTGAGCTGGAGGCATTACAGGTCCATATATATTTTTTAAAATAGGGCTTTTTGGTACGAAGTTGATGTTTTGAACTTGGATATGTCTATTTTCAGCAGGATGGAGTTACATACCAGGAAACATTCAAGTTATTGAATAAGAAAACATGTTATTTCTCAATTCAGAGATGTCAATAGACAATTTTTTCTTTAGGGTCATGTAAAAAATAAAGTCTATGGAAATGCTCCAGAAATATCGTAGGTGCTATTGGTGAAATAGAGCCTCCCTCTATTACACAAAACAGTGATCGAAAATTTCATCAAAATGATGGCACAGTCTTCCAGGGCGAGGTTTTTGCTATTTTGATGGTAGCAAGCAAGGAAGAAGTAAGGAATTGTGTAGAGGAGAAGATTTTTATCTGCTCTGAGTCAGGCCGCACTCAGAGCGGTTAGCTGCTCAAGGACAAGGTCTGCCCTCGTCCAGGAATGTGGAGATGCTCTAGAATCATTGGCCAGATGAAGAGAGGTAGAGTTGGTTTTGGTCCCAGGCCACATGATTATCCCTGGTAATGAGAGGGCTGATCAACTAGCTCGTCTCGGATCTGGGGGACCTGGCTGGGGACCTGAACCAATCCTAGGAATCACACGAGGTAGCATTAATGAGGCACAATAAATGGGCCTATTAAACTTTAGGTCAGAACTGGAGGAGAAATAGAGGATGAAGGCAGGCCCATAGTTTCATACATGGACTTAATAAACCTAAGACGAGATGGCTGCTGAGCTTTAGTTGAAGAGCCCTAAACCAAATGGTGGGGGTTCTGACAGACCATTGCAGACTTGGGAGGCATTTAAGTTTAATAGGAATTGGGGAGGACCCTCTATGCCTGAACTGTGGAGTAGGGGTTCTAGGACATTGTACAGCCTTTGCGAGGATAAGACATAAAGTCTTTGGTGCTGAAGAGCTGCAGGGGGTTGAAGTGAGAGATCTTCCATGGACCAAAATCCTGGCATTCATTAGGGCATCGGGTAGGTTCGAGGAGGGTCAGAAGGAGAAAGTGGATAGGGATGGGACGGTGGGGTAGGCAAAAAGGGCCCACTTGTGGCCCAATTGCCAGGCTGAGGCCGCCCCTTTCCACTACTACTACTCATCAAAAGGATGACCGTTTGTAGGAGATTCCCAGATTCTGGTCAGTTGAAAAATATTATTTTTTATAGTCAGTCGGTCAGTTTGTGCTCTGTATTGAAATAACAAATCATAAGTAGTTCACAATAAATTTGTTTTTTTTTACTTAAAATAATGGTTCAATTTGTATCACCCGTTGTAACACAATCTTTCCTTAATATTGTTTTATGTGGATATTGAACTGGTGAAACACAGTGATTAAAATTACAGTTGCCTACCCCATCACGAAATATTTTAAGGTATGATGCATCATTGTGGCACAAAGAACGTCATGCTATATATCTGTGATATTCATAGAACACGTTAATATCGAACAGTGACTGGAGATGGACAAAAATTAACAGGACAAAACAATATCATGCAATAGTTCAATATAACATCCCACCTTTAAATATAAATTTATATGAGCCGCCTGTATGAATGAAAGAAAAAAATCAAAACACTTTATTGGTCATATGAAGTATATTGTGTAAAAATGACGTATTTAATTCAGTCGACCAAATTTTAAGTGAAAAAATACGTAAGAATCCAATTCCAAAAAAAAATTTTTTACTTACCTTCCTGAGGCAACATAACTTGGTTACTAGGATCGGAAGGCGGACCTTCGCCCACGCTGTTCACGGCGCTAACCCTGAATTGGTAGCAGGCGGCTGCCTTAAGGTTCGTCAACAATATCCAACGTTGGTCGGCAGATACATTACTGAGTTCCGTCACCCAGTTCAGAAGCGGATCTGGTATCGGACCTAAAATAGGGGGTACTAATGGGACAAAATAACACCGTTTGATAACTTGATACGACAAACGGAAATGGCCATATAATATGAGCATGCGTTTATAATTCTCTTTAAAAAATAAATTTTTTAACTCAATTTTTAAAACAGTGTATATTTAGTTATTCGTAGGTCTTTTATTTATGATTCAACTATTCCCAAATTACATTTCTACATGCTCATGCGGATAAACAATGCTTTTGTGTTATTTTTAAAAAGAAATGTTAGTAAGAGTTATGACAAAAAGTTATTATTTACTAGCAATATAACATAAACTATAAAGGTGATTCAGAAATTAGATTTAGAAACATTTTTTACTATTCCTTACAGAACATGAGATAATTAATTAAAGGAAAATAATTACTGAACGCTATTTAATTGCTTGATTATGCCTCAGGTTACCTGATTCACAAAAACCTGGACTCTTTTACAACATGATACTGTCTGGTACTCAGTAATGTACTTACTGTATTTTGAATAAGATAAGTTATGTTTAAATTGTTTAGTAATAGATTTTAATTAATTAGTATAATGTACAATAGTTATTGAAGTGTGGTTTAGTATTGTATAAATAGAGCAAAAATAGGTAAAATTTCACATATTGTTTATCAAGAGGAAGCATTAACAACTCAAGTAGGTAAATTATTCAGTTTTTAGTACTTATACCTTATTGTATAACTTATTACTTTTCAGAGTTGTACGGTACATACTTATTTAAAATGACAAATATGGCTAAAAAAACACTCACTCATTCGTCGATAAAGTTTTAATAAAGTTGAGATCCGTTACACTGTGATTTTGAAAACAATTGCAAAACGGGACGAGACGATGACTAGGAAGTCAGTTGTTTCGCTACAATGACAATATTCGATTGCTGTGTACTCCACCGGATTGTGCGGCGTGTTCCCTATTACGAAATGGAGGGTCGAGTTAACGGGAGTTACGGGGTAATTTGCTTATTTTTAAAAGGTCGAAAAAATCTTTTACATAACAAAATTTGAAAGCAAACATTATTAAAAAATATAAAAAAATTTCCACGGAGTACATTCTCTATTTCTTAGTTAATCAATAATTTTATGATTTTGATTTTTTAAATTAATGTTGCTAAGGAATATTTACAACATTTTTATATGAGAATAACCATATTTCTGAACACTGCATTAGAAGGCAAAAAAATCTAATAATGTCAAGTTCTGGTAGGCACTATCTAAATACCACCACTACTACTACTAAATTTCGGCTGCTAAGATTATAAAAAAATTGTAATTTTCTTTATGGTTCATATATTTCCTTTTCTTTTGAATTTGGATTAGGTTAGGAAGTATAACAAAAATTGCTATTACACGTCCACGTTTCGTTGTTTTTATTATGACATCTTCAGGGCTTTGTGTTGAATTTTATAAGTCAAAACATTGCCCCTGATCTATCCAGATCTAAAATAAAAAGAAACTGACATTTTCTGTTTTTTTGCCATTCTATTACTTGGTATATACCTAAGTTTTTAGCTCAATCTGTTTACCATTTTATCATATTCATTCAAATGGTTTTAAAAAAATTGGTAACAGTGATGTTTTTTTTTTGTTCTTCATTGGTGTTTACACCAGTGTTTTTACCTACCTATTTTTGTCAGATAAGTTCTTAATCACCCTGTATAGAAGTTAGGTTTCTGAACATAACTTTTGTATCATTTAAATTGAAAAAAAAAAAGAAAAGAATACTAATATTAAACTGTATACAAAACGCAACTAAAATGAAAACGATAAGGAAAAAATAACACAATCTAGAAAAACAAACAGTAAAAAAATCTGTAGAATAATAATAAAAATAATAGTAAAAAGTAAGTAATAGTAAAAAAAACATTGGCATTTTAGCTATATTTAATAAATGTAACACTGAAATAATAAAAAATATCAAAAAATAATATCCGCACTAGTGGCCCAAAAAAAACGAATATTTTTTTTGTGTCTCTTGTGAAAATATGTTAGTTTATCATGTTTTAAGAGCCCCCTCAAAAAAATTTTTTTAGAGGTCGCTCAAAATTTCTAAAAATTTCCAAAATCGTCAAAAATTGATTTTTTTTTTAAATTTTTTTTTCTCATTATTTTATCATTTTGTAGGTTGAAAAAAATCTCGATTCTCTAAAGGTCACTCATAATTATTTTAACTTTAAAAGTAGTGTACCTAAAATGTTTTCGAGCCACCTCTAAAAATAAATATCAACAAACTAATAATTTTTTTTTATTGAATTTGATGAACAAAAGAACAGAAATAAATCACGAGACACTTAAATTTTAAAAAATTAAAAAATTATAAATATTTGATACTCGGGTGTGGTAGTAAATTTTGCCTCGAGAAATTTTTTAAGTGTCGTGATTTATTTCTATTCTTTTGTTCATCAAATTGAATAAAAAAATTATTAGTTCGTTGATATTTATTTTTAGAGGTCGCTCAAAAACATTTTAGGTACACTACTTTTAAAGTTAAAATAATTATGAGTAACCTTTAGAAATTAAAATATCGATTTGAAATATTCAGAATCGAGATTTTTTTCAACCTAGTAAATGATAAAATAACGATAAAAAAAATTTTTTTAAAAAATTCAATTTTTGACAATTTTGGAAATTAAAAAATTTTGAGCAACCTCTAAAAATTTTTTTTTTAACAGATTTTTTGAGGGGGCTCTTAAAACATGGTAAACTAACATATTTTCATAACACGAAAAAAAAATATTAGTTTTTTTTGGGCCACCCTAATCCGCACTACGTTTTTCCTAAAATAATCTAGAGCATGTTATCCAAGAAGTAGTATTTTTTAGAAAGATGTGGAGCTCTTAAAAAAGTATTTTTCTAAAAACTTTGCAGAATAATTCAGATATTAATATGTAATTATAAAATTTAAATAAGCTTCTCCTGTTTTGACGGATGTTTTTGCTACCCTGACAAACGCATATGCAAATTTACTGCAAAAGGACCACCTCGAGTGCTGAGAGTGATAACTTCATTTTTGTTACATTGTAGTGTTTATAATATGCATTTTGTAATCAATAGTATACGTTTATGAAAACAATGAGGTTGTAGATGTGGTTTTGAATTACGGAGAGTGTCTACAAACGGCAGGCGCAGCATCTTATCTATACTAGGAAAGATTTGCATTAAGGAATCACTCAACACCACAAATGAATAACTTAGTTCATGATGTGGGATGGACTATATGACCCGAAATGTCTGAAATTGAGGGAGAAATTTTAGAAAATGTTGAACACCATTCAACAATATAAGCAGTAGGTAACCTCTGTGATTTTTTTCTCTGGTTTAATTTAAATACTCAGGTTATCACAATTATATAGGTAAGTTTCCGATATTCATTATTTTTATTTCTTATATAGCCATTTTTTGTAAAATTTTCTATTTCTGAGTTTCACATCCTGTTAAAAAAATACCTCAGCTTTGACGGTAAGTATAATACTCATGCAAAAACATATTTTCAATAAAATAGTAAACAGGTAAAATAAATATGCATATGGGAAACTGAAATGAACCTAGAAAACAATATTTTCCTGTTTTATTAACTTTAGAGATTTCTTTTCTAAAAAAGCATAAGCCCTTTCAGTAAAAATTGGAGATATTGTTTTCACAATTCTTTTTTGAACAAATCATATTAGTGTCTACAAATTGTCTATATAAAAGCCTACTAACATAAAATTATGTTCTATAAACTAAACAAGTAAACATTCTGAATATATTTATTTTTTTCAACTTATTCTGGAGGAGGCACATATTTAGCCAATCAGATGCAAAATTTTGTCAGGTTCCTTTTCCTCCTCTGATTATGGTGTTATTGAAGATATTTGAAAAAAAGGTCTCAACAATAAATGCAATCAATCAACTAAAATCTTGGATTAAAAGTTATGATGACTGACTGTTAATCACATATTCAGATCTGCACTACAGCTAAAGGCTTTAAATATATCTATTTCTAATTACAAGCTACTAACTGCTTTGTGCTACATAAAAACTACAAACATTACTCTACAAAGATGTTAGTAAGAAAATGCATATAACACAAAAACAATGTTTAAAGGAAGAATTATATACAGATATCAACTCACCTAGTTCGGGAACTTCCCTCTTTTGAATTATATACTTTTTTATGGGACTGTTGCCGTCGAATCCGGGCGTCCAACTGACGTTAACAGCTCTCTGCGTCCCGGTGTCCAATTTCTCAGCTTTAACGTTTGTTGGAGAAAAAGGCAGCTCGATGACAGACAACTTCGCTGATCTAGTATCGTTGCCTCCAGGAGAGCGAACAGCACAGGTGTAGTGGCCAACGTCAGAAGCCCGAACGGCTTCTATTTCTAGAGTGCCATCGTCTAAGATTCGTATTCGTTGGGTGGCTCTTGGATTGATCATCCTAGAATATCAAAGGTAAAGTAAAGTTGTGCGAATTATCAACAGTACTTACTGTTTATCACGAAACCAGTCTAGTTGGTAAGGGACAAGGGGATCCGAGGAGATTTTACATTGAAGCGTTGCTGTCTGGCCCAGGAGCACTCTTGTATCAACAGGTGGTTGTATGATTTGGGTTCGAACTATAAAAGAAATAAGAAATTAAAAATAATTGTAAAGCAGGTGCCTTTCTAGAAAACATTCTTTTAAAGGGAGATTATGTATACAATTTAAACTGTTTGAATGTAATTATTTGTTAATTGCAGCACAATATTCTAACCTAGAAATTCCAGCATCTCCTCATTATAAAGCAATAAGGATAATAAAATCATATTGACACATTTAACAATTATCATACAGTGACAAATACCGAATAAAATTAGTTCTGCAAATCATAATTTAATTAAAATAAACGTTATAATATTCCCGCCATTTTAGAAATATCAAATTATTTAAAGCATTTGACATTGACAAACATCCCTTTTTCTTTAACAGTAAGAGGGGTAGTTGTAGTTCTAAAACCTGAGAATAGAAAAGTAGTTCATATGATCATAGATATTATATATTATATAGAAGATTAAAACCTAAAGAAATAAGAAAGTTGAAGAGATTGGTTGATTTTAATCTTAGATTAGGAGAGAGTTCCTATTTCCTAATCAAAGATTTTAATAGAATTACTATAGAATTAATTAGGGTACCTAGTTTTGGAAGCAGTTTAGCCTTGCTTAGCTAATCACATTTACATCATTAGATTGTAACTATGCATAGAATTGTTATACATATTACTTATATAATTTAATTGATACCTACTAAAAGGTTCTTAATATAAATTTTATAATCTGTCTGAAATAGGTAGATAGTAGGTATACTTTTATCGTATTCTCAATTAAAAAAAAAAAATAATAAAAATAAGACCTTATGGAAGGTATTTCTTTTTTAAATAAATTGAACCTTTTAAAAAAAACTAAACTGTTAATTAAATATTTTTCTCTTATTTTAAACACTAATTCAAATTCTATAAATTTTCTTAAAATTTGCAAAAAAATTTTAAAAGACTAGAATAAGAAGTGGATCTTATTTGGAAGGGCGAAACGGGCGGTGACAATGAGAAGCCTTCATTATAGCCATCCTTCTCTATCGCATGGATTTCTATGGCTTACTTTATCGCTCTCACGTAACTTCAGATAGACCATCGGTACTTTCCTACCCTGTATATGTCCATGGTTAGAGTGGAAGAGGGAAAATATTTTTATTTATCACTTTACAAGGAAAAGGCATTCTTAATTAAAATGTTTGCTTATCTTTAAAATGCGGTTGGCATGGAGGACTTTCATCTTGCATGTACAGGGTGATCAGAAAATCGGTAAATAAAAAAATTGTTCAAGAATAAACTGACTTTGTTTAAGATTAAGAAAAGTTGCTTAGAATTAAAATTTATATTATAATTTCAATTTCTATATGAATCGGCCTACTTTGATAGAAGAGGACAAAAAAAAATTTATTCATTTTACGAGAAAAAGTCGATTAAAATTTTTGCTTATTTTTAAAGACATTTAAAGATATTCTAAAGACAAGCAATAACTTTAATCAAGAATGGCCTTTTCTCGTAAAATGAAAAATAAAATATTTTCCCTCTTTTCCACTCTAACCGTGGACATACTGTATATCATAACTTGCCAAAGTCGATAATGGTCGAGTTCAGTAGATAGTAGTTACAGATTAGTTATCAATTTTGTGTTTGACTCGTGTTTTGCAGAATGGCATTTTTTTCATCATGATTTTTAATCATTATTCATAATTGAATTTATTATTTTCTGTGATATATAACTATGCACAATAAATATTTTTTACATTTACCTTTACCTTTACCTGATATCGCTGATGTTATTGGTTATTTTTCTTACAAAAATTCAATAGCAAAAGTTAAATTTAAATCACCTGGTCATAAAAATTATTTGCTACAATAACAGCATCTATGTGACCGATTACTTTATGGCGAGTAAGATTATGTCATCAATAAATAATGTGTGCACGTTTGAAAAAAAAATCGCTTAACTGAAGAAACAGTTATGGTTAAATATTAATTTAAAAAAATTACAATTTGTCAAAGTTTGTCAATTTTGAGTTTTCTTTTATTTATCCAAATAGAATTACTCCCTAAATGTGCTTGTAGTTTTCGAACACCCGTTATAATTAAAATGAATTGTTTTTACAAATAATGCATAAAAAAATGTTTTTTCAAAGTGAAAAAAATAAACTTTTTATGCTTGTTTAAGTGCTACATTCTATAGAAAAATTATACCCGACATTTTCTACAAATAAAGATATTCTTTACCGCTTTCAGTTTGATATGCCTGAACATAAAATCGCTATAGATACAGTCCATATAATATTTGTTGAGAAAAAATTCCAAGAAAATAACCGAAGAAACACGCCTTCGTAACTGCAAAACACAGTATGCACTGCAAGCTGCTACGGTGAACGTCATGCCGCCATGTCTTTTCTACCACGTCTTTCTACCTTGAGAGTTGAATGCGGTTACTTCCAAGAAAGCCTTCTTGGAATTCTATCTCAACAAATATCGTACGGACTGTACTTGGTGCCCACAGCAAAATCGCCGTGAATTACCTTAATACTTTTAAAGTAAAATAATATAATAGAATGTTCTTGCAATAAGGATAAAAACATTCTAAAGTGGACAAATTCATGCTTGAAAAAATAGTTAATATCTAAAAGAAGAACCTTCAGTCATGCACAATTATACTGACCGAGCACTTGTAGATGTGCAGATCCCCTAACTTCCCCAGCTTCGTTGGACCGAACGCAAGTGTATTGCCCAGCGTCCGACTCTTTCACGGCGGCGATGAGTAGATCCCCAGTGTCCAGGATCTGCACTCTGCTCGACGTCTCTATTTCCGTTTCACCTGAAAAAATTAGTAGCAAAATGCACGCACGTCATGCAGCTGGTACATTAAGTGAAAACCGCAAAGCAAAATGTTATATTGGCAAGTTAACGACTAATTCGGACGTCGTCTTCAGCGACTTACCGTTGTATATCCAGGTAACGTTCGGGATCGGTGCTCCCGCTGCCCTGCAGCTCAACGTGGCGTCTTTTCCATCGAGAACGGTCATGTTTTTCGGACCGAATTCCATAACGGGCTGCGCGGCTGTGGAAAGTTCATTCTTATACAGTTTTTGGTTTAAAATGATGTATTTGCGACATTTACACATGCAGAATATAAGGGAAAATTCATTTCATTCAGTTTTCATACTACGCGTCTTAAATTGCAACACTCTTCTAGTAAATGTAATGTTGGGAATTCGAATTATTATTTTGGAAGGTTCCCAGAAGCTTAAAAGAAAGTGGAAATGCGTGAATGAAGACTGTTAGTCATTGAAGTTGGTTGTAGTAAGAAAATTAAGATGGAAAGTGATGAAATGTGTACAGCTCGACACTTTGGTGCGTAAATAATGCGGAGGGGTGAGGCTTGGTGGCACCGTGGTTCGTTTCATTTAGCACACACGTGTTGATACAGACCCTTACTTTAAAAATTTTAAAATATCTCTTCTTTTCCGAGCCATGCCTATCAAGCTAATACAATTAATTGTAAATGTTTTTTTTACTAATCTGATGAAATAACTTTTAAATTTATGGTAAAATTTAAATAGGTATTTAGTGTTTAGTTTAAGCGTTTTGTGCAATGTAAGTGTATAGCCATAATAAGTTATTTATTTCAGGTTTTAGATGGTACAGTGTGTTTGTGTGTCTTCATTGTTAAATTTTTGTGTGCCTGTCGCAGTGGGATGTAAAAATTACGAGAAAAAGGTAAAACAAATATCAATTTTCAAGAAGAATTGGGAATTTTCAGTTTTGGGGACAGTCTGATTGGAAAACTTAAACGCGAAAGTTAAAAACGTCAAGGTGAAGGAAAGTCTTTGTTGTTGACATTTAACAAGAAACATTTGGAGGCGATGTATCAAGCGGCAATAGAATTGTTTATTTTTTCGTTGAAGTTGTATTATGTAGGTTAAGTTCCCGTCAACGTTACAATATTGAAAGTCAAATTCACAAAAGAAATCGGCTGTTTAGGGCTGCCGCACTACCGTATCTCACGTAAAAAAAGTAGGTAATTACGCGGTAGGATTGAAGTGGAAAACAATTGCAAATGAAACTACAGACGGAAAAATAATCACATGCGACATGTTTAACGCGCACTGTAAAGCCTAATAAGGCAAAATTCATTGACAAATGTACATGTTTGAAAAAAAAAACAACCGAAACCACTTTAAAGCTACAAACATATATCTCTAGTATTAAAATTAAAACATTTTTAAGGACCACCCGTCACTTGCAATAAAATAACATGCTGGTACTTAATATAGGTACTTAATACAGTTAAATTATTTTTAAATTTCTTAGTGACGCCATTGACTTCGCACCCAAATGTCGAGCTCTAGTGATGAGTCTTCCCGAGTGCTGCAATTTGAGTGTCGCGTTGTATATTTGACAATAAAATAATAAGGGCAGTCGCAACAGTACTGTGCACGATCATCAAAACCAATCAAACATTGAATCGTCTACCTAGTCTACGTGTGCAAGACGTGTATAAATGCATTCCTATGATTTTGATAAAGATCCTTACATGGAGACAAATAAATAAAGTTCTTTTTGCTATGCCGTTCACCTGAACTTCTCAATCTCACCGCTCTAGCAGCTAAACTCCGAACTTTTCTGTGTTCTGCATGTTGATAAATAATTGTGTTAGGAAATACAGTTAATATAAGTTTTATTTTGTTTCCAAAGGAAAATGCGTCCGCTCAAAATGGAAGAATGTTAGATAAGAATGGTTTAAGCGCAGATTCAATTTCCTTGGAACTTTTAAAGAAAAATCCTCACTTACTTTTCACTCGCAGCCATGTTGATAGTGAACTTTCTCCGGCTTCATTTTTCGCAAAACATTGATACATTCCATTGTCGGTTATTAGAAGTTTTCGAATCAAAAGGGAGTTGTCTTCTTGCACTACATACCTAATAGAATAATATACAATATATATATAGGCGGCTACACCTTTAATAGAACATAAGATATACACGGTGTCCCATTTTAAATAACGCACTGCAATATCTTCTTTGGGAAATACTTTGAAGAACAACTTTTTAGACAAAAAGTTGTGGGGTTCTCACCTTGACACAAAGGTTAACCGTAGAGGTTATTTCAACGTCAACTTGAATTTTTAGATACGATTTCTGATTGAGCAGTTGATTTAGACAAAGCAAGAAGCAAGTAACTTTTGTTAAATTAAATAAAAATAAATAATGTCACCAAATAATTTTCTTACCTTTTATCGTTAAGATCCAGTTCCTCTGCGTTCCTGTACCACGTGATGTTCGGTTTGGGGACTCCCAGTACATCGCACGGCAAACTCATGGGGCACCCATAATCCCCTAAGGTTTCCGGCTTCGCGTTACTAAACACCCTGGGCTTCTCCAACACCTTAACCTGCGCCGAAGCTGTGACAGTGGGGAAACCCCCTGATTTCAAATTCACATGGCATTCGTATTGCCCGCTGTGGGTGGTGTTAATAGAGGTTAGGATCAATGTGCGGTTCCACATGTCCTTGAAAGAGTAGCTGACGTCGGAACTTTCTATGGGGATGCCGTCCTTGAACCACAACGTTTCCAGCTCGTGCAGCGGTTGCGCGTTCGCTATGCACTCGATGATGGTTTCTCTTCCTTTTACCACTTGTACGTCTTCTGGTGGGATTATGATAGTGGGGGATATTTCTTTATTTTCTTCGGCGTCTTCTACTATCAGTTTTACTAACCCGCTGAGATCTTCCTTGCCTTCTTGGGAGTTTATAGCGCGAGCTCTGTCGGAAGAATTACAATTGTGGATTTTTACTCTATTGTAAGGAACTAAGGCTAATTCAACCAATTTCAAAAATTTTTCCTAAAAAAATCGTATCAAATGAAGTCAAAATATGTTCTTTGATAGGGCATCACGGATGCAGGCTGGAATTTGGATGGGTGGCCTAAGGCAGGCTCGGGGACGTGGCTGTGGCAGCCTACCAGAGACCTGGGTCGTCCAACGTTTGCCGCAGGCGTGTGGTCCCCGATAAATGGTAATGAGAACAGAGCAAGAAATCTCTGTAACTCAAGACCATGCTATCATACATAAACTGTACGAGACTTTGCCACCAAGCCACCCGTGTAGTAAATAGGATGATTTGAAGAAAAAGTACTTGAGTAATGAAGGAGGGTGTACAAGGGGCCTAATAAGGCCTAAGTGCAGCGGTGGAAAAACAATTCCACCACCCTCCGACATACATACATACATACATACATACATACATGTTCTTTGATATCAGAAATCTAAGTACACAAAAGATATCTAACCCCACAGACAAGACTCCTAATTGCCAATATTGCCCCACTTGTCTGAGAGGTTACATATCTTTTACATAACTATATAAATTAAAAATACATTATTTGATTTCATTTGATAAGATTTGTTAGAAAAAAGTTATGAATTTATTAAAATTGGCTTAATTACCTTTACAATAAAGTAAACAAAGAAAAGCTAATAATAGAATGCTTTTAAAAAATACAACGATTGTGAATATTTCAAACAATTTTAATTCAAATAAAAATATTTTAGAAAAAATGCTCTGTTTGATACAGATTGTATTTAAATTTACTTTTATTAGCACGTGTTTTCTTGATGAGTGGAACCATGGTGGATTTGAGAACAGAAATTTCTTATAATGTACCACCAGGGTTCCCTATAATATACAGGTGTCATCAAAAGTCTTTTTTTAGTATCGTTTTTTTTTTGGGGGAATGAGATAGCATTCAAAAGGAAAATAATAAAAAAATTTGGAAATTGTAAGAAAACTAACTCGCTTTGAGATTTAAAAATTGTGGGGTTCAGTTCCCATGCAAGAAATGTTGAACTATAAAAACTGTAAATATGAATTCATTTGAAGGATCAACGCAGAAACGGACTCATCCATAACAATGCAACTTTTTGGTCTCACTACACAATAATACTACATAATACGTAATATTAATTACAATTATTCAGTTATTTTTTAGGAAACAGAGTTTTGTATTGACTTCTGTAATACGAAATGGTCCCGTGATGCGTCTGCGTTTTGCTGGCATTCACCGTAAATTAACGAAATAATAAATTCATTACTGTCATACATATGTGCCATTTTGCGTTATTAATATAATTAGGTTGTAACATAATTTGTCTAATAACTAGGATCACACTACCATACTTGATTTTCAACTGTCATTGACACAGTCATTAATTTTAAGGGAAAAGATGAGGAAAAATGAGTAGAATATGAATACGCGATTAAAAAAAAATTAAAATGCATATTTACGCGAAAAAGATATTTTCAAATCATTTTTTAAACCCCTTTTTGGACCGTCCCTGACCGCTGGCGGTATTGATACATTCACGGCTCCCAAGTCAACTTGATCTCGGCTTGAAGCAACGTTGCCAAATCTAAACATTTTCCTAGTATTAGACATAATATACATATAAACGGTTATATTAACTATTTTAGAAACTCGCGTTTTTTCTCTAGACCTTGCTTTAGGATGTCCCTAACCGCCTTGAAATGGTAAGTTGCTCCTTATCTAAATTGAAAATTGCGTCTATCACATTCAAGCCATTTGCCGATGCTCTGCAAGTTCTTGTCGCGGTATCAGAGACCTAGCGGCAGTTAAGGGGTAATTTGCTTATCTTTTAAAAGGGAGAAACATATTTTTTCCGAGTACGTGGTTAAAATTAATGTAAATATGGCTGAATCACCCTGTATATAGTATATTAAAGCCTTTACTGATTATTAATTGGTACATTTACAAACAACAATCAAGAGGAAAATACCATTTTTAATGGCACCCTGCATATTTTATACACTTTATTTGCCGCACACAATAAATAATGTGAAGTAAATATTTCATCTTGCCAACAGTGGCGTAGTAGTTTTCTTTTATATTATTTGAAGGGTAATTATAAAATATAAAAGAAACTGTATTGGAAATATATTTATATTCTTTAAGATTTTCTGATATTGGAAATACAGTTTGATTGATTTCTCACACCTACATCTATGATCATAATTCCTTCTTTATCTTTGAGCCACCAATAGGGAACGGGACAATTGTTAACAAATAAAAATATATTCTTTACGAACGACAAAAATATAGACTGTTGTATTCATTGTTGGCATTGCGGAACCATATTTATCATAGTCTTTGTTGGTTGTACTGTTACCTGTAGGACTTTTGGTCGGATTTTTCAACAGACAAAATAACAAGCCTATTGTCTTTCGAAGTGATGTATTTTTGGATGTATTCTAAAATCCCCTCATCGGTCAGCCACGTAACATCCGGTGGAGGAATCGACTCTATTTCCGGAAGGTCTATGACGGCAGCTTCTCCTTCCTTGACTGATACTGTTTTCTCGGTTTTGTCTTTGAAAACGCTCATGTCTGAAATCAAGTTAATTCTGTCGAAATTAAGGAATTATCGAATGTGTTCTGGCATGTTATGTATTTTCTACAACAGCGCATTATAAAGTACATTCATAGATTTAAGAGAATAAATACCTGCATTAACATGAATTCAGTTATCAACAATTCATTTGTTAGAGCACAACAAATTAATCTCTTTTATACGAGAGTGGTCTGAAAACTTTCCGACCTCAACATGAAGATGGCAGCACTCGTAAATAAAAGCTAAATCGATTTTTCCAAAAAAATTTTTTTGTTCTTATTTTTAAAAAGTCCTATTTACGTTGGAATGCACATTGTACATATATTGCGAATATTAGAGATTCGTTATTGACAGGTGCTGATACTAACAGTGAAGCTGAATAAAATGAATAAAATTGTTGTATTTATTAATACCTACTAATCATGATTAATTTATTAAAAAGTTATTGTAATGCCTAAGAAACTATTATTGTGTATTTTTGTTTTATATTTACTGTATGTTGTTGCAGTTTACTTTTTATTAAAATAAACTTATTTTTTTTTTATAAACACTATACAAGTACAATTTCCTACCAACTCCTATCAACTATTAAAACACATAAATAAATTCTTGAAATACAAATCAGTGCGGATATTTTTTAACCCACTTTTATGACCAAGTGACAATTCGTCGCATGTAGTTATTTTAAATCTGTGAACGTACTTTATCCTGGACAATTGTTGCTTTATGGAAGAAGAAGAAATAATGTAATATACGTTTTCTATAATCAACAGTTACCATTTGATCATCAAGACCAAGTTGCAACGAGAACTGGCCTCGTAAACAGTCCCTGTGTCACTCAACATTTAACTTACACGCTATCGTTATACTAAACTCTTCGCTGAGTATGGAACCGATCTTGTTGGTTGCTATACACCTGTAGCGCCCCCCGTGTTCATGTTTAGCGGATATGATTTTGTAGGAACGATCTGTTGACAGTGTCGTGATTGGAAGGCCGTCTTTCAGCCACCTAAACTGCGGAGACGGATTACCTGCAACAAAGAATACATTTATTAGGAATTGTCAGAACATAGATTGCAAAATATTATGTTTATACGCAGGCACACGCGAGGTGGTTTTTTTCTCATGATGTGTGTAATAATTATGGCTTAAAAATTTGTTAAGGGCTAGAAGTAAATTGGCACATGGGTAAAAGGTGGAAGGACCGACACTGTCGCGGGGTGGGGCCAGTTGGAAATAGATGTGCAAATGCAATTGCAAGGAGATCCGGATATTATCGGCTGGAACGAAATTGAAAGAGCACAATTTCAAAGGAAGTCATTAGGGAGATGAAGACCCGCGTACTAATATAACTTCGTTTATAATTTTGCATATGCAAAGAATAATTCTTAATTTGATGCAATAGTTACAATCCTCTATTAAATTTTGTATTTATATTATGGGAAACAACTAGTCTGTTAGCAGTCTGAAACAAAAAATTAATTAATAAAAATCTACTGAATTCAGAATGGGACTTTTGTGAGTCATAACTGCATTTTCCTGTTATTGAATTTGGATGTACTGTTGGGTTATTCCGAATTCTGAAATCCTACTTGGTATCATAACCTTAGAATTCTGGATGTTTCTCAAAATCCCAAGAAGAAATATCAAGAAAACAATACTATTTTCAATGCTATAATACCAAGCAGAAAAATAACCAGCACTATCAACGCAACATAGAATGATCACGACGAGTCTGTATGATGTAATAATGAGGAAGGTTAAAAGAAGAGAATATAAAAAATGTAAATAAATTTAAAATAAAAAATATCCAACAAAAACATAAAAGGTAAACCAATAGAAAATTAAAAACTTCTATTAAAAAAACTGAAAAAAAAATGAACTGTGGAAAAGATATGGATCACGTTTAAAAACACATTAAAGGAGAAAGCGATAGAAATATGTGGAATGAAATCAAAACAAAAATCAAAATGAACTAAAAGTGGCAATAAAAAGTAAGAAGGTAAAAATAAACTTAGTAAAAAAGTTAAGGGAACAGAAAAATTTTTAAATTTTTTGAATGATTTTTGAAAGGTTGTAACTTCGTGAATAATGGTCGTATCACCTTGAAGCTTGAAGATTCTAGTTTTGAAATCTTGAGAGGAAAATTTTTTTGAACATCACTTTCGGTCCAATTAAAAGAAATAATGCAAGGCAAAAATTTTACAAATTTTTTATTTGAAAACTGCCCAAAAATTTTTTTGCGTTATTTTTCTCACAATTTCGGGTTAAATATTCATCAAAAATTAAAAATTAATGTTGAAAAAAAATATTTTTCAAAATTTTTTGCGTCATAAAAACAAAAACTTGTAACATTTTTGCCTTACATTATTTCTTTTGATTGCGCCGAGTGTGATGCCCAAAAAAATTTTTCATCTCAAGATTTTTATTGTCTCGATACGACCATTATTCACGAATTTACTTACAGCCCAAAAATTACTAAAAAAATTTGTAAAAATTTCTCTTCTCTTAATTTTTTTGCCGAGTTTATTTGAACTAAATCAGAAAAAAGTTAAGAAAGAACATAATAAGTAAAGAAGAATATCGAGAAAGGAAAGACAATTAGAAATGCAAAAAGGAAAACATGAGAAGAGTTTGGAAAGGAATTACAGGAAGAATGCAAAGTTACTGCTCTAAAATAAGAGGAGTAAAAGATGCAGTAAAGATGGAAAGATTTTTACACAAACAAAACAGAGAAGCAATCGACGAGGAATATGAAATAAAAGGAATCCTGTATATGGAGGAAATATGCAGAGGAGAAGCAGAAGAAGATAAAAAGTGGTAAATCGGTTGAGGAGAGGGGGAAAAGAAGGGAATAGAACCGGAAATGATAAAATACCTAAGAGGAGTGGAGCCCGTTTGAAATATTTCAAAAAATTTAATATCCGTATCAACAAACTACTAACATTTTTAAGAGTTTAAATTTGGAAACAAAAAAGTATTTTCCTATTCAGGGCACAATAGTGGCGTAGCAAGGGCTCTCTGAGCCCATGCGCAAAGTATATAAAAAGCCCCACTCATTTTGTACGAATTAATGTAGACAATCTGGGAAGCGTGAAATATTTTATTATATGACTGTACCAAAAACGTACCCAGTAAACCTGTTTTATGCATCTCTAACGTCCATTTCAATTACGAGACCGGAAAATTCTGAATATTCAATTCAATTTTCAATGCGGTAACAAAAACATGAAACTCAACAGCGTCCTCATGACTTCCCCATTTCCTAGTTTTGCCCTCGCTAGGGTAGCAGCCAACCCCTAAATTAAAGTCGTGTACATTTGGCTTAATTCAGCGGCAGAGGCGCGACAATGAGAATATGTATGAAATATTTGGCGGTTAGTCGGGCGCGTTATGTTTTATGCATGAGCACAATCTAGGAATTTTCATTTGCGAAAAATTGCTCTTCACTTACTGCACGGACCACCATTCTCGGTGAAAGCGTAGACAAATTAATCAAATGAAGTATCATCGCAATCTGTGAGCCGAGAGGTCTTCACGAATATCAAATCGCTTTTTTGTTTAGTGCATTACTTTTTAAGCTGGCAGCAATATACAGGGTGAGTCACAAGTAAATGGAAAAAATTTAAAGTCAAAAAATAAAATAATTGATCAATTAATCCTAAGTGGGTATTGAAAGATAAATTTAGTTTTAATTTTACTACAAAAAAGCGTCCTTACTCCTTACTAGGCTTAGTGCATGTGCAGAATCTAACAGAGCCGGTGCAAGGGTCGGTGGCCTTCACAGCTGACTCTCGTTTTGAACTGTTTAGTTATTTACGGAACCTTGTAGTAGTTGGCGTCGCGTCAATACCTTTCTTTTTTATCTCTGCTCTAAATTGTATTTGCCGAGTGTATTTAAATAACTATTTATAAATAGTAACATAATTTACATTAACAACTATTAGTTGGGGGGAAAATGCCAAAAGAGAAAAGAAATAGACGGAAATTGTTCCAGGGTTCTGTTTTGGGGCCCTTGCTTTTCGCAATATATATTAATGACTTTTGCTTTGATATCGCGCCTAATAAGTGTGTACTATTCGCAGATGACACCACCCTAATTAATATGAATGTCTCATGTCTAACTGAAGATTCATATAACATGTTATCTAAAGTCATAAATTGGTTTTCGTTTAACAATCTTAAAATTAATAGAGATAAATCCCAGAGTATAACTTTTACCACTACTCCAGGGCATGTAAGACATAAATATGTTAAAATCCTTGGTATTACAATTGATGATAAATTGATTTGGTCTGACCATGTTGAGTCCATGAATAAGAGGTTATCTTGGGTAGTTTTTTTATTAAGGCAACTGAGAGAGGTGATTATCACTGATACTTTAAGATCAGTTTATTTTTCCCTCTTTAATTCCATATTGTCTTATGGTATTGTGCTATGGGGGGGGCTGCTCTAGCGCTTTAAAAACCTTTAGAATCCAAAAAAGCCATTTGTATTTTGGCCAACGTAGGTCATAGAGATCACTGTCGCCAACATTTTGCGAATCAATTATGCCCTTGCCATCGCTGTTTGTTTATTACTGTTTATTGGATATTCATAAGAATATTGCCAGTTACACGGTTCAATCGGATATACATAATTAATGTACTCGTACTTCTAAATTATTGCGACTACCTAGATATCGCTTAGCACTGACTGCGAGAAATTCCTTAAATTTAAACATGTACAATGTCCTCCCATCACATGTAAAATCACTATGTTTTGTCAAATTTAAATTGTGTATAAAGAATTATTTGTTGTCAAAATGTTTTTATTCCGTCAGTGATTTTATGGATAGTGTTCATGACTTTTAGCGGTTGCTTTCACTCTGACGTTTATTATGTTATAAAGTAATTTTTATTGTTAGGTCAATGTGTATTTTAATTAGTCTAGTGCAGGGGTCGGCAAGTAATTTTAGGTGGGGTCCGGATATTTTTGAAAATTTTTAACGAAGTCCACAAAAAAAACTCACATTCCTTACTAATTTTTTATTTTAAGTTGCACTCACAAATTTAATCTACCTACTAACCATTAACAACTCAAATCAATCACGCANATACCGGGATTTTCAAATCATTGCGGGATTGCAAGCCCTAGTATCAACAAACTACTAACATTTTTAAGTGTTTAAATTTGGAAACAAAAAAGTATTTTCCTATTCAGGGCACAACAGGGCACGTCTATGTGTGTAATTGTACTGTAATTAGTTTATTTTGATAAAAATAAAAAACAATAAAAATAAATAAAAACCATTCAAACAAAAGTAAAATTCCATTCTATCACAAATAAAAGTAAAACTCCATCCTGTCACAGTGAAAATCAAAATTATTGTACTTTTAAAGACAAAAGCAAAAGTCAGACACGCAAAATAACCAAATGTTATGTTTGAGTTAGTTTAATAGAACGAGAAAATACAGATTTGACCATGATTTGACATTCTATCAGATGTGGCAATATTAGAAATATTTAATAAGTTTCAAACCCCAAGTGACAAACTAAAAGAATTATAGATTTGATAATAGAAAACGTATTAACTAGCTTTTGAATATTAATTTTTAAGGCTTTTTGTCTTTCTATTGCCAAAACTCTATGTCTACCGAATGGCCGACGGACGCGATATGCATTGCGCAAACGTAGCTACGCCACTGGGGCACAGTCGTGGGACATACTGTATGAAGTCTGAAATAGCATGATTTTTTGTTTATCAGAATTGCTCAAAATATACAGTGGAGAATTATAAATGTTTTACTACTTGTTGGTAGTGTCAATAACGTTAACGGCCAATAACAATGGCTGGTCGCTTAAGTTTAACAAAACGCCAACGCAAAAATCTCAAAATAAACTACACCATCCGACGCAGCAATTCGAAATTGTACTACAGTTTCGTACTACTCATTTTGTACGAATTAATGTAGACAATCTGGGAAGCGTGAAATATTTTATTATATGACTGTACCAAAAACGTACCCAGTAAACCTGTTTTATGCATCTC